TATTTAATAATAAACAATGAAATTTGTTATAACATAAATTTTTAATAAAGGAACGATTTATATTTATTCAATAGATATAGTATTGTATGTAAGCAGAAGTAAATTAATATTATTTAAAACAAACTATTTATTAGATACGTAAAATATTCGTTGTTTTTCAGCTGCGTCATGGGAATACGAGAAGTTCGATAGCATGTCGCAGAGTGACAGTTGCATGATCTAACGAACCGAATATAGCTGAACGATATAAAACGTCAAAAGTAGTGGGGAGAACTACCTCAGATACTCAGTTTTCTCCCCACCATCGGATTCTAGCGAATCACATACTTGCTTTCGCTTGGTTGTCTATACTCGTGTAACCTGTGTACGCTCATGCTTCTCTCACTAACCCGCCCATCATATTGAAAGAAGCAAGAGGTTGAATCATGAAGAGGGATATACGTATCCATACGAGCATGTGAGAACGTATGTGTTGAAAAGGGACAACCAGGCAGATGGAGTGGGGTAGCAAGAGGGAAATAGAGAGAAAGAGGGGAGAGGAGGGAGAAGGCGGAAAGGGGAAGTCACTAATATCTGGGGCTCCAGCGGCCGCGCAACTCGCGCCCTAATCGAACTCTACAAGTCGCTTATTCTCCATCCCCACTTTCCACACCCCGCCCCTCCTGCAGATAGGCAACCCAAACTCGAGAGGTCTCCCTTTCGCTCACTCATACTTGCTCTTTTCACGAGGGAAGTATTGAAGTACCCCCGTTCACTGTATCCAAGACCAAATGGCACTTTATACAACGTGAAATTAGAATTCACTTTTCGGCGCCGATTATTATTCCTAGTCGTGTAAGAACCATTGCGCTTTTGTTTTAAATCATTCATTTTTAAACGAATCAAATTCAACCAATTGTAACACAAACACAAAATAACAATAACACGTGTACACACGTGCATCTGCGCGCATGTGCTTCATAATTACGATCAAAATAAATCACCGTCGATCTTTCTACCGTGAAACTTAGAAACGAGTTTAAAAATTTATCTTTTTTCTCCTTTCCTGTTTTTTATTTTTTTATTTCTTTTAATTTTCACAAACGAGTTATAAGTACCAGCAACTTTAAGTAATTTTTGAAACATACTACTTACGAAATTCTTCTAAATATATAGTATTTATAGCAAAGTTTAAAAATACTCACCCCTGAATCTATCCCTTGAGTATTTGGTGTTGTTGATCGTTGTTGTAGGTTGTGGAAACTCTGCAGGCAACAGAAGAATTTATTTTAACTCATATGTCTACACACCACTAAAAATATATGAATAAAAATGGTTTATTTCTTTAACTTTAAACTGTTCTACTTTCTTATTTCAAATTTACCAAATTTTAGAAAAATTTTAATTGCAAACAAGATATTTTTTTCACTAATATATCAAAATACAATATATTAAATGGACTTGAGACTCTTCTTTGCGTAAATTTATTTATTATTACAATATAAATTCTTATATCGAAGACACTAATTACCACATCAAAAACACAAAAGATGTAATTTATTATCTATGTAACTTACTTGAGATTGGCCAGTTGACTGTGGTTGTGGAGATGCAGAAGGTGGTGGTGCTGGAGATTGAGAAAGGGCACGCTGTGGTGACTGACTGGAAGAATTAGTCTGATTGGCTGGAGGTGGTGGTGGATTTGGTGGTCCACCCTGATTCCAACCTCTTTGTTCTGTGTATAAACTGGAAGGATGGCTAGTTTGCGTAGTATATGAATTTAACTGAAATAAATAAGATATTAATTAATACGAATAACTACTTTATTGAATACACTTTATAATCATTATTATAAATACCTGATGGTGACTATATGGTGCATGAGGTCTTGTAGGAGAAGAATAACGTTGTGTATACTGTTGATATGGCATAGGAGTTGGAGAACTTGGTCCTCCTGGTCCTGTATGCAATCTAGGTGACCCCTATATATTATAAAACATATTTAATTGTGATTATCAACAGAATAATAAGTTTCATACTTTATAAAAGATAAACTTAACATAAAGTATTACATATAATGATTTTAAATTACAATTAAAGTAATAACTTGAGACATAAAATATAAAAGATTATTATATAGACATAAATGTACATAGTTACATAAATGTAGATTCTCATATTTACCGTCTGTGGAGGACGTTGGCCAGGTTGTGGATAAACTGGAGGGACAACTGGAGGTCGTTGAATGGGCCATGGTTGTTGATAAGGTTCTGGCCCCATTCCAGGATAATTTCCATGAAAACGGTGCACAGGCGTAGATGCTTGAAGTAACTGATTTAATGTAGGTGTTGGACCAGTAGCTTGTGATATACTTTGCCCTGATAGAAACCTTGGCTGCCCCGGAAAACTGCTTGCTGTAGCCCCTACATATGCCAACCGTGATTCAATCTTGGAGGCTGCATAATGGTCTTCCATTTCGACTCGATGAACTCTTTCACTTTCATGTATTAAGTGTTTACCATGATAATCCAACTGTTTTCCTGGAAAGTCTCCATGCTTTCCCATATACTCTGGTACCTGCTTGCCAGGATAATCAGTTAATGATTTGGAGGGAAATTCGTTTGATTTGTTGGTATACTCCTCCGGGTAATCGCGTATAACGTTCGACGTGAACGGATGTCCGGGATGGTTTGGATGCCCGGGCGCATCGAGAGGCTCTTGCTTGCCGATAGATTCTTGAGGAGCTTGTCCAGCCTCTCTTGGTGATTTTACTTCACCGGCAGTGTGTCCACCAATGTCCTCGCGGTATTGACTCATCTCGAAACCCGTGTCCCCGCCGCGATTCACATATTTAAGCAGCTGGGCCGCGCCCCGGGGCACTTTATCACCCGGCTCTGGATCCAGCTGCTGCTTCGTATTAACACTTGCACTATTCCCACCGACTTGCGGACGTTTCTGTGCACATTTCACGGACTCGTTCAGCTTCACATCGTTTTGTTGGCTCTCGGCTTGCGTCGCAGCCATGTTCTCTCCTCACGGAGCCATCGTCGTCTCATAAACTGGCCAATCGCGGGACCTCGTGTGTCTCGCGTACTATGTACTCGAAATCGAAATCCTTTTCAATTGAATCTCTCTTATTGTACTTAACTCTTTCCACCACATCCTCAGTCAGACTAGCGAAGACTAAGCATCGAACTAACAATTTTTGCTTCCTGCCGTTTTCAAAGTAGAAGGAACCAAAAAAAAACTCATACACGAACGTCAAAAGCAGCGTCGCATGTATTACGCCATCTTGCGGCTATACCACGAATCATAGAATTTCAACTCTCGTTTACAATTGGCGACTGTTCTCAAAATCAGTGATTTTCTCGAGATCTTCGTCAAAACAATTTACACTTCTACTCCTAATAGAGATCCACCTCAATTTTTAAAGTCAAGAATGTCAAATGAAATATAAACATATTCAATTATTATTTTTATACATTAGTAATTAATTACATATAATAAAACAATTTTCGTTTATATGAATATTTTAATATAAATAAATTACTTAAATTGTAGAATAAAAATAACTATTTATATTTTAATTAAAGAATTAGAGTAATAAAAAATATAGAAATATAAGAAACGATTTTTAAAAAATAAATAAGTAATATTACATAATTTTTTAAACAATCCTTGTAAAATTTAAATTAGGAAAAATAAAAATTGTTCATAATAAAATTAACTGCTCTATTCTGTTTTCATGCATAACATATTTATTTTAGCACAAGCGCACAGAATAATATATTATACGTAAGACATTTAGATGCAATTGTTTTTTGTATAGTATTTATTCCTAATTTCATATATACTTATTAAACAAACAAAATAAAAATTTATTTAATTTGCATTTATCTTCATGATTCATAAATATAATTCATTTCAGTTTTGAAGCTTAACTAATTCAAAAATAATAATTTAGAATAAAAAATATATTTAACATATTGCTTTTTATTGCAGATCTTTATTAGATATTAATTTCAAAATACTGATTAAAATTATATGATAACGAATCAATTTTAATCACTACAATAATTATTAACTGTAACATAACTGTAAAAATTCTGTAAGAAATTTGTATGTAATAGATGTAAATAAATATTTAAAATATTAATTTGAAAAATTAAGTATATTATGTAGAAGAGTGACAAATAAATGATAACAATGGCGCTTATTGTAGTTTATTACCAATAATAAGTATTATATAGTACAATATTAATTGTATAAAAACGCACGCAAATGTAAATAATAGAAATTCCAATAACAGTAATATATATGGAATATAAAATATAAAGTGACTGAACTATTTATTTGTATTAGTATTAATGACTATATGCGGAATTTTATCGTACGCATGTGTCGCTATGTACAACAGTGCCCGCTTAGTGCGGTTCCATATCCCCCACTAGTTATTTAAGTATAGGATCTTATGGCAAATAGTATACTAAATAAGCTTTTGCTGTATCTCACTCGCACTCAATACTTTCCGTTTCAATTCTCAAATAATCCAGAAACAAGGGAGGTAAAGAAAGAGACAGTCGATGATTCTTGGAAATTCGCATACCCGGATAGTTGTAGCGATAAGGTCCAGTACCCGTCGCAGCTAAGCGGGGACTATTGTACGGACTACGTGTATTTTAATCCTACGTGGCAATATTTATCAGTAATGATTGTATTCTATCTTTACTCCCTCATACCAACATGTAGTCATCAGGTATGTATTTCATTGATATTCCTTAAATATCTAAGAAAAAATATACTTTTGAAATAAATACGTTGCAAATGTATAATTAAATTTTTAACTTATTTTGTTAATTTTGCAACTTTACTGATTTTAAATGCTGAATTTTTCATATGAAATAACTTGTCTACTTAGAATATTCATTTTTATATATGATTAATTGAGAAATATATATACTTACTCACTATTACTTATTTTTTAATATTATATCTATAAGATTGAATATTTTTTTTAATTTTATAAATAATATTTTTTTCAGAATCAAATTTATTTATAAATGTGTTTTGCTATGAACACATTTTAACTAAGACAATTGAAGGGTAATGCAAAGAAAAAGAAAGAAACTAGCAACAATGAGAGCTGTTATTCTTGTTGGAGGATATGGAACTAGATTAAGACCCCTTACATTAAGTCGGCCAAAGCCATTAGTTGAATTTGCTAATAAACCAATGCTTCTGCATCAAATAGAAGCTCTGGTATGTTGCAGTTTTTTATTATATCTTCATTCTTTATAAATTAATTATAATATTGAATGTAGGTAGAAACAAATGTGACAGAGGTAATATTAGCAGTATCTTATCGGGCAGAAGAAATGGAAAAAGATTTGAGTGAAAAAGTTAAAAAGTTAGGAATACGTTTAATCTTTTCGCATGAACCAGAACCACTTGGCACTGCAGGACCACTTGCACTTGTACATGATTTATTGTGTTCAGGAGATGAACCATTTTTTGTTTTAAACTCAGATATTATTTGTGACTTTCCATTTATGCAACTCTTGGAATTTCATAAAAGTCATGGTAGAGAGGGCACTATAATAGTAACTAAAGTAGAAGAACCATCAAAGTATGGTGTAGTGGTTTATGAAGATGATGGAAAAATAGAAAGTTTTGTAGAGAAGCCACAGGAATTTATTTCCAATAAAATTAATGCAGGTATTATTTTATTAATATTGAATTTAAACACATTAATATTTTAACATTTAACAGCATTAATCACTATTATTTTGTAGGCATGTACATTTTTAATCCAAGTGTCTTAAAAAGAATAGAATTGAAACCTACCAGTATAGAAAAAGAAATTTTTCCACACATGGCTCGGGATGGAGAACTATATGCAATGGAATTAGCAGGATTTTGGATGGATGTTGGACAACCAAAAGATTTTCTTAAAGGAATGAGTATGTACCTTACATCTCTAAGACAAAGATCTCCAGAAAAGTTATATTCTGGTCCAGGTGTAGTAGGAAATGTCTTAATAGATGAAACAGCAAAGATTGGAAAAGATTGTAGAATAGGACCTAATGTTACAATTGGCCCTGATGTTGTATTATCTGATGGTTGTTGCATTAAAAGAAGCACTATTCTTAAAGCAGCTGTAATAAAAGAGCATGCATGGCTAGATGGGTAAATTTTAAAACAATTTTCCTATTTTTTATGTGATATCAAATTAATGTCTTAACATGTTTATAATGTAACATAGTATGTTATGGTAGGTGCATTGTAGGTTGGAGAAGTGTTGTGGGGCGTTGGGTACGAATGGAAGGTACCACAGTACTTGGTGAAGATGTAATTGTTAAGGATGAATTATATATTAATGGAGGTCAAATTTTGCCTCACAAGAATATTTCCAGTTCTGTACCAGAACCACAAATAATCATGTGATCAAAAACAATATTTTAAAAAGATATACTGAACATGATGAGTGACCAAATTACAAGACATTTTATAAAATTTTTACTAACTTTTTTAATTATATGTAAATTGACCTTCAATATATATTCGTTTGTATCGTTTTTTACATTTACTATTCAAATGAGCTTTATTGGTAGTCCTCGTACTACTATTGCGGCTGCAGTCATATATTGTGAACAAACACCTTTGGATTTTGCTACTGCTCTCAACATCTCAGGTTCTATAGGTATATTTTGACAGTTTTTATGTGGAGTTTTTAGAAATTCTAATTATCAAAAATGAAGAGAAAAAAATATAATGAATTGTTCAAATGATAAAATAATAAACTTACACTAAAAAATAAAAAATTAAGATGTTTAATAATTTTTTTATACTAACTTAGGCTCCCTGCACACCACATATTAATATCAACATCAGTCCATGGTCTATTTGATGGAGACGGAATCCAATTACTAATGAAATTCGTTGTCATTTTATCGATATCAGCGTCTGTAACTTCCCATAACATACCAAGTACACAAGAACTAAAAATAAAATATAAAATAAGTAATTGAAGTTATATAAAGACTTTACTTTTACCTGCTAGCTATTAAATACTGATTTGAGACTCCATATGGCGGATAACGTCCTCCTACTGTAAGCAATTTTACACTACTACAACCAAATAATAAAACAATTGATTTCACCCTAAGTCTTTCTATTTGTTCTCCTGGTAAATATTGTATACCATTACCATGACCATTATACCTATGAGAATAATGTATTATAAATGTTATAGAAATGAAATAATATGTAAAGTAAACATACATTAATATATCACGATTAATTAATGCATCTTCAAATACTGCTTCCTGTGGTTCAACATTGTACCAACTTTTCCAATTTGGCAGCCAATATTCAATAAACAGTCTCATACGTTTTTCCATTTTACTTAAGTTACCTGAAGGATTAACTATACATGTACCCATATCATTCTTTACTTGAATTATTTTACAACCATTCTCCATTGTATTTTCATGATCTTTAAATAAAGCATATGCAATGTGTAATGATGGAAAACGAGTAATTGGGTGACATTTTAAAATTTCCATAGACTCAAAAGGTATATAATCCATATGCTATAAAATATTGGCAAATATGTAATCATAAACTTTATATTATATCCTACAAAGAATAAGATTGCAGACTTACTTCATCTATAATTAAAACTAATGTCTTCCTAGTTACATCTTTCAATTCTTGTATACAAGGTAATTTTCCAAATATTGATAGTATTACATTATGTGCAAGCTTGTCATAATCAGAAAGTACATACTTTACTGCACGTGCTATCTCTTCTCTTGTAAGAAAACATGCAGATAATGCTATTTTTTTTAATAACCACTTAGACCTGTTTGATATCTTGTTTCTATAATATATAACACCATTAAAAACATATTAGAAAAATAAAAATAATATAATTATTAATTTAAGTTTTACTTACGACATTTTATAATCAAATATAAGTTTATCAATCATTTGTACAATATCTGCTGCTAATTTATGTTTGTTTATTGGATCTGCTATAAACAAAATTCTCCATTCTCGTAGCCATGTATATTCTAATGCTTGTATAGCAGTCTCAAATATATGTACACATATGTAGATTATATATATGTATATATATGTAAATGGTTAATTATATTAAAATTATACTTATTATTTAAATACCTTCATATTCGTATTTTGTCTCTCTCTCATTTTCCAATACAATTCATTATTTGCATATATAGCTTCTAATTCTGATCTGTTATTAGAAAGTAATTTTTGAATTTCATGACAGATATCATATGAAGAATCTAACTTAGGTTTTGGTAATGTTAAACACAAGGGTTCTATATCTTTCGTTCCTGTTGGTAATATCGTAATATGTATTTCATGCATATCATATGGTTTAGTTCTGCTATATTTTAACACATTTGGAGATCTGTACTGCTCAGTGACTTGAATCACGTACCATTCTATAAATATAAAAAAATTTTTGATAAATAATAATTTAATAATTTAATAGTACTTTAATAAAGCATATTTTTATTATCCTTTCACCTTTAGGTAGATCAAAGAGCTTTGTTTTTAAATTATCAATTTTATTTGTATTATTTATATCAAATCCAACATAAGAAGATTTAAGTCCATAAGTTTGGGGTATATTTAAAATTGACTCTCGCATTTCTGTTTTCACATATCTATGCAATATTTGTTGACGAAGTATCACTGCATGTGACTCAATTAAATGAAATATAGCTTCAAGTTCATTACCAATCTATAAATAATATTTATAATTTAATTAACAAATTACATAATTTCATATTGAAAAATTTTGTTAATTCATATAATAATCTGATTAAATAGTACCTTTAAGTAACAAACTGCTAGCATTTTGTTAAGATTTGTATATTCAATACTTCCTATGTTACTTCGTATATTCATAAATAATTTCTCGATATCCTTTCTCACATCTTCTATAAAACTAGTTTCGATTTCATTCAATGTTATCTCACACTTATTATTTAAATGACATTTGTGTAAAATTTTAAAAATTTCATCCATGTTAACAGATGTAATTCACTATTAACAAGTTTTTCACTCTTTTATATCTTACGATATTAATTGGAACTGTTATTTTAAACGATTCAAATTCAAATATACTAATACAATAACAATACCAACCTATGAATATGAGGTTAGAAAAGGACACTTTTCAATAAAAACAAACCAATTACAATTTTTTTATTACTTTGATATTTTTATTTCTTTTTGTTATATATGTAGAATAAATATTTTTTAATAAAGAATTTCATATTTTATAAATTCGGAAAAAAAAATAAAAATGTATAAGCAAATAATCGAATATAAACTACACTTTTCACATTAATTTGAATATAAATTTTATAAGGTATATTTCGTAAAACAAATTTTATATAATTGTCATTATATATAAAATGTCATTACTATTATTTTTTATTCTTTTTTATTATTTTTATACCAGTTATATAAAACTGACACGAATGTATGTCAAAACTTTTTTACACTTTATCAGATTAAATAAATTTCGAAATTTTATAATACAATTCATTTTTTTATATAAAAGCATATTTATAAATATGAAATATCTCTAGATTTTACAATTTCTAATACAAATAGTACATATATTTTCTATATCAATTTATACAATTTATGTTAGAATGTTGAGATTCTTTACATAAATTTTATCATTAAATCGTAAAAAGTTAAGAAATACTCTCTTGTAATAGTTTGAAAACTCTTAACAAAAACAATGTCATAAGAAAATGTGAAAGTATTGGATGTTGTTATTCTAATACACATGGTCCTTCTAATGATTGTCCTCTTATATGATTTAAATTTTCTCCTGCATATGATAATAAAGGAGATATTTCGACATTATCTGTTACAGATGTAGCTCCAGCATTTAATAACCATTTTTTGTGGAGTTTGAGTACATCATTTCGTGCAGTACTTGGACAGTCTTGACCAGCAGAATCTGCATTCTTTAGGGGACTAAAATCTTCCTCACGAATTCCCTCCCAAACTGCTAATTGTTTAGCAAACTTGAATACATCAAATACGAATTTCTCGATTTTAATACCATTTGGAGATTTGGGTTCATTTTTATTTCCATCCTCATCAATGTATGGTATTTTTTTTTTAGCAGCATGAAGCTCCATTTCTTTTTCATGACTTTTAGCAATGGCACATAAAAAATCTACAGTGAAATAATGATTGCATATGTTTGCTGCATTATATATTAATTGTCCATCATTAGAACGCAATTCAGCTGTTTCTTTTGAAATTTCACTATATTCTACTACTTTATACATATTATCAATCTACAATAATGATAGTAAAAAGTAAGAAAATAAGATGTTGTGATAAATGATTAAAATATTTTTCAAACATACTTTACACACAATTCCAACTGGTTCACTAGGAGATGATTTTTCAACAACTTTAACCCCACAATCAGTATATGAAGATAAGCAATATCCTATGAAAATCGGATCTGCCACTTTTATTAAAATGTTATCAACTGAGTGAACATGGACACTATGAATTCCAAGTTGTATCATATCATCTAATATTCCTTGCACTATTAAAGCTCGATATAATCCTCCATTTCCATCTGGTGCCTTTGAAATTTTATATTTTTTATCCAAAATAATTTTTCCATCCAGTGTAAAACATGGTAGCATACCTTGTTTAAAAATTTTTACATTTTTTTCTTTTAGATTAAAATAATTATGTTTATGCAGAAAAGCTATAGTTGCATCATGTGTAGCTTCACTGGTTAATATATACCTGAAAAAATAAGATGAATATTATTTTACTTATAATATACATTTTTATGTATGTATGTACTATAACTTATTAAATTTCTAAAATAAATATATGTACCAAATAATTTTTCCATTTTTTCCATATTCCTTCTCTGCCATGTTTTGTAAACAAATTATCCTTTCTGCTTGTAGTTGAAACAGTGTTTTTCCAGAAGGTAAACCAACGTTATACATACCCTTAGGATAAGATACACCTAATCTAGTACCCTGACCACCAGCCATTAATAATACAGCTACTCGTCCAGTTGCTATTTCTTGCAATCCTAATTTTTCATATACCCTCAATTGTTCCTTATTAATGTTTTTGCTAGATGAAATATTTTCTTTAGGAATGGGAGATATCTTATCATCTAATGTATTCTGTTGCATATTAGAGGAAGCATATACTGCATTATGAAAATATGATGTTACATCCGCAAGATTCAATTCAGAAATATCTTGATAAAGCTCCTCTCTTTCTTTATCTGACAATTGATCCCAAAATTTTAACAGGTGTTCCTGACCACACTCAACTAGTTTTTTCTGAAGAGTTTCCATATTTGACCACTTCCTCGTTTAACAACCGTGTATGCACTAATCGAAACTAGTATATCGCGTTATTCCAACACTGTTACCGTCAATACCAGATAGGCTAAACGAAATTTAAGCTAAATTTCGGCATGAGTTTCAATAAATGAAAGAGTCAAGCAACAGGTATTTGATCGAGACCTGTAACCTATCCTAACTCATAGGTAAAGCAGGATACGCCTTCACTTTCACGATTCCACGTAGCACATTCGATTCGATTTCTCTTATCGGCCCCTCTCACCCTTCCAACTTCTTCGACTATTCTCCTTTCCTTTTCCAGCATATTTTGTTTCCACGGGCGTATATTGACCGTGAAAGATCATATTTCTTTTTTTCCATCAAGGCTTGATCAAACGTCAAGAATGTAACCTTTTTCGTACGGTACAGTGCTACCGATTTTTATATTTGTGTTATCGATAAGATGTGATTATGAAAACCAAAAATACTTTCGGATTTTACGAATACAAAGAATTCTAAATTATAAATACGAAACGAAGATGAAAAGTGAGAAAATGCAAAGAAAACATACAAATTTGTATTTCGGTCACATAAAACTAAAATACTTGGAAGTATGACAGTTATGACGATAACATTAAAATTTATTCAGAAAAAATATCTATATACAATTTTTTATTTTTGAATATTTAGATTTAATATTAAACTGAAAAAAATCGGACTTTTATTTGTATCACTTTTTTAACATAATTATTCATTTATTTATTTGGTATAAAATTATTTATAAAATTTAAAAAATTTACAAACAGTCATATGTGTAAACTCAAAAATAGTTTAATAATTAAGAAAATTAATTACAATACTTGAGATTTTTTGTTGATCAGTTGATCAGTTGATTACCGGCATGCGCATGCGTACATCGGAATTAAAAGTATTTAAATTGTTTAGAAGTGTACTTTTCATATGTAGGTAAATTAAAATATATTAATAAGAAATTTTTAATCCATATTTTTACTTATTATATTAATCTCTTTATATGATATGAAATAAATCAATATTTAGAAAGTAATTATAATTCATATTGTATTTCCTTATTTAAAGATTAATAATTATACTTAAAAATTAAGTTATATTCAGACAATGAATTTTAGTTAAATTAAATTATTTATGAATTTATATTGTAATAATCTGCAAAAAGTATTATAATATTCAATTTTATTATATTTTGTATGCATTAATAGTGACTCAAAACTTTCTTTGATATACTATAAATTTAAAAATGTGACCACATCTTACACAGTATAAAATTTTCAAATATATCGCCAAATGAGTATTAGTAATAGATAGTAACATACGGTGGCGTTTCAATTTCTCTGTCAGTACTCAATGCATACCGAAGTGATCTCAATATTTCATTTAAGTTACATGCGTGTTTGCTTGTGACTTACGAAGAGACATCATGATGTACCTGCCTAAATAACGTTTTCGGTAATACTGCTGCAATATTACAGCTGTAATACAATAAGTTATGTGTAGTGATATGTCTGCGCGTTCATGATAAAGTACTCGCCCTTTGTAAATGTATTTCGGTGAGTTACATTTACGTTTGTTTCAAGTTATATTCTTCTGGTATTGCTGACTCGAAGGATTTCTTTAAAAAATTCATCATCAATTGTCATGCAAGCCACAAGACTAATAAGTGTATTTATTGCGACAACTATTGGGTACTATTATATAGATATTATTTTTCACAGAAATGAACAAGTTTTAAGTACACATTTAGTCAGTTTCCAAATATATTTTGAATTTATTTATATACCATTTTTCTGACATCTGTCTACTTTAGTTTTATTTATGGTATGCGATAGGTTAGGAAGAATGTCCTTGAGTTCTCTTATTTCAAAATATTTAAATTATATTATTTATGAAAGTATTGTAATTTTCTTAAACAGTTAATTTTAGACAAAGGTTAGGCATTTGTAGAATTTGTTATTTATAGTGTGTTATAATTCTTACAAACATTTTATAAGAAAACAAAATATTACTAAAAGAATGTAAAATATAATTTTAAGAATTTAAAAAATTATAGAAATAAAGCTTCTTTAGTTTTAAAATAATTTTTTTTTATCAATCATATTTTTTAACTTTAGGTGCCAGGTGCCTAAAAAGCAGCTGGCAAGATGGGCAAGTTGTTGTCAAAAATCTTTGGCAACAAAGAAATGCGAATTCTTATGCTTGGATTGGATGCTGCTGGGAAAACTAGTATCCTTGATGTATACTTTTTTTATATAACGTTTGTTAAGAAGTCTTTGGAAAAGATTAAAAATTCTTAAGATTATGTTATATTTTCTTATTAACATTTCCTTAATTATATATTAGCAATACTATATAAACTTAAATTAGGACAAAGTGTAACAACTATACCAACTGTAGGATTCAATGTAGAAACAGTTACCTATAAAAATGTTAAGTTCAATGTTTGGGTAAGTAATAATAACCATACATATGAGAAAGAAATATTTCTATTTATCAATGAAAATAATTTCTTATTATAGGATGTTGGTGGACAAGATAAAATACGTCCACTTTGGCGTCATTATTATACAGGAACTCAAGGACTTATTTTTGTAGTAGATTGTGCTGACAGAGATCGAATAGATGAAGCACGTCAGGAGCTCCATAGAATTATAAATGATAGAGAAATGCGTGATGCTATTATTTTAATCTTTGCAAATAAACAAGATCTTCCAGATGGTACAAATTAATGTATTTTATAAATCTCTGATAATTATTATATGATGTGTCACATAAATAATTGTTTATCTTTTATAGCAATGAAACCACATGAAATACAAGAAAAATTGGGTTTAACTAGGATACGAGATAGGAATTGGTATGTTCAACCATCATGTGCCACAACTGGAGATGGGCTTTATGAAGGTCTTACATGGTTGACCAGTAATCATAAATTATGAACAAATATTTATTTTTTATTAATTAGCCACATACCAAGAATGTACGTTTGCTTTGTATTTTCATTTTTATTTATCATGTAGAGGCTTTATAACACAATTGATAAAGGTCATTAAGATCCATAAGAGAGAGAGAAAGAAAGGAAACAATTTCGAGCGTACGACAGCAAACGTAAAGCAACCATTAATAACAGATGGTGCGTTTCAGTAATATTAATACTATATAAATAGAAATTTATTAAAGTACCAAAAGATATAGACTTTGTTACTAATTGTTTACTAAAGTCCGTAAAAATAGTTAATACAATATTGATTAGATTATGACGTTCAGCATTTTATTATAATTTATATATATATATTCGCGTGCGTATCGCATTATGGAATATTAAATATAAGAGAATACGAAAAGTTATAAGAATTACTTATGACATTAAGAAATGCATTCTGAAAAAGTATCTTTACAATTTAAAATTATCAGTTATAATTTAAAATATTTTGTCCAAAATAATTGGACATAAAATTCACTCTTCACAGATTATTATCAATGCTACATAATATGTATCACACAATATTCATACATATAATCCCACTGATATATGTGAGTAAACATTCAAAGCACTTACATTAATGACTTTATACAGCACGAAAATATTCATTGGTAAATTTTTGCTATCAACTTTATTATATGAAAAAACATTCGTAGTATCGATGTTTTTTTTGTTTTCAATAATCGTCTTCCAATTGAGTCACATTTTTATGCATATCAATCGACCTTTCTTTTTCCAAAAAAACGAACTTTCAACAATGTATATTTCTTCATACTTAACTTCAATTGAAACGCATTTAATATACAAACGTACACTTATACATATAAATGGGGTTCTGTACGCACAAATGGCAAGCCACTGAGTTTGATGACATGAGCTCAAAAAAATAAAAATAAAAAACAAAAAAAAGAAACAAAAACGAAGGAAGATAGGAACAATGTTACTAATAATGTAACAGCATTGAATCTGCCAATATTTTTTACCATTTAAGCGATTGGAATACGCAAAACTAGAATTAGGTCACTGGGAAAAGAGTCAGACAATGTTTTATGTACGTCTTTATTTTATTTCCTTTTGATAATAAGGTGTAGAATAAGAGTGATAAATATATTTATCAATATTTGCTATTAACTGAACAAAAAAAGGATTTCACTGTCATTCAAGTCTTTTTTTTTTGTGAGCTTCATATTTACATTGCAATTAAAAATAAGGTAACGGTGATACACGTTATTCTGTCGCTCTGTTTCTATATCAACATTTTATTTGCATTCCACAATTATGTTAAGGTATTAGAATTTTAACGAATTGTATTATTTTACCGCAGTAATAATTAATACAGATATAATAAGTTCGTCAGATTCTTTTTCTCGGCATCCGTACCATTAATGTTAAGTGTCGTATTTTGGTGAAAACTAATGTGCAAAATAAATTAGCTCATATTTAAAAGCTATACATAGGTTTTAGAAAGAAAATAATAGGCTGTTCTTTCGGGTGTATGTGCTAGTATTGAGCAGTGCTCTATGTTTATGTTTATACTCATTAATTTCGTTCATATAAAGAAGAGTTTATAATGTTGTGTCATATTTGTTTTCCTTAATTGTAATTGCAGAAAAGAACGTAACAATTGTAATTGGGATAACATTGTTAGAAAGTATCTATTCTTTAAAAAAGAAAGATATGTTTTAATATTACAGACGGACAAAATTTTAGCAATAAAATTTATTTGAATAAATTATACAGTTATATTTGAATTGAAATTGAAATTTGGTTAACCATAAAATACATATTTCATTACTAAAATGTTTAAAGTCGGAAATGGAAACAATCCAACAAGTACATACTACATAATTTGACATAGATATCTTTTGTAACTTCATTACTAAAACAAGTTTCATTTAATAATAATATATTTATTCATTCTTTATTTAGTGTAAAATATTTGAAGCATTTATAATCCAGATACTAATTTTGTTTGAAAATAGAAAATGAAAGGAAGAAACAGAAAGATACATATACATAAGATATTAACGTATTACTAGTAAATAGAATTGAAATGATTTACTGTCAAAGTGAACATGGATATAATAACATATAATTATTTTTGAGATTCACCAAGTGAACAAACAACTTTTCCATTGTTTAATTTACATAAATATATTTCTTTTATATTTTGTAATAATTTTCAGAGCCATTTAGAATTCATAGTTTGTTATCAAATATTTGCAAACAAAGAAGAAATTAGGTACCTTTAATAAAATTATTAGTGTTTGCTAATGATTATATTTCATGAGTCATGTTCTTTGTTTTATGAAAGCTAACAAAAGATATAAAAACCATACTTTATGTTTAAATTAATTTTTTAAATGAGAAAATAGTAATTTGGAAAGTATGACTATTTTTTTTTTTTTCTTTTTATTAATTAATTTTATTTAATATTGTCTACGAGTCACAAAATTTAAAAAAAACAAACAAAGAAGAAATTAGGTACCTTTAATAAAATTATTAGTGTTTGCTAATGATTATATTTCATGAGTCATGTTCTTTGTTTTATGAAAGCTAACAAAAGATATAAAAACCATACTTTATGTTTAAATTAATTTTTTAAATGAGAAAATAGTAATTTGGAAAGTATGACTATTTTTTTTTTTTTCTTTTTATTAATTAATTTTATTTAATATTGTTTACGAGTCACAAAATTTAAAAAAATTGGTAATCGCTGATCCATGCTATTAGTCAGAAAATTCTTAATACATCGACATTTATAGATTTCATAGTTGTACAAATTATTATATAAAAAGAAACATTTTTTTAATCATATTGTAATGCTAACCGTGTAAATATGTTATAGTTATTTTTTTATTTTTAAAAATATCGCGTAAGTCAGGATACGGATATTTACACGATACATTGATCAATCATTTACATGAATTTTTAAACTGTTTAGATGTTAATAGCTGAAACAAATACATTTCTCAAGACGAAGTTAAACATTAAAATATTTTTATCAATAATAATTACAGGTGCAACAGACTTTTTTGGTTTTTAATACCAATAAAAGATATAAATATTTGATAGGAAATACTACATTGAATACTATATAAGTAAATAACAATAATTTTTACTAAATTGGAGATTCAGAAAAAAATATATGTACTTATATATTGTCATCATCATACTCATCATCATCATCATTATTATTATTATTATTATTATTATTATTATTATTATTATTATTATTATTTGTATAATAAATAAACCTTTAAACTAAAAAAACATTCCTTGAAAATATAAAATGTTATATCTTTAATCAAAATATTTATAATAATTGCACTTAATTTCGATAAATAATTATTTAATTATTTACAAATGATTACATTTAATCAATTAATATTTTGATGATTTTATTTCACTTAAGAATTCTGGTCATATATTAAAACATAATAATTCCACAAAGTAATGGAACTATATATATACGCGTTTAAAAATATTTCATTCTATATCTCATATCATAAAAAGAGCTATGAAAATAAAATGAATATGAAATAAAATTATTTATATCTCATTTGTTTTATAATGACTGAGTAAAAGAAGGCTCGAATCGAGCATAAATTTTTTTATTAATAAGTTCAATAACATTAGATTTTTCTTTATACTGAAAGTGCACATATTTTTTGTTTAGAATTTCACTAATACTGCAATAGATTTGAGTAATAAACTTTATATATGTATCTTACGAATATAATGTGAAAAGTTTGTAATAAGTAATTATAATACTTTATAAATTTGATTAAAATTGTAAACTTTCGATATGAGATTCCTTTTATCGATATTATCTACAATTCGTTTAAGTAATATAATGAAGTTGTAATTTATTGCATGATGTAGTGATACCGGTTGATGCCGAAATGATTCTATTGATGTTGATTGTATTAAGGGTTATATATAAATTGCAAATTTAGGCAAAGAAATGAAAAAAGCTGTCTATTAACATTTAATTTTAAGTTAGTTAATACCACTAAATCCTATTTAATATTTAAACATTTAAAACAATTTTAATTCTTTGTAAATTATAGTTAATAACACATTGTAATAGAATTATCTATCCCAAATAATAATAAAACGAAATTGTATCTTCTATAAATATTTTAAATTGCTGTTTCGGCAATCTAAATATTTTTAATTTTCTGACTGATTTTACAACTCCATTATGTCACATAAATCTATTATACATTTTATTGACGTGTATAATGTGTATCACTGTTAGGAGTAACAATTTCATACTTCATTATATTCTTCTTCGATTTATAAATTATTTTTATAAGAGACCAACATCAATTCTTATACATATACTGAGTAAACGAAAATATCATAAAAATTAGGAAATTATTAAATAAACTTGCTTAATTCAGTGATACAAGTTTTCGAATATATACATGAAGAAAATATGTTTTTTCTTCTTTTTTACGTTATTCCTAAACATTTGTTCCTTATGCAATTCCTATCTCGATATAATCTTGAGATGTATTATATTGTATAGCCCTATGCTATCTACTAGGCCGTTGTTCTTCTATGAATGCAATTAAACGCTGTCGAGTTTTTTTATTATTTTGACAAGCTGAAGAAACCAAACCAATTAAATGCTTTACAGAGTACTCCTGTAAAGCAGATAATATATAGTTAATAAGTAATATTATAATTATAAACAAGTAATAAATAAGAATAACATGAATACATTAATATATCAGATATATGAAAATTGTATGTCATAATCATTGCAGCGTGAGTCTACATTCGGATCGATGATAATTTGTTAAATAAAATTTTAAATGAAATTTTTTATTTATTGCATTATATTCTGCGCGTTATTAAGAAATATTGTCTGGAAGAAACTATGGCTCGTACATGAACTGTTTTCTGAAAAGATTAACCATAAATATTTTGACTCGCATCAAGTAGAACTACGAAAAACAAAATTCAATACGACTCGATATACATATTGAATAAATCTCTTGGGCTAAAATACTTACGATTCATTTTTCAAGAGAACGGCTTATTTATAACTCATGATTTTCTTTAGACATTTTCTTCTCATGACAAGTAGAATACAATGCAATGCAAACAAAATTTGACTTTGAAAATTATGCTCAAAGTAAATTTTGTATCAATTTTTTTAACAAATCTTCTGGGAACGATGTTGTAATAATATTGAAATATAATTTTCATATAGCATGTACAATTTTAAGTACCTTGTGTTCTTTTATCCACTCTTCTAAACTATTTTCTGGAAGATAATAAGCTTTAATATATAATTCAACATATTCTCTGTGAGGCATTGGTCTTAAAAAGGTCATTGTTTCAAACTTTGATTTCAATTGTGTAAAATCAAGTTGCATTAGTGCTCTGCCTCCATTTGAACACTTCTTAGCATGAGAAAATCTGTGATAAAAGATATATATGTAAGTAAATTTAATTTAAAACCTGAAAGTAAGAAAGTAACATACCCTTCCACCAATGTGTGAGTTATTAGATGTGCTACATTTTCCCAGACAGCATTATATACATCATCTGCTAAAGGAAGACAGTTTCCAATACTTTTCAATCTTTCATTTAAAACATATACTTCCTACAAAAGTCAATAAAAAATAACATTTAATATACAAATAAGACAAAAATTTTTATTTGGACTCAAAATAAATACCTGAAGTAGTGCATCAATATATCCACTATGCTGAGACATAACATCAGTCACTTCCCAATTAACTTTATTCATTAAATTTAAAATATTTGCAACATCGATTGCTTGAGATGCAACTGCCATATATACTGGTTTCCGTAAATCCGTTGTCGATGCTATCGTTTGCATATAAAATTGGTGAAGGAAACCGCGTTGTGGGCTAGCACTAATAAGATGTTCCAAATATGGCTTTAAATTTTCGTATTGTCGACCTAAAAATACCAAAGATTCCACGGCTACGATACGTTCCGTCAAACCGTGAAGTTTCTCCGGTTGTGATAAATTTACAATGGAAGAAAGTTGTGGCTGTCGTACTTTATTGCAGTTTAATTTAATATTATCTTCTGTATCATTTTCGCAAAGGATTAAATTCTCCTTAATTCTTGCCAAAGACAATTTTAATTTTGGACTATATAAAGAATCACTATTTATTTGCTAAAAAAAAGAGAATATTATTTGTTAGTACTATATTAATCTTTTGATTAAATAATTCATATAGTCACACATGATATTAAAACTTACTAAATCGGAAGTAAAAAATGAGTGTACAGTATAGAAGCATAACTCATAAAACTGTATCATACTTTGTATAACAGTGACTGCGATTGATCGTAATAATCTAGACATTTGCAAATATTTTCCACAAACACGCAATATGCTTAGTGTTGTATTTGTAACCATAGGTCCTGATTCCTTTAGTTTACACTTTTTTTTATTTGTTTTAACATGATCTGAATCATCGACATATTCACGTTTTAATTCATCAGGAATGTCATCATCCGATTCATCAGAAAAATACGCAGGAGGATTATTCTATACAATGTAAATTATTTTATATATTTCACTGTCAATTAATATAATAAAAATAAATTATTTTTAAATTAGATATCGTACATCATTACTTATTAAGATATCTTCGTCCATTGTATCATCTAAACCTATAAAAAATGGAGATGCACTTCCTTCTAAATATTTCTGAATCCATTCTATGCCCATGAGGCTATCATTTTCACCAACATTACAATTATCAAAATTATTCCATACTTTACAATTATTTAATGATGGTTTTAAACTTTTAAATTCCTGTAATTGAGTTGCTACGAAATTTGATTTAACAGGACACAATTCCCATCCATCATTTTCTAAGAATATTCTGAGTTCATCTAGTCTTGATGCATGATAATGAAAAAAATATGACAATGATTGTTTCTTTATAGATTCTTGTAAATTTTCTGATTTGAAACCACATAACTCCTCTCCAATTTCCATTAATCTAAATAATTATTTTTTCTTAATATAATATCCACAGATTAAACTAAATTTCTGTAAAATTTTATGAAACACTTACCTATTAACTATGCCTAAAACTTGAACAAACTGTTCAAATTTAATGTAAGTTAAATCAGCATTCATTAAAAATATTGATATCTTCATTTCAACGTCATGCCAGACTCGAATCATACTATTTTCTAATTTATGCTTCACATACTGTTTGCTAAAAGTCTCTTCTAAATCTTTTATATCAGTATTAAATTTAATTGTATTTTCTTGTGTGTTATGCCAATTTACTACTAAATAATAAGAACTCAATATTGTCCATAATGATTTACATAATTCTGTTAAACAATTAATGCAATTTTCACGAGATACTAATTGACAAAGTTGTTTATACTGCCTCTTTGTGTCTCCACCTGCATACGAATGTACAGCAGAGAATGCAGTATTGTGAATTGCAGCAGTAAAATGCATATGCAACTGATCCATTGCAGATTGAGTTTTTCCTAATAGAGTGTAAGCTTCTTGAATTGATGTATATATTGTCACATCAAATTGTGTACACATCTGTGATAATGTAATATCTAGAGCTTCCTCTGCTTGTTCTAAAATATCCTGTAATTTTTTATTTAAAGCAGCAATGCAATGGAAATGTTTATATGTTTGTGCAGCACTCTGACATTCTAAAAGTAATGAGATTGCTCTAGGATAATTCTTTTCATTTAATAACTCTTGCAATCTATCTCCAGTACGTTGCTATAAGATATTATATTAATTAATTGATTTCCCTTTATTAACAAAGGATATAAGTCAAAAAACTTACCAATGTTTTTATAGTATTTAAGTTGTTCAATAATTCTTCTACAATTTGCCTTTTTTGATAATTTGCTAATATTCCTAAACTAGCTGTAGTAAATTGTCTTTCAGCTAATTTTAAATCTGCTCTTCCCATTCTACAGATTTCCAACACATCTTGTAGTTGTTCTTGTATCAATAAAATTTTCCCAAACTCTTTGTTACAAGCATTCTGCTTTTGTAAAATAAGTTGTAAAACTTTCTTTGAAACAACTTGATGTTGTTGTTTCAATTTTTTATAACATTTTTCAATCTCTTTAGATTGTAATACCTTTGGTAATTTTACTAATTCATGTCTACAAGGATCAAAATTATGGTCTGTATTAAAATAAATCTCTTCTATAGATTCTAATATATCTTGATCAGGAATAGGTTCACTTTCTGTTGATTGGTCAGCTTCTGATTGTATATCGTCTGGTTTCTGTGATTCTGTTGGATTAAGTAGATCCGGATGTAAGCCCATAAGTGGAATCTTGATTGCATTCTAAATAATAATAATAGTAATAATAATAATAATAATAATAATAATAATAATAATAATAACCAAAGTGTTAACCAGTGAGAGCGTAGGGATATAATAATAAATAATAATAATAATAATAATAATAATAATAATAACAACAACAATAATAATAATAATAACAATATAAATATTATATTAATATTTCCTTTTAAATGCTCTTTAACATTATTAAAGTAATTCATTAAATAGTCCATAAAGTACATTAAAAATCAAATACAACATAACCTAAAGCATAATGGGAAAGGAGGAAGAAAAATTGCACTTATTTTTGTACATAAAATTTGCAATACGCTATTCTTAGCTACAAAGTTTTAACAAATTCACTTACCTGCTTATTAATAAGACCAAAAAATTTACATTTTAAATCCTCCATACTGTAAAATTTCTTTAAAATTCCATCCAATACATTTTCATCTATGTACAGAATATCTTCCCGTTTCTATCCATCCAATTGGTATAACAATTAAAATTCGCATTTCTTTGTAATTATTTAATTAACTTCATTTTCTAAGTACATAAAATCTATTACTTACATATTATGTACTCAGATATCACACATTACATACGCATATAAAAAACTTTTTCAGGTTATGTATAATATGAAGTTTTCGCGGGAGTTGGAGTTTTATCAACAGTTGTCTTTCAAATGTCACTATCTTCAAATAATATTGATATTTATTGATAAAAAAGTAAAACAGATATATAATAAAAATTGAATTAATTTCTATATATAATTTAAAAACAATACGTATGTTTATTATTTAATTATAATTATATTATACAAAGAATTATGTTTATTAAAACATTTCACTAAACGATCTATTAAAGTAGTTTTCCTGGCATAAGTTTAGAATTTTTTAAGAAACAAGATTTAATATTTGCGAACTACGAAAATTACACTTTTTTCTACTGATTTTAAAATATATGTAATTTTAGTTAAGAATTACAACCTTTGAGCATTGCCCCCTTTTGAGTAAGACATAGCTTATACCTCGTTTGTATCTTTTAAGCTGAAAAGTTACATCATCGTCCTCACAAAATAATTTTTGTTTATTTTTAAACTATGTAACTAAAAAGCATAGGAATAATACTATTAAACTAGGAAGCTATTTTTTTTATTATTAATCAAAATTTTAACATGGAATATATGTACGAATAGTTTGCATATCACTTTAAATGTTAGAAGTGGTTTATCAATTTATATGCATGATACATACAAAATTCATTTTTTGTTCTCTCTTAAATTTTTAATGATTTTTAATTTGGACATCAGTTTGAAACTTTATCAAAAATTATTTGTGTCGCTCAAAATAACAATTTGTCATATGGGAGATCGAAAAGAAAAGGTATTCTCGTAACTGACAAAATTTTCAGGACTTATTGAGATTCGTGTTAATTTGATTAAGTAGGATATTCCTTAAAATTCCGTGAACTGTATATAATCCGTTTCCCAAGGGTAACCGCACGCCATGTTATTCTCTTCGCATAAACGCAGCATTATAACGATAAACAAATGTTACGTACGAACACAAGGGGGTTGAAATCGATGCGACATGCCAAAGAAGGGTCGCGTGGGTGTTCCAGGGTAAAACATTTGATCTCGCTGATTCCAATTGGTTGTGACTAAACAAGACCTCTTATCTCATTGGTCGAGTGCGTTTCTGCGTATCTCCCACTACTGAACTCATGATAGCTAAAGGGAGTGGGGACTATAATATGTACTTGGTATAGCATGTGTGGTATACGAACGTACGCAGGTGTGTTCACAGTGCTTGTGCACCCCGCGTTACGCGCCAGCCACTCGGTGTTGAAAAGAGACGGTGGGTGGCTGTAAAAACAAAAGAAAGTCAAAAAAGGAAAAGTGGAACCGGACAATCGTGCGTGAATTCTTATTTAGAAGAATCTATGTGCCAGTAACCGTTAGTTTAATTATAACACACCATCGGCTGGTAGACGTTCAGGATTCACATCCTCTGACGTCGTTGACAGAGGGTAGTTATTCTGTATTCCTGTATTCTAATTAAAAGCAATCGTAAAGTGCGCGTCAGATACGTTCCTCTTTGAGAGAGTAGTTTAACTGTTTGACAGCTGAGAATGGTTCAAAGATTCTGTTCTAGTATGATAGCGCTCAGCCTCGCCCTGAGTGCTTGCGTTGTTTTTCCGCGTGCCGTCATGGCGATCGACTTAAGTCGATTTTATGGTCACTTCAACACGAAACGTACAGGTACGTAACTGTTCTCATCTTTAATTCCTCTGATCACCAAGTACAAATGTAACCTCAATTTGCTTGGACAACGTTCTTTGTCATTTCCCCAGTTTAGTCGGTAGAATACATAGAATGTAATATGACAGTAGTCAGTTGAATTCGGGTAGTGTATATAAATGATACAATACGTTAAAACGATTTACAAATGTATGTACATAATAAATATCAATTATCCAGCAGATAACATTTTTCTTTAGAATGTCTATCTTTCGTTAGAGGCCCTGATTAATAATTTCATTTATCCAAACTCCATGATATATCACGTATATTTTAATCTTGATATGACGATTCATTGTGTCGATGGATAACATCATTGAAGTGGCAATTTAAATCCACGTGGTATATTAAACGTATCACGATTTATCTTCGTGACACAGTCTGCCCGTGATCTATTCAATGCAATGTAGTAATCGACGGTGGCAATCGACTTTGTCAGTGGCAAATTCGTTTGAACAATAAATAGTATAAAGTTCCTTGTAGTTACAAACTATAAAGAACTTGAATCATGATAACAATTTCTTATATATTAATTATTAACTCAATTTCTTATATTATTATTAATTTAAATATTTTCGAAGTATATATCAATTGAAATGGTAGAGAAAGATGATAGATTTTGTAAAAAATGTACCGTGACTAATATCGCGTATATGCTCACGACTCTCCCTCTTTAACCAGCATGTTATATTGCTCGGTCAATATCAGCCGTGCGGACAACCACCAATAATTGATGACTATATATGCTAATTTGGGCATTGCCACTTACTAAGATAATACACACGCGCATAGTCACGATCATATGCGCGCACGCTCTTGTACACAGATAACATACAATATTCAATACCAATCGTATGCAATATGAAATTGACATGTATAAGAGACGCATAAATATAACACATACTTTTGTATACGTTGTATTATATGTTTAAATAAAGCAAGGTTTCGTAAAAAACGAGTAGAAAATATTTAAGGAACAAAAAATATTTGTCATTATTGTACTTATTTTAACAATATTATAGGTGATGCATGCCGTCCATATGAACCATTCAAGTGTCCAGGAGATGGTCTTTGCATTTCGATTCAATATCTGTGTGATGGAGCTCCTGATTGTCAAGATGGATATGACGAAGATTCACGATTATGCACAGCTGGTAAAATTTTCTGTTGTCTTTTGATTGATTTTATTACTTCTTATAATATTCTGTTATTCCTGAATTTATTCATTCTGTCTTTATTTTGATTTTCTTTTTACAAATTACAACACGTATTAGAAAAAATAGTTAGAAAGTTGTGAGAAATTACCCATATGGCATTACCATATGTATCGAATTTCGAGCATATCGGATGTCTACTTTATACTCGTTCATTACTACTAGCTGCCTGCCTACCTATTACTAGACTAAGATCGCTAGGTTAAACTTCTTTGTTAGTGCATTTCGACGTTTCTGCATTTACTAGCTCTAAACTTGCACAAGTAAATAATCATTTATGTATAAATAACAATTTTATTCAATTTTTACGAAATTTTACTGTTAAAAAATTTGTTAATGTTAACGAATGTTTGGTATATGTGTGTAATCATTTGATTGAAATATCATGTTTGTTTTAGCAAAAAGACCACCGGTAGAGGAAACTGCTAGTTTTCTGCAATCTTTGTTGGCAAGTCATGGTCCAAATTATCTCGAGAAATTGTTTGGGGCGAAGGCGCGAGATACATTGAAGCCTCTTGGTGGAGTAAACACGGTTGCTATAGCACTTTCCGGTAATTATTAAAATTCTTATAAAGATAAGCAAATTTAAAGATATTTATAGTAAATTCTTAAATAAATCGATTATTAACGAACAACGTTAAATCAAAAAACAATAAATCCCAATTTGTAGAATCTCAAACGATCGATGACTTTGGTGCAGCCTTGCATTTGATGCGCTCCGATTTAGAACATTTGCGTTCCGTGTTTATGGCGGTGGAAAACGGCGATCTAGGCACGTTGAAATCAATTGGTATCAAGGATTCTGAATTGGGAGACGTTAAGTTTTTCCTAGAGAAGCTCGTGAAGACCGGTTTTCTCGACTGAATAAGCATTTTCTTGGAACACCATAGCGAAGGCACTATAACGTTGGCTGTATCGTATTACAATCGCACTATCCTATCACTTTAAATGGTTCTTTGGCAAGTGTTCTTTGCTAAATAATGACCGCCTACCTCTTTCTTTTTTTTTTTTTCTTATTTGCCTTTCCCCTCCTCTTTTATTTCTAATTTCCTTTTCGCTTTCTTTCGATACCTTCTTACTGCTTCCTTGCTTTTCAAAAAACACGCCGTGCGAGCACCGAGATCAGTTGAGAGATATCTACCGTTAACGAGAAACATGGGACTCTGAATGTTTAAACTTTCGCTAAATGTCAAGGGTTGATGCTTGTATATCTGTACACCTTTATCGACATGATGTTACTTACTTTCACGCTGCAATGGGCACACATTACGCAGAATTAAAAACAATATTGAGAAAGTAAAGCGAATAATCATCAGAGACCTTCTGTAATATAACAAATAGTTACATATATAATCGGTTTGAGAACTTTATAATTATCAGGTCAATTAATTGTATTTTAGTGGAGCATTCTATTCGGCACCACAAAGCTTACGATCGATACTAATTAACCGCTAGTTCGTTTCCGTGACTCAACATCGTAGACATACAATCATCATTAATGATAAAGAAGATATAGGAAAGAAGCAAAAAAATATTTTAGTTCGTTGAATAAGTTATTTTCACTTATAAATCGGCTTTCTTTATTTTAATAATATACGTGTCTCTTAATTGGAAATCAATAATTTTAAAAGGAAATGGATTTAAAAGGTGTTAAAAAATTTATTGATCGATAATTTTATCTAATAAAAGGGGCTTCGATTTTCGTTCTATCTTTTCATTATTTTCCTTTAATTTTACGATGTGCCTGGCGCAGCATGTAAGAAACGTACATTTGTCAATATTAGATCGAATTCAATTTTATTGTCGTCAGACTCCCATCCTACTTGTATTTTGCTATATTACCGAAGCTGTGCTTTGGTGATTAATATTCGTGATATTCAACACATACATAAACTCATGCATAAACAAAATCTGCCTTGTAGCTGGAATATTGAAACACTGCACGTGTTTTTTGTTACAGAAAATATTATGTACAGTACGTACATACATGCATACACATACACATATGTATATGTCATTTATTGCACATTTACATGTTTGTAAAACCGAGTAATTACTGCTGGTACAGTACAGCACATATAAAGGTCCTTCTACGGATTTCAGTTTTTCGTCGTATCGAGGTTGAGCTGTTTTTAGATTTTGCATCAGTTAGATAACTTAGGTTAAATATATTTCACAGAATACACAATTATCCATAGCTAAATAAGTGAGGGACAATCAGATAAATCTCAAATAATACTTCTTCCATTATATACTTGAAAGATAAATTGCTTTGATACTTGAAGTACAAGAAAAGGGTTAAAACATGTTTGAGAATCGAAATCTTTATGTCTGTTTCTAATTATCGTTGGTTTCACTCGAATGAAATACTTATTCACATTATTCCTCATCGATACGCATCGAACGGAAATACGTAGATAAATCTAACTTATATTTAAAGTTTTTTTTCTTAAACCGCTCGATATGATCGATTTGTAATATTGTAAAACACACGCGCCATGATATGTTGTTTTATCGATCAGACTAACCTCAAATGATCAATGTAAAAGCCTTCGATAGTTAGAAGAACTTTCAATTGATGTTTCTATGTACAATTTAACTGTTTCTATTGGAACGCTATTACAACACAACATACAACTTCTGATTTGTTTTAGGAAAGAATCAATATAAAGAAAATAGAAAATTAAGGGAAAATAGATGCAGTTAATTTATATATTCTTTTGCTTGCCTTTCTGTTGAATTAATTCTAGAACGCGATGTAGGGAATTTATTTGCATGGTCTAAATTCCTTATATACAAGAAAACACATAGTTATATATACACGTACATGTACACATATAAACACATATATGTATATAAAAAACATACATACATATATATCTATTTTAAGCATGAGAAGAAAAGCAGGTACAAATTCAACATCGTATCGCGTTCCTTCAGAGTATAACGCGTTCTTTACTTAAAATGTTGAAGGTGACGATGTTGATGGTGAAGAAGCAAATATACAATGCTATAATGTATTAATATTTTCATTACGGTAACGCAACATATCAATATAGATACATATCAGTAATCTACTCTGGAGATAAATACAGAATTCTCTCTGGGAATCAATTCTCTATTTTAATTGTCTTAAAATCTTATAAATCACAAGTTTTAATAATAGAATCTCTTTATGGTGAAAATTTGAAAGTGTATGAAATGGAAAATAGAGAACACTCAAGTGGTTCCATCCTGGAGAGACTTCAGTATAGTGATGCATCTCTATTTATTAAGCGTAATATCTTCTAGTCAATCAATGATATATCTTTTAATTAATAATAAATAAGTCTATATATGATAGCATATCAACAGAAGAGTCACTTTTATCAGATAGTAGATATAATATTTTGGTATATAAAAGAAAAGTAAAGAAAAAATGGTGAAAAGAAAAATATGTAATGTTCCCTCTAGGTGTCAATTACGGTCCAAAGTAGGGCCTGGATCGAAGACAGAATCTCGAGGGAAATTTGTGTAAGCTTTAGAAATCAATTTCTTTTCGGGGGTCAAGACGCTCTGAATCTCCGCTTCGCGAACGCCTTGGTCCTTTTTAACCCTTTCCTCTGCTCCCCTCACTCTTCCGTTTTACCCTGAATTTCGACGTGTTATATTTAAGATAAAACAGTTCATCTCCGGTGGTAATTGAAATTAATGAATCCAAACACGTATAGGTACTTCGAACGATATAACGCGCTCGTAAATTATTATATTAACCTTCAGGTTACGGATACTCGAGTAGCGACGTGGAATCTGAATACCGGGTTACTTTGTTACGTTATAAAAGTTTTTTCATTTACACCTTTTGAAAATTTTTTTGTGAAATTTTATACTATCATTTCTTTAAAACACTTTAATGATGAATATTATGTATACTTTTTATAATTAATGAAGTCAAGTCAAAATGATCCGGCATTCTCTGATCTAGGGATCACCGATATTCAAAAGTGTCTACAGTTTATAGTTGTAGATATTTAACGACAAACAGTAAAATGTAAAAAATTGTTTGTTAACTTTAAATATCAACTTAATTGAGTAATTACCACTCGATATCAATTTATTGACACTAAATTTTGTTTAATATCTTTAACATCTAAAAAAAAAATTTTGTATTCCATTATTAACAATATATATGGTAAAGAAAGAATTCATTCGAAATTGATATTGTAAAGCACTCATTAATGTTTAAACACATTATTTTTCATAATATATTTCAAATTACTATTTCGGAAATCGGAATACTCGCATTTTTAAGCTCGATTGATTTTACGTGTGCGTTATATCATTCAAACCAAACATACGATGTGCCTGAGGTATATCTCTATCGCTTTCGAACGATAGGTTCTAAAATGCTTGGTCACGCTACACTTGTTTTAAAGTTTACAGCGAATAATCATTCATTTGCATATTTCAAATTATTTAAATGAAAGATGATTTATACGATTTGATGTTTTATTAATTACATATTTTAAGTATTTGACGGATATTTGTTGTAATATTTGATGATATTTGTATTAATCAGTACGTTTCATGAAAATTGCTATTATAAAAATTAAAATAAGAAATAATATAAACTATTTTAGTTGAATGTGAATTTATTTTAGTAAAGCATGTTAGACAAATTATAAATCATTATAACAGAACATATCTATACAATCCGTCCATTGCATTCAACTAAAAGGATTAGTATGTAAAATAAAAAAAGAAAGAATTTAATTTTCAGTTGATATAAAAAATATTTTTTTTTTGAGACTTTTAATTTACAAAATGAAACATAGTGTGAACAAGCATTATTGAACGTTTCTGTCAGTCGATGAAATATACAGCGCATTATGTGTACGTATTAATACTTTGACCATCTTAGTTATCAAGATTTAAGCAATGTGATAATGTAATAAAAAATCACACGCCGTCGTATTTATGTTATTTTCGACTTCTGATTCTTCTACTGCCAAAGCATTCTTATTATACGGCAACTGCGACGTACCATACACTTGTAAGCGATCTTGCTTCTTAAAATTTTGTACTTCTATTAATTAAAACAAAATACAATGTTCTTGGAAATAAGTTCAGCGCGCGAAGATTATTTAATAAAGTGAACGTTTCTTCAGTTTTATTTTATGGAATTGAAATTGTACCTGACTACACACGCGCACGCACACAGGCATACCTGGTTTGATTTATTGTAATCATTAAATAATCTATTTTTCCTTTCATAAAAATTTATTTTTTTTCTCTACTTGGTAAATATGAAAATCAGAAAACGAGAAAACTTTTTTTAAGAAGCGTATTTAGAAAATCAAAATTTCATAAAATTGCAAAATAGTGGGTAATGATTCCCACAAGCTATCAGATTTTCTTTTAATGGTAAGTGAATAAAATAACAAAAATTCTTTAAATTACATTTATTTGACGAAATACTTTATTTGAGTGTCCAGCTTGAATAACAAAAACTGAATAAACGATAACAGTAGTAATATTGGAATAATGTATATTTTTATGGTATTTTAGGCATAAAATTTGCATAGTATATAGAAAAAAGCACATACTATTTTATTTACTGTCCAGTTGGTTTAATTAACTGATATTTGTTAGTAACTCCCCCAAGACATTTTAGTTCTTCGACTAAATCTCGTACATTTATTTTTCGAGAAACTACTAATGTTCGTTGATTTTTAGCACCATAACTATTTGATTTTAAATTCAGTTGCCTTGCAACTCTAAATAAATTAAAGAATATATTTAATAATTAGTTTTTAATCTAAACAATTATTTTAAAAAACTTCATCAATATACTCACTGATGGATTACTGCTCTTTCATCATTTGTAAAATCAGCAGAAAATACTAAATCATTTCTCATATCACCAGTGAGATACCTTGTCATGATATCCTTACATTTAAATTTTAAGTCATTCATAGAACAAAAATTTGGCTTTAATCCTAAACCTTCCCTATTAATTTGCTGTTTAATCCTATTAGTATAAAATAAATATTTTTGAAATATTCTTTTCAATAACAAATATTATTTAAATCACATAAATATTATAATATAGCAACAAAAGAAATACACTTACATTATAGGTTCTATTATTCCTTGTTGTGATTTACCAAGACCACCACCAGACCAACCCATTAATTTCATTAATTTTCTTCCAATATTGTCATCAGAAATAGAGTCATTTTTTGATGTATCTTTTACCATTGTTGTTGTAGTTACAGTGGCATTTGTATTTATATTCTGTTTAATCTGTATATTAAAGATTTATTAAAAGTTAAAAATACATAAAAATAGAAAATAAATTTTCTTGCAAACCTTAATTGTATAGTAATACTTCTGTAGTTCATGTAATCCAATAATAGATGCATCTTTCTTTGCTGATTTTTGATTAGAATTACTTGCTTCAGCTAACAATTTTGAATTGACAAAAATACTGCATTTGCTGTACAAAAGAAAAACTAGAGAAGTAAATTTGAAGAAGAAAAAAAAAAAGAAATAGGGGAATATAATATATACAAAGAATCCTTAATCTTATCGAATTTCCATTCTAAATTTCCACCTGATGCATGGATTGCACAAGCAAGTGTATTTTGTGGTATATCTCCAGGTCTTTCTATTATAACAATATCACCAAATGGAGGTTCCTCTAATTTCCTTCGTTTGATAGGTATATTGTTAGACTTTAAATTATGATATGATTTTGTACTTTGTGATTGTGTTGAGGTTTCAGTTATGTTGACAGATGTTGAAGCTGTATTTCCTAAGAAATAACTCATTAAAAGATGAATTTAATGAAAAAAAATTTTATTATGATTAATTTTTCTTCATAAGTACTTAACATAAGTTAGAACTCACAGTTCTTAGATGTACCTGTAACCTTTAAATTAGCAGCATCAGATGCTTTTATGAATTTTCTTTGTACTTTATTTTTCTGTTTATTTCTGTATTCGCTAACAATATCTTGAGCTAGGACTGCAACTAACTGCATTGTCTCCTTCGGATATCTACACATGAATAGAATATTAAAGTAAACTAAATTTGTAAAAAAAGAAAAAAGGAGAATCAAGAAATTTTTAAATATAACTACCTGCACCCAAGTAATTCGACATTCACGAATACTTGAGCTAAACAAACAAGTTCGTCTTCTGGAAATTTATCCTTATGTGCTATGAGAAATTTGCGCCTAAGTTCCCAATGTTCATCACATTCGTGTTCTGCTTTATACCGTTCTACGTCCCAAACCTCTCCACTGCTCATTTTCTTCACAATATCATACGGTTTATATAACAAATGAGGAAGCTATACACCAGAACATATACCAAGTGTATTATTTGTAAAAATTATATTAAATTAAATAAACAAAATAATAACAATGTAATATTAATATTATCAATGCCTTAATAAAAATATTCGAAACACTTCTAGTCCTAGTAAGAGCTTTTTTTGCTGTCTACTTTATATGAAACTTGTACAATACAACAAAAATTTCTAACAATTTCACACGGTAGTAACATAGATGGGATACAACATAAACTTAACATCTTACAGAATTTCGTATTATATAAGGTAAAATACCAACCTAAAAAGAAAGAACCTTTTTTAGGTTTTCTATCATTTAGAGCGGTAAGTTTAAAAAGTTAATAAAAGCAATTTATAAGAAAGTATTAATTTTTAATTTATCTTTTAAGAAAATATATTTCATTGTATAGAATAAATTAATTATTAATAAAAATTTGTTATATTCTTTATTATATTTTAATAACGATAGTTAATATGATTTTAAACAGATAAGAGAATTTCAATATAGTTTTACATTAAGAAATTTTTCTGTATTTCTGATTTAAATATCAATATTGTCTTCCACATATTATGATTGTAATATATATAAAGTAGTATTTTACTTTTTTCTGTATTTTAAATAATTTTTACTATAAAGAATTAAAATACAAAATGTATTGGAAATGAATATATAAATACTGTTATAATAAACTACTGATTTTGTGTTTTTGTTTTATTAATATTACAACTATTCAAAAACTTATAATTATTTATGGAAAAATGAAATAAGGTAGTACATATTTACGCATCCAGATTATGAGATAAAAATGCATTAGATATTGTGTGATGCTGTATTGAATGTGTACATTGTGATACACAGTGATAATATTGTGAACTAGTATTAAATGTACCTCACTTATCGAATGTTAATTCAGTATATTGAAATTTATAGTGAAATAACATGTAATATAATATGAAAAGTACAAAAAGAAAGTGAAACATATTACATTGTATTTATATTAGCTTTTGTCCTAAATTTTAAACAAAGTAGACTTTAATTACTCAATCAGAAAAATTTTCTAACCTATTACACAGAAAGAAATTCAAATAATTTTTCGATTAAAGTTATTATTATTAAAAAATATTTAAAATGACTTCTATTGTAACACGATCATTTTCAACCAAATGTAAATATTTTATAGTCTTTTTTCTTTAAAATATTTATATAAATATATTTAAATATTAAATTGTTCATTATAGTATGGAAAGATTGGAGTATATTGCGACCATTTTTTATGTATCTTCCTAAGCATGAATTATCAACAGAAACTGAACCACAACAAAATATCAGAGATGGTAAAAATATTTTGTTACTTATTGTTTAAACTATATTTTTTTATTTTTTGTTAATATAATTTGAATATTCTTCATCTTTCAGTTTCAGAAAGTCTGAAAAATATAGACCCCTTAAGTCATCCAGATTTTTTTCATGTTTATGATATGTTCACTGTTAAAAACTTATTTGATGCAAGAGTACATTTTGGTCACAAAGAAGGTTCTTTAAATGATTACATGCGACCTTTTATATTTGGTTCTAGACTAGGTCACTTAATAATTGACTTAGATCAAACTGCTGAGCTTTTACGACAAGCATTAAATGTTACAGCTCACATAGCTTTCAGAGGTGGATTAATCTTATTTATATCAAAAAATCCTCAGATTTCTTATATTGTAGAAAGTACTGCAAAGGAATGCAAAGAGTTTGCACATACCAGGTTTTGGCACCTTGGAACATTTACAAATGTTGAACATGAATTTGGAGTTATTACTAGACTACCAGATTTGTGTATATTTATTAATACTATGGAGACTGTTGTTAAACAACACATAGCAGTGATACATGCAGCCAAAATGTGTATTCCATCAATTGGTATTGTAGACACAAATTGCGACCCCAGACTTATAACATATCCTATTCCTGGAAATGATGACACACCTTGTGCTATTGAACTTTATTGTAAATTATTTAAGGAAGCAGTAATGAGAGGAAAAAATTATAAAAATAAAATGTTTGAAGAAAATAAAGTATGATATAATTTGAAATAAAGTACTATGAATGTAATAATATTATAAGTAAATTTGTTAATTAAGGAAATACTAAATGTTTTTATTCAATCTACTTAATAAATACGACGAAATTGAATAGTTGTAATATATACTATATTATAAGAATAAATATGTATATTTATTCTTCTTGTTTAATCGTTACTTTGTTATCTCTCAAATATTGCAAAAATCTTGGTCCTAATAGCTTAATTATCCTAAAATATAAAATAATTTTATAAGATATTTACAGGAAAATTTTGGTTAATCTAAAATAACATACCATTTTCCTAAGTTCGGATAATAATTTGTTAAATATGTTAGTTGAAGTATAAGTGGTTTACTAATCTATACATCAGAAAGTTGATTTGCTATTGCAATTGGCATTAGTATGGCACAACGTTCAGCGCTCACTTTACTTGATGAGTTTTTTTCTATATTTTCCAAATATTTCTTGGGAAAAAAGATACACTAAATTAATAAATAATAAATCAAAAATACTTTATGATGGCATTATAATCAATGTACTTCACCAGATTTCTCTGTATATGCTTCTGTCAAAAAATTAGTTTGTACTGGTCCTGGACATACGATTGTAATTGGTATATTTTTCCCTATTTTCTCAATATTAAAGCTGTTAAAATATGCCTGTATATGACAAATTTTTAGTACTATTAAATATAATAAAAAATAATAAAATATATATATACTTATTAACATGTACTTAAAGATTAATAATTATTTTTAAGAGTAACAGAACTCACATTTATTGCAGATTTAGTTGCACAATATGTAGCAGAAAATGGTACTCCAGAAATACCTGCAATACTTGAAGTGATCACAAAATGACCTGCACCAACTTTAAAAAAATATTTTGCTACCAATCTGCTTAAAGCTATTGGAGAGAATACATTTAAATTAAACATTTCTTTGTCAACAAATATATCAATGTTCTCCCATTGGGCTCGTTGAGATCGTCCTGCATTATTTACAAGTATATCCAACCAAAATTAATACAAAAGATAATTAAAATCATTGAATAGTATTGAATATACTATTAAGGGTCATTAAATATGTACTTACTTTGCCAAATTTAGCAATGACATTATTAAATGCTGGTTCGTGATTTTTTATATCACAAATATCTAAAAGTATTATTTCAATGTCTGAATTTTTTAAATTTATATTTTCTGAAAATAAATGAATAAAAATATATCAAATTTAAATAAAGATAAACAAATAATTAAAAACAATAAATATCTGGTTTTACCAAATAAACTTACTTTGTAAGCAATTAGCTTTTACTTTTTCTAATTCTGCTTCTCTTCTTGCTGATAAAATTAGCTTACACTCAGCTTCTGCCAAAACATATGCAAGATATTCACCTATTCCACTTGATGCTCCTGTTATCCATACTACTTTTCCTTTTGAAGAATCTGCCAAAGAATGTCAAAATTATATTTAATATATTGTTTCAACAATGTCCATTAGGAATATTTTTTTGTAACAATCCCTTATAGGTTTGCCAAATTTTTCATGGAAAGCAAGATTTAGGTCACAGTCCAAAAACCAAGGCCAAATCAAATAAATAAGATGATAAGTTATAAATATTATACTAATGATGACTAAAAGATCCATGCTATTAAATTATATTCCATAAGCTGACCTGAAAATAAAAGCATTATATTATACAATTTGATTTTTAATATTTTTACTTTGCAATGGTATTACCTTCATATTTTTGCCCGAAAATGGTAAAAACGTTTTCTTTCGTGTATCGTAAATTATCACGTATATAAGTTATTTTCACTTCAGTTATATAACGCTAATAATGATATATTGTAACTATAACTATGACTAAATGAAAAAATGATAATGATAGATTATAAGTATAATTGTGATTAAACAAAAGATAAAAATTATCACTGCCTTGAATTATAAAAACACATATTTACCAATAGACAACATAAATTTATCTCTAGATTATTATAGACAACATAAATTTATCTCTGAATTAAAACAAAAGTTGATAAATATCATTTACATTGCAAGTACGGTATAGATGTAATGGATTATTAATTCCAAGGTTACAAATTTTGTTAATAACATGTTTCACGTCGAATCATCCACAATTGGATGATGGGCATGCTTTCGTCCACGCCTTGTCATTAAATATTGGATGACGTTTTTTTTCGTCCAATTGGGTAGAATTTTTCAGCTGATATCACATACATACATACTTTATTTTTGTATTTTATAAATTTCAAATATATATTTAAGTCGTTTTTGAGTTTTTCCTTATCAATTTTATTAATAAATTGGTTTTTAAGTTGAAAATATAAAATTTTGTAAATCATTTTTCAATACCTAAATCTTTGAGATTTTATACATAATGATATTTCAATAAATGGTAATAAAGTATTAAAAATTGGCTGACTTTTTCAAAAAATGTTTTAAATAGATTCTTGTATAAAAATTATTATTATATATTTAAGTAACATTCAATTGTTTGTTCATTGTATAGGAATAAATTAAACTAATATTTTATTGTTTTACATAGTTAATTTTTACGTAATCAAAACATTTATGTAATACGCTCCTCTAGTTAACTTATTTGCTGCCTGACCGGTGCCGGGACCATTGTTTATTTAGATACTTTTCGGAGTTGCAGCTGGTTGCAGCTAGTTCTTTTTGTAAAGAGGAGACTTCAAAGTTTAAGATGTCATAAGAATAAACGCTGAATGGTGCTGAATGGATAACTGAAAGCTATAATGAATATTAAAAACATTCAAATCGGTATAACAAAAAAATATTGCAAACAAAAATTTTAAACTTTGCCCAATTTAAGGATTTAAAGATGTACTAGGTAGATTTCACTGTATCATTCTCTGTTTAATTATAATGATTATAATAATTTATAAAAGGAGATGATAGTTTCACGTAAATTGTCCACTGCATTGTTCACTTCGACTATCGGATTTGGGCACCGTAAGAAACTCGATTCACACTGGGCGACAAACTGTACATTTTGTCAACAATGATTCAAATTAATATATGTACAGTTTGATTGATTAAGTTCGCAATGATGATCCTTTTATTTGTTCAAAGTACATGTATTCCTAAAATATGATGTATAATGAGATTATGTAAGTAGCTGGAAAGGTTATTTTAATTTCATTGAATATTTCAAATTAAACTGCATAAACAGATTATATAATTAATAACTGTAAACTTAAATTAAAGCAAGCTTACTTGCACTTATTACTATTTCGCGAATATGAACAGGGCTATAAGATATGAGAAGCAAGAGTATCTAAAAAGGAACTGGTGAAGGAATGCATAGAGAAAAGAGAAAAAGAGTGGGGGGACAGACGAGAAGGAATATGGATAAGGCTAACAAGGAGAGTGCAAGGCCCTCGGGTCACCGATTTTGTTCAAACTTTGCAGGTTTGTAGATCTCGTCATGCAGTTCAAGAAAATATACCATTATTTGTAGTTGTTGGGGCAACTACCCAGTAGTTTTTGAGATATTTGTGATTAAAGTTCCTTAACTGCAGATGCATTTCCACTATTTTTCAAGTAGCGTTGTGGCCCAGCGACGACATCTGAAAATTCCTACCGTGCAGGTGTTGGGGTTCGACTACCGTGTAGTAGTTTGGTACTTTTTTCCAATCTATTTTTTATTTTGTATTCATTTTTTGCCTACGAATAAAATTTCTTAATAAAAGAAATTTATTTTTACTTTTTACTGTTGCTTTGGATGGAAACTGACTGATTGGAAAATACATTCCGATGCTTGCTAGTTTCCTTATTAGTTCTAACATAAACAATCTAACGCCAGAAACTCTCGAAACTCTTGACAGAGAATGCAAGACCGAAACAAATATAGAGGACGATTTTTCAAATGACCATAAATGTGAATTATTTGAATGAAATATAATTCTTTCAGTTATTATTCACGAATGACTGATAAATTGTTAATTGTCAATTCAAATAATCAACTTTAATCATAAATATCTCAAAAACTACTGGGTAGTTGCCCCTATAATGGCATATTTTCTTGAACTGCATGACGAAATCTACAAACCTGCAAAGTTTGAACCAAATCGGTGACCCGAAGGACTTACACTCTCCTTGTAAAGAAAAGGACACTAGAAGAAGAAAGATTAGGGAAAAATGAGATGGATAGGATGAGGAGGAGGAAGGAAAATATAGAAGAAAAGATGATACTAAATAGGAGCGAAAAGGAGAAGGAAGCAAGGAGAAAGAAGATCGAAGAATCAAAGTATGAGAGAGAATACAAAAGACTGGTAGTAGAAGAAAAGCCAAAATACTTACAGGAAAAGGTGAAAAACAAAGAAAGTAGGCTAATGCAAGGTACATGTACGGAAATAAGGTAAAGACAAAAGAATATTGGAAGAGTACAGAAGAAAGAGAATGCAGATTGTGTGGAAAAGAGGAGGAGAATATGTGGCATGTGTTAAAAGAATGCATTTGGATAAGGGATGAAAAAGGGTTGAAAACGGCATTAGCAGAAGAAGGAAAAGGAACAGAGACGCTAAAGAGAATTGAAAGAAAATGGGAAGATTTAATAAAAGAAAGGGAAGAAAAGGAAAAATGGAGAGCAAATGAAAGTTGAAAAGAGAGGGGTGGAAAGTGCAATGTGCAAAGAAGGAGGAAAGGAGAGACAAGAAAACGCAGTCGGAGGACGCAACCAAAAGACGAAGATAACCAAAGAGGAGAGAGCGCAGAAGAGTCGAAGAAATAATAGATAAAAATAAACAAATAGGAAAGAGAGAAATATAACCGGATTGAGTTAAATTAGGTTAAAGTAGAGTAGATAGTTTATAGGGTAATGGTTTGAAAGCTACAACTGAGAAAAGATGAAAACGTAACAGTTAATGTTACGTTAACTCGTCCTAAACCGAAAGACAAGGATTATGGTATATCTATTTCACAAATTTATATTTTATAATTTTACCGCTTTTACGCTACATTTTAAATATTATACAAATATTATGCAATATATTTAAAATGAAAAAAGACTCACTAATAGAAATGCTGCTGCAAGGAGTAAACTTTTTAGTTTTATATCCATGTCCGCGGGAAACGTAATTAATAGAATATAATCGTGAAGAATATTGTCCCATTGATGCATAAGAGATGCAATTTGATGAGTACCATCAATTGAAATGATCTAAAATCAATTAATGATCAACAATTAATAATAATGTACATACATACTAAAATATATAAAAATATGCATCAAATAAAATATTTATTGTTTTTTTTCAGATTATACTTGGAATTGTGCTTCTTGATACATGCAGCAACCGCAAACATTCGGACCGTATATGTTACAAAGTTCTTTTCGTGTATCATCGTATACCGTGAAACTCGAACCCAATATGTTGAAATTTTCTTCCACTGTGCCAATTAAATTTGCACTTCCCACACTCATTTTCTATACAATGAAATTTTTATCTTTTTATTAAATAGTCAAAAATTGAACAATTTTGAAACTATGAATAAAATAACAATTTTACTCACGTGTAATTTGTTTAAAGTATAAGTCCAACTAGAATTCATTTTCATGATGAACGCTGTTTCGCCACACTGATCCATGAGATTCAACTCAAAATCGTCGTGAATCAATTTCGAACAATTCCAGATGTTTGATCGATTCTTGAGTTTCGTTTCTATTGCTAGGAATAGAGTTTCAGCCTTTGGTACTTTTATCCTATATTGAAATCTCTTTTCTGATCTGCCAAGCACTAGTGAAAAATATAAATTTTTATTATTTCTGAATATACTATATTTATATTCTAGCTGCTTCTTTAAAAAAATGAGAAATAGAAGCACAGTTATAAGAAAAATTAACTTTAAGTAGATTTCTAATAATCATTATTTTTTCCATAACCGCTATACGTTATTTTTATTTTTTATTTAAATAAATTACGAACATGTGCTCAAATCAACAATTTGTTGTATTTCCAATTGTTCTACATTGCCTAAGAAGTGGCTACCCGAGAGTACACTAAGCTGAGACCTTGGGGTTGATATCCAGTCCGAAGTATTCACAGGTATTGGCCTTCTTGGTCGTTGAATTCCTCCTGACCGAATACAATATATTTAATGTTATTTTATTTTATTTATCATTATCTATACATCTTATATATTTAACATATTAGATCATTTACCTTGTGGCTGTGCCGTGATGACAGTCGGCCTCGAAAAAATAAAAGGTGAGTTGGATACTGGATTTTGTTGCATTTCTATGTTCTGAATAGTTGCCTGATTGATCTCTGCGTGATTAAAAGCTTGTTTAAATGCTTTCGTTCGATTAAACCTTCACTTCTTCTTTACACTTCCTATTATGCAAACTAATCAAATGATTCTATCATTAATAATCATAATATTTTGTTAAATATAACGAATATGTTCAATGTACTTTTAATCACATGCAGTAGTATTAAGTTTAAATTCAGATTAATTATGTTTATATAGTTTCGATTCTACTAAATTTGTAACAATAGCGATACTAATAATGTATATGTTTGATAAGGATTACATGTAAGATAACTGAAGAAAGTAAGAAAATAGAGAATCATGTACACACTGTGTATATTTATTGGGTACATTTACCAGGTAATACTCCGTATGTGAAACGATTAAGGTCACCAGCTTCCATTTCTTCTCTCAGGATAACAAAAATTCATCACTTAAGGTGAATAAACCCTTTTCAACGTAGTAATAAGATTTAGTATCTCATAAAATGTATGTTTTCAGCGTGACACGTGGGAAACTTTACTGAATTAATTAATTTTAATGAACTTCAAGTGGCGCAGGGAATTCACCGATCGATCAGCTGGTAATTGTAAATATAATTACGTTGAAACAAGTTTTGTTTTACGTGAAAATATTCCAAAATTTTTCTTTTTTTCTGTTCCTTAGTCGTCTTAAGGGCTCAAAAAGTTGATAAATTGAAATCCGTTTTTCGACAGACCATATTTCATTTCATTGGTATCATTCTTGGAAACCCTTCTAAATACTGTTTATTCACGATCGCTCGTCGAACGTTCAGTAATTCTCTTTTCGTTATCATTGATAACCAGTCGCGTATCATGATTCTGGATAAGCAGTATCTTTCTGGTTATCAAGTTGAGTTATCGATGTTCCTTATTGAACAAAAAACAATTCGGTTCTGGTGATTCGATACAGCAATGAAATAACAGCAGAATAAATGAATATATGATATTGTATGTTTATCAATAGGAGAAACCAGGTTGGTCCGCTGAAAGGTAGAACAATGCAGCCTGTTGAGTGTACTGTTGAATGTATTTTAAAGCAAGCCTTACGCGATGAGGCTGGCCGCAAATCCGGACGTCTGGGTAGTGATGACATCAGACTGCTTCGAGTCATATGCTTGATTTCATCTTTAAGCTCGAAGCGGCGTAAAGATACATTGTTTTTCAACTTTCTCATGCATAACTTTAATTTTACATCCTACAAAGATAAAAATTTACATTGTCAGTATAGATAGATATATAATATTTTTTCAAAACGCATTTTTCTCTAGCGTTATTTGTATTGAACTAAGAATAGTTATCAAGTATATATTTGTAACATGAAAATGAAGGAGAGGACTAAAGCACAAAAAAGATAAATACAGACCGCGACGATATACTCAAGTTTTGTTTATAGGAGCTAGCTATACAATTTCGATCGCTACCTATAAAGGCGATCGCATTTGAGTCCAGCGCAGTCAGTAGGCTAACAGATAAGTGAAGAGGTCAAGAAAATATTCAAAAATGAGTTTGTTCCGTAGTTGAATATCAAAGCGTAGCTATTAAGCGTTCTTCAGCAGAAGCAGATTCTCGCATTACAGTTTTTCCTTTCTCAGGGTGAGATCGAACTGAATTTTAAAACAAATTAAATTGTTTTTTATTTACACGCACATAATTTAGCATATCTTTCGTTGCAGTTCGTTTAATGGAGACATACAAAAAAATATATTTCTGTTTATTAATCATTGTTGTGCCCATTTTCTACTCATTTTAATCCTTTTCTTCTTTTTTAGAGCCAACGCACATGTTAATATGCCCGCCAGTTTCTTTGGGAGCAGGAAAATTCATTTCGTTATCTTAATTATATTTTAAATGTACCCACACACGATGTCGCACAGTGCAATTGATGTGAATGGTAACCGTCAAACTGTGGAACGTTGCAATGCGTTGAAAGGCTATCATAATAGAAATAAACTTTTGTACAATGACATTTTGTAACTCAAATCTATCGGTGGTCATAAATCAAACGATCATAATAAAAATGGTCATAAATGACCTGCCTCATTATGCCCAAGGTTGGTTTAAGGTTTATAGTACCTTACAAATGATTAATAGGAATTTTTCTATTATTCTACTTTTTAAATATTGATATGTTTAAAAGACATTAAATGTTTTAAAAGTAATTCATGGATTGAAAAGGTGAAGACTGTAATTTATTTTTTTCATTAATGTTTAATTTTTTTAATATTTACTTTTAATAAGTTTTAGGAATAATCGTTAATGAAACAAAATTCTGTGTTTCTGTGCTTCTATAAGTTTATAATTTTCACACTATAATCACAATACACCTTTCTAGACGAATATACCAATTCTCAAAGATAACGCTTATTGGTCATGGTGTACACAAAGATTCGCATTATTTTGAAGAGGGTACGAAAATTGTCTTAAAAATCATTCCTTACTTTTCGAAAAGCTAATTCTACAAACTTTTTTCAGGAACAGAGTTATGTATATATTTAATTCAACAAGAACTTTACTTCAATAACAAGTGGGAGGATAACAAATTAACGTGAGGATTTATTTTATAAAACAAAAAGCAGCTGTGCATTTTCACAATGTTAAATTTCACAATGCTGATTGTTTTTAAAATTATTAATTCTTATACCGCTGTCTGAGAAAATGCGAAGTCCAGAAAATGATTTTAATATCGAAATACAATCCTATCTTCATTGTCTAACTGCAGTTTTCTAAGAATAATCCTAATATCGAAAATATGAATCTACAGGTAATGTAAGAACTTTAAATTGAAAAATTCCGTCTGTTTCCAAGCATTGATCTGCGAATTCTCATCCACTGCTTCCATCCTCCTTTCTTAAAGATCTCTGAATAAAACGAAATACATATGGCTGCCAATACAAATCATTTTTTTAGGACTCGCCTAATTTTGCGACGACTCACTGAACGATTTAACCATCCTTCTCCGCAAAACGAGAACGAAAAAAAATGAAGTCACCACCAGCTATTTAATCACTCGGATTGGCTGGTTCATTGGGTTGACCTAACTCGTGTCTATAATTTTCCGGTCCGTGTTTTCTCAGGCACACCCCACACGCCTTTACTTGTTGCTGCTCCACACTAATTCCATGCGCGTTTCTATCGATCTTGATGTTCCCTATATAAAAGGCCGCGTCATCGGTAGTCATGAAAGAGCAAATCGGACAATATTCCAACAACTGTGGAGAACCCTCTCAGAAAATCTAGTGGTACGCGTAAAACAAATAAACTACTGAGCCGTGTTACGCGAATGAGTAACTGAAAAGCAAGTAAGTCATCTCCTAAATGAAGCAGTGTCATAATATTAAAATTTTCGATTAATTTTTCATTTTACTTTGCTTATCGCTCGTTTAAAGACAATTTAAAGTTGATAAAATCGTTAATAGATGGCATACTTTTAATTCCTTTTACGTAAAAATAAACATATCTGTATTTTTGCAACGTTTTTACATTTTAGCATAAGATTCAATAACGGAGACTCGAGTTGAGTCTGACCATCTGTTAGAATTGTGACGATTCGGGACAGGACCTTTGACCGTGACAAATTTGTGTTAAAGACAAACGATTTGACTCTACAAAGCGCAGAAAAACGATTCGCTGACAAAATTCATTTTTCACAAATATTTCAGTGAAATTTAAGCGTCGTTAATGTCTTAGTAACTAGCTATCGATTTATTTTCTATTTTCACGGCTGCACCGCGTATTTTCGTGTCCTCGGTGCGATCGATGTCCATAATTAATTCGTTTCTAGAGATTTCTACGATAAAATGATTATTGCATAGTAAGGGTGTTGTAAATACGTAGAAGTTATTTGTAATACAAGTGTCAATGTTAATGAGATTTCGTGACAGCACGACAAAACTGTACGTGCGAAATGCATTACGTTTATTGATCTAGAAGGTTGTTGGAACAACAAGGAAAACAGTTCCCTGTTAAAACAAAGACTTTAACACTTTGTTAAAAACTTTGATTCGAAAATTTACTGGCAAGCCAGTTTTTCCATTTTTTATTTTTAATAAATCAAAATAAATAAGCATTATTACAACGATTATTACATATAATATGATACGTATTTGTCTACCTGTATTACACAATTAAAGTTGGCTTATTTCGATAATAAATAAGATATGTCAATGGTTTTCCTAACATTTATTGTGCTGGTTAAGTAGACTCACAGTGAACATAGGTTTTGCTATAATTTCTCAACAAATTATAATGTATATAAAAGCTAACCAAATTTTAAACATAATAATGAAATAACAATTGAAAACATTATAATAGCAAAAAGAATTAGGGTACTATAGGAACGTAAACTTATATATATGACTTAGATCCTTATAATCTGATACGTAATTTTTATATATAAAAGAGTATAAAATGTTGATTAATGTCTACCTTTTTCTCTCTATAGTTTTCGATACTTTTCCCTGTAAATGAAGTTAGTCATGTATTTACAATTATTTTATTTCAATAAAAAATAGATCGCCATCTTTAAAATACTCCTTTAGCATTTATACTACTGTAACTGTATAAAGCGCGAAGACAAATTTTTCGGAAAAAAATATTTATTTACGTAATCGATTTTTCGCAAAAGATTTTTCCGTGACGAGGATATTAATCAGTCTGCCCTTAGAGACAATCGGGTCCCGGTCTCCCCTGCGATAGTGTTTGATGTCAACAGAGATCTATAACGAACAATGTCCTATGCTGCATCTTGTGCTCTGTTCAAAATACATATACTTTGTTACTACCATTGAATTGTTTGAGAATAACAAGACATGATAATTATGGATTTTTCTCAAAGCATTCAGCTTCTTAAGTGGAAACGGATGATCAAGGTAGAGCAATCCCTGTTGCATCACCAGTTTGTACTACATACGTCTTCAGTTAAAAGACTTCACTGGCCTTTCTGTGAAATCGATAGGAACTTAAAGCTGATTAAACAAAACTGCTAACACGCTTTTTCTTCTTTCTTGTCTCTATGATCCTTGTCGATATTTCTCATCTATTTTCCAATACCAAGCTCAATTTCTTAACATCGATAGTCATTGTCTTTCCTTATGTTTATACCCTCGATACAATAAAAATATATATATAAATGCGATTTTTAGGAAAAAAATGTTGCTACAAGAGTGGCTATTGGTGGTTCTAATCACAGGGTCAGTGACAGCACTGAATTCTGTACCCCAGCATGCAACGGAAGAGTCGTTAAGGAGTGCTTTGGATGCCATCACTAGAAAGCAACGATCCTTGGATACCAATTCACAAGATTACTATAATGATCTTCGTTCCTATAAGTACCATGGCGGTGATGGGGAAAGAAAATTTGACAGAGAACGTCAGAACGAAAGGGAATTGGAAGAGGAAGATGAAGAAATAGAATTTTTGCCCAATGGTAGCCTCTCATATAATGATTTAAAAGAAATAGAATAGAAAGTAGAATTTTTACTTATTTGTATTACAAAAGTAAACTTTCAATTCAGTTCTTTATCAAGAGCTCCATTTAGGAATTTAAGTGCTTAACAAAATAATAAACAACGACTTATTTAAATCCTGTAATATTTCCTACTTAAAATGTTATACTTTTTAAAGAGCTATACTGTCTTCATTGTTTATAACATTGTTATAAATATTGATTATAGCTCGATAAATAAATTCTATACTTCAAAAAGAAAATTTTCTGTATAAAGTAATAAAATCTCAAACGACAATTATGTCTGGAAACAAATTTTTTTTTTAGAAATTGGACAGTTGGAAACAGTGGGAAATGGTTTTCAAGATTTGAACAATAAACTGTTAGAAAGGGCGTTGATTGATTATCTAGAGAATATCCCGCAACAGGTAATGTTTCCCCTCATTTGATCAATATCGTGTCGAAAAAAGGCAAAATTTACATTTGTTTAATAATGTGATAATTTATAACTAGGAGGAACCTGTCACATCACTGTTTCGAGAACGTGAACGAAACTCTGGTCATAAAAGAGACTTTGGTTCTGAGCAATTGAACATCGATAATAAGGATCTGACAAAATTGTTCTCAGAAGAATCGCCGGATGGATCTTCCTATAATCTTGGTGACGCAGAAGATGAGGGATATATGGACGCTCGTCAGATTCTCTATGATCGATACAGAGGCGAACAAGGGAACAAAATATATGAGTTAGTGATTTATAATCTTTCTCGTCAAAAATAATTATATAATCATAAAATGTTTAAATTTAAGAAAGATTGAATTAAAGGTAATGATTAAATGATTTGTGATAGGAATTCGGGTCCAATGTCCTGGGGCGCATTGTTGAATAAGGACTCTATGGTTCGAAGACAAGGTAGGGAATCCGAGGAAAATGAGTTCAGCGGTCGAGAACAGGATCCAAATTTATTATATCTCTCTATGGCTGAACGAAGGAACCTGAACGGTGGGTATCCAGCGGGACGCTCTCTGAGAACCTATAAAAACATGGCTAAACGCTACCTCATAGCGAAAAGAAGTCCGAAACCTGTATCTAACAAGAATCAAATTACAGATCCTAAGGTAATTCGATTAAACAATCTTTTAGAAATTCTTTAGAAATTTATAAGAAAATTAATTTGGTGGATATATATAATTACGTACATCTAATTTATTGAAATTTTCAATAAAATAAATTCGTTCTTACATATATCTAAACATGAAATTAAATTTACCTTTCAAGGTCGCTCAAGATCTGGGAGCACTATTTGGTACTGAATTGGCAGATAATCAAAATCATACTCACAATTACAAGCATAATCATAATCATGACCACGACTATGTTCAAAATCACGACATTAATCATGAACACGATTATGGAGATCAGCATAAACATGACAATTCTTCTGAAGCACCAAAGGTAACACCGCCCCCAAAAGGACAAAAGGAAAATATTACAAAATTAGACAAATCGAGATCTATTGAAGTGAGGAAAAAAAGTGTCGATTGGTCTCAATATTTTGGTATTGATAGAAGAAGGAAGAAGGCTACATTTATGGCTGGCCAAGGGACCCAAAATCAAGACAACGAATGGATGTTGCAACGATATTATGACGTAATTTTAAAAATTTGAATTTTTTCTATTTATAAGCACTTTAATTTACAAGAGTTGAATTAATTATGTGATTATTAGAATTTGGTGGACAACTTGAAGGAAAATGACCGGGATTACGAAAGGGAAGCTAACGAAGAGAAAGATAAATTGGACCAACTAGATTCGAAATTAAGAAATCTTAAGGATTTAATTATTGGAGATATTTTGATATATGAGAATACAAAAGATGGTATAGATTTGCAAAAGGTACGATTTATTTTATAAAATTAGTTGATGTATTTAGCAATAGACATTACAATATTTTATGATATTCAAATAAAATTATAGATCAAAGATAGGATAATGGCACGCGTGGCTCTTAAATGTACCTTTGAGAAAATGAAAGAAGCTGAGAAAACAACTCATGCACAGAATAATCAAACTCCGGAATTCTGTTGCAATATAATATGTAAAATATATTTACAATAAATTTCTGGAACAGAATGAACTAGAAGAAGAATATTTAGGTAACTACGTAATGGAAGCGGGAAAAATCTGCCACGCCCAAGAAATAAGAGAAGGACCAAACAACAAAGAAACTTGCATCAACTCAACGTTGATGTTACCGCAATTGCAGACTCCTACAGTAATCTCCGATCAATGTCATCTCGATGGAAACGACACTTGTTTATAACGTCATTATTAGTGGCATCGTTATCTTTGGTATCTTTACAGTGGACAACGATTGAATAGCATCTACGATATAATTGGTTCTCAACAGTCAAAACGATAAAAAGCAAAGGGTTAAGGTTAAGTGAGACGACGTTTAGAATGCATCAAGAATCTTCTGTTGAGAAACTTATGTATGTGGTTCCAACAAATCAATAACCTCGAATCAAGTTTCATTTCATAGTCAGCTTTTAGTATTTAATTTATTGTGTCTACAATCGAAACAAAATAAAACAAATGTTAAGCTCTCGGTGATGAGGTTAAATTGTGTGATGTAATATATTGTTCAAGAACGCAATAAGAATTGTTAAAAGATTAGTTTTGTTTAAGATGAATGAATGAAAGAATCGGATAACATTTAATGTTGATTCGAGAAAACATCGATGAAGATAATTAAATATCAACCAGTTACGATTTTTTGCACATGGATATAATTTATATCAGATTGATTTTTTCCCATACTAATATGTTTTATTGACAAAGGAACAAGAAAACGGCTAGATTTCAAGCAAAAAGATGTTTCCATTTGTGAGGTGTTTTTTTTTCCGATAATAGACGCAACGATAAATGATCGGAGACAATAATTATTGACTGAAGTTTTATGGTTACTTTTTAAGAACGAATGAATGTTAAAACTTCTTACTAGAAATAGAAAAATTCTAAATAAAGACATAAATATAATCATAATAGCGATCTTCCTATCGTTAAATAAATTAATCGTGAAGCCATGTTTTAAATATACAGAAAAAATAAATTATATGAATGAATGCCTCGCAAAAAGGTCAGTTGTGTAATAAAATGCGTTAAAACAGTCGTTGAACTTTAAAGTGCATATATAAAATTACGTTAGATTTTTTTTCATACTAAATGATTTCTAGCAGGATCTTCGTATTCGCGGAATAAAAAATTTGTTTTTATTATACTCTGTTCCGCTTAAATACACCTTTATAATTTCAAATGGTGCTGCATAATGTCGCGAAAAAATACTTTATTTATTTGTTCTTACATCATGAAAATATAAACATTAAAATACAACTTATATAGAAGTATACGGATATCAAAGGATACTTAATGAAGTTTAAAAAGAGATGTCGTAATTCTATTAAAGTGTAAATTTATATTTCATAAGATAAAAAAATGTATAACTATTGTCCATCTTTATGTTATAAAATCATGAATATTGTCTATGTGTCAGTCCTATATTCAAATGTAATAAATATATTTCACCATAATTTCATTTCATATTGTTTATTGAGAATTAATACAATGGTACATTGGTATGACAATACTTTTTAACGATTAAGAATTATGGATTAGTATTTGAATCTGTATTCATATCCGTTATCTGTTTAAGTGATTCAAAAATGTCAAGACAGTCTGGAGTATACAATTTTAGAAACTCTAGTTGCAATCGAGCACAATCGGCTAAAAATAAACAAAATATTAAAAACAATTTCTTTTCTTTGAAAAGAAATGGATGTATAAAAATATACCTCTCCATTTCGAAACTATTTCTAATTTCTTTCTTAACTCTAAATTTAATTTATTTATCTCCAAAATAATATTTAAATTACAATCGGACATTATTTTAGGGATAAAAATATTTAATTAATCACTTTTATTATATAATTTCACTTTTTAATTCGTCAAATATAAAAATATTTAAAGATTTGTACTTTTTTTTATTAAATATCTTGTATTTAAAGTTGTTTTTTTTGCATAGTGTACGTTGCACGTTTTGATTGGTCGGAGAAAAAATCGTCCACAAATAGCGACATAACGCTATAATAAATAATGTGCTGTTCATAAGAAGCGATGTGATTGGTCGATTCGTAAACGTGGTTTGTTACCTAGCCGCGAAACTCTGTAAATCTAGAATTACATAATCTATGATTACTAAAAGTGGCGATGGCGTTTTATGGTCTGTATTGCTTTGTGACTAAAAAGTGGAGCTTCTGTGGTATTTTCTATGGGAGACCAGTTTTTTAATATTACTTTCGAAATTAATAACAAAATACAAAGTACGAGTAAGACGAATACGAGATATAAAGTTAAAAAAGAAAAGTGTAAAAGTAGTGAGCAGAAGAAATACATGAGCTCCCGCTTTCGACGGCCGGCGAACGTATTTATCTCCGGCAACAAATGTAATATTTTAACAAAGAGGTACAAATAATTCAATTGAAAAAATACGCCTCACTGTATGTAACCAATTGTGGTACGTCTTATTTCCTATAACTTAAGATTTTTGAGAATTTTACTCTATCACATGACGTTCCCGCCGTAACCTTCCATATTCGTTGTAAACACCGTGTCGATATATAGGGTGTCCTTGAATTTCACTTCTATTCTCTTGTATGCTTTATCATAATTTCTATAAATTATTAATTTAGATTCGTTTACATTAAAGGATATAACTTTAAAGATCACGTGAAACAATTTTAATTTAGATTAAATAATTTTCATGGGTATGTTTTTAATTTCAGCATATTAATAAAAACAATATAAAAAGATATCAGAAACAGAAAAGAAAGAAAACTGTACAATGGAGAACCAAGTTACATGCTCTGAAAGTTTAGACAGAAGTAAGATTTTAGAATGTAGTGAAGCCAATAGTATGAATGAGAGTCAAGATTTTCATTTAGTAGATACAAGTGAAGATGAATCTTTGGATAAATCGCAACAAGATATAGAAAGTACAAAGCATGACGAAGCAGCACCTTCTGTTCCTAGTAATAGTACAGAGACAGTCTTGAATGAAATAAAAATAACAGGGCATACAATGACTATTGACATACAGAATAGTGAACTTATTAAGGTAGAACTTGCACAAAATAATGAATTTATAAAAGATAAAGATGCACAGAATGCAGAATCATCGAAAAAAATAGAAGAAGGAAAGGAGATTAATGAAAAAAACAAGTTACCAGACAAAGAAAAATATTCAGATGGAGATGAGGAAATAATACAGTGCACACCACCCGAAGTTTCTCCACTATCTAAAAAACAAAGTGGTTGTAGTGTAATAACGAGTCTAAAACGTAAAGCAGGATCATTTGACGAACCACCAGCAAAAATTTTGAGAATGGCATCTAAGGAAGATATATCTGTCTCTGAGAAAAGAGAACAGGAAGAAGAAGAAAGTTGTCATTCATTTAAATCTGATGAATCTCAACCCGAATTTGTGAAGAATTGTTCTGATACAAATGTTATAATTGCAGAGACTCAAGATGTTGGGGAAAATGAAAATACAGAAGCTATGTTAGAAATTCCTACAAAATATGAGGAAAAAACTAAAGATGAAAGGCACCTTGAATTGGAAATGAAAGATTATAAAATAGATAAAAACAAAAATTTGAATGATACTAAACTGAATCAAGCTGTTACAAAGAAAGAAGATAATGAAGACATGTCTGATGCAAAAAGTGTAACAGAATCTAATGAGAGTAGGGCAGCACAGATTCAAATAAATGAAAAGGATTCAACATCTTTGCTTAAAGCAGTTGTAGTTGAAAATATAAAGTTAGATTTGAGTAATAAAAGTACAGATAGTACGAGACCAATTGAAGTCAAAGATACTAAAATGATGTATAGTGAGATTTCAGAGGATAAGGAAAATGGCATTGAGCCTAAGGAACACATCAGTTTGGAACAAAATAATAGTGATGTTCAAGAAATGCCAATTTCTACAGAGGTAACTGAATCTTACTCTAACATGTATTCTGGAAATGTATGCAAATCAAGAAAGAGCATAGAACTCATATATGATCAATCAGCAGTTCTTGAAGTTAGAACAAAATCCAAAGAATTAGTAGAAATTGATGAGGATGGTGAAAAGATCGTATTAGATTCATCTCAAGAAGATTCTGATGTAAAAATTGAAAACAAAAATACCCTAGATAACACAAAGTCTGATACTATATACAAAAGTTGTTATGACAGTAAAAGTAGTAGTGAATTTAGTTACAAATCGATAGAAAATACCAAAGAATCATCCATTGATTCAACTAAATCTGGTAACAAACTTGTAAATGGAAGTAGCGAGTCAAAAAGATGTGATACAGACAGTACAGCTAGTTTACAGTCAGACACATTCAGCGATATGCCTGTTCTTGACAAAGCAGATAACAATATTTCCATGTCTGTACATAATATAAACAAACAAGTTAAACCAATATCTGTTTCTAAAGACAGTGATCATGCTGATATATTAAGTGTAAGTGATAATGAACCCGATGTTTTTATAGTAGATGATAAGGGGAAATCAAATTCAACTCATAGTAGTTCTATCAGCAAAGCCTTGCAAATGGAGAAAGAAATTGGTATATACGTTAGAATGAAGTGTTCATTACACATTGATGAAGGTACAAAAGAATTTCTAAGCAAAGAAATCACTGGTGTGCAATGTGAATCACTTATTACTGAACCCCCTTTAATGAGACAAAAAAACAATGATACATCTGCTTCTTTAGCAGATATTTCTGGAAATGACAATAAGGATGCATCTCCTGGATCAGTGAATAGTAACCCACAATTGTATCAGTTAAATCCTTCCAGACTTTCATTTGCATCAACAATTAGTTCTTTAAGTTCCGTGTCAAGTGCCGCTTCGTTAGCAGCTAAACTTGCAATAAGAGATAATACACATTTTTCTTTACCGAGAGTACCTGCGAAGCACGCAAAAAGACATGCACAAGATATACATTTACTAAATGATAAACAAGCAATAGACGAGGCATATGAACGTCTAAGTAAAGAATGGCAAAACAGTCACCTTCTCACAACAACTGTTTTAAGCTTTGCAAATACTGAGCTTACTGGAATTGATACATACAATGTTAGTAATGAGAGAATAGATGATCAATTACAAAAGATTCGATCTTCTACGCCAGAAGTTCCACAGGAAATAGTACAGGTAGTAACTCCCAAAAGCACAAAAAAGAGTAAAGCAGTAAAAAGGCCAAGAAGCAAAAATACTAAATCGGATAATCAATCAAATGGATTAAATAAAATTTCAAAGGTACTAAGTCCTACAGAGGGCAACAATACACAGAATAGAAAAAAAAATAAAACAGAACAAATGGATAATATTTCGAGTACTATAGATATTTCTACAAAACCCCAACCACATATGATAACAGATGAGTTAATTGGTAAAGATGTGTTTGCTAAATGGTCTGACAATAATTACTATCCTGGCTCAGTTGTTGATAAAATAAAAACAAAATATAAGATCAATTTTTATGATGGGAAAAATAAAGTACTCATAGAAGATTTTGTTATACCAATACCGAAAATTCTAAAAGAGGGTTTATCTGTGTATGCCGCTACAAAAAATTACGATTACGGATCATGTGGTATAATTATCGACAGTGAAACTGTAAATAACGAAGTATATTATACAGTGGAGACGGATGAAGGAGAAAAATTACGAGTTGAAATCAAAGATATTTCATTATCCGCTGACCAAGCTCAAGTGTTAAAGGAAGAAATTAATTTAGAGAATAAAAATCTTCCATCTACGCCAAAGCAGTTGGCTCAAATAACGCTAGATAACATGGTTGACGGAAAAAGACGTTCCAAACGAATTGCTACTCCTATTTTTTCTACTCCTAAATCTAAATTAATTCAAACTCCCACAAGTAAGTCTGAAGTAGAACCATCTGTTTCTGGGGTAACTTCTACAATTAAAAAGGAGAAGAAAGTATCTTCTGAAAATGATTGCGTATCCAGTGATTCTAATGTTTCTATAAAAGATGAAGTTTTCTCTATTGGTGTACAGCCTGAAATAATTGGAACACCGTATGAACAAATTGTAAAAGGACCACAAAATCGAATCAAGAGTAAGTCAAGAAGTAAAAAGAAAGTAGATGATGAAGAGACAATTGCTATGTTTGGTCCAATTCCACATGCAGATTCGAATTTCTTTAAAGGCATGTCCTTTGTTCTCACTTGTGCGTCTTTAGAAACTATCGATCGATTTCAAGTTGATAACAAAGATTACAGTTCGGATCCAGGAACTGAGAACGAGGAAGAATGGGTAAAAAAGCCTTTCATAAGAGATAGATTAAACAAGCAAATAGTGGCGGGTGGCGGTAAAGTCTATACAGACTTCAGTGAAATTCCTCAAGACGAGTACAAAAATACAAAATTGATAACGAACGTTCCAAATACAACTGCAAAAACTCTTTTATGTCTTTCAGTCGGTATACCAGCCTATAATCATAATTGGATAATAAGATGCTGTCAAGAGGCAAGTATTATAATTATAATATGAGATATTTAATATAAAAATTTAAATTGCAAAATAAAAAATTAATATTCAATATTAAAATTGAAAATTTTGCACATTATAATTGCATATTATAATTTCTGTTTTTATAGGGAAAACTTGTAAATCCAGCTGAAAATGAACTACCTGCAGGATGGAGTTTGGATAAAAATTCATATGTTGAAATGTTCCAGAGATTCAACAGTAAACCATTAACTCAAGTAGTTGTAATAATTCCAATTATAGAGTCTGAAAAGCAGTTTGCTTCATTTTGGCGTCAAATTTGTGAAAACGCAGGTGCTGTTGTTTTATTAGCGGAAAAACCAGGTATGAAATTTTTATGTGATAAGAATTTTTAAACTAGAAGCATAAAATTAAATATCAGTACTAAACAAAAATTTTTTGTGATTTTTAGATGTAATGGAAAATTTTGTAGAAGGGACTGTCGTTCTTACAAACAGTCTATGCCCGTCTTGGGCAGTGGAAAAAGCTAATAAACTACAAATTCCATTACTTTCTACAACATGGATCGTTCAGTGTTTAATAGAAGGAAAATTTTGTTTGTATGATGCAAATCCTCGTTATAAATATAATTATAAGCAAAATTAAGTACATTTAACGATTAAGAAACTACACCAATAATTTAAAAAACAGGTGAGATCCTGTTTTTATAAATTATAAAATCTTTTTACTTTATTCTGTACCATTCTACATATATATTTGATAAATTGAAAATATTACTTTTGCTGTTGCTAGATACTTCTAAGCACATCTATTTGTTTATGCACTTATCAATTATAAAGTACTGGTACTTTAAGAATATTATTTTAATAGCTTTTCCATATTAAAAATCTATTTTTGATGAGTGTCTGATAAAAGAACTAAGTTACAATAACTAAGTATAATATTTTAAACAAAATATATGTAAAGTTAGTTTATTATCGGAAATATCGAAACATATTTTATATAATAGTAGTGAACTGTATGAATATCCAGTGTAAAGATTCTCTGTTTGTGATTATGCATTCTACAGAACATACATGTGCTTACTACTCACCATATTGCTTACCATTAAAAGAAAACGTAGTGGTAGAATTTTGTAACATTTTGTATAAATCAAATTCTAAATCAAAAATCACTTTTGTAAAAAAAAAGAAGCAAAAAAAAACAAATGAATTTTAAACAACGTTTTATAATTTTTAATCGCAACTTAAGTGATTCAATATTATTATTTTGTTAACATTATTATTGAATAAGTTTTTTTTAGTATAGACCAAATAGAAATCTTGTTAAGTCGTTTTGCAAAAAGTTGAGAAATGACACGAACGTTATAATATGATTAGAAAGTTAATAATAATTCATATTTACATTAATGGTGTAAATAACTTGATACATTGTTTTTCTTCCATATTAGCATATTCAAATAATCAAATAATGCATTTAATTATGCAAGAATTATTATCACATTTTGAAAGCAAATTTTTCTTTACATTCATAAACATAATTTTTAAAGAAACAATTACACGAATTTGTGCAATCAAAAAATATATAATTTACTATGAGAATATTTTTTTCATCAAAACATGATTCTAACTTAAGTTTGTTGGTTTTAATTATAAATGTGCACAGCAAATATTAAAAGAAACTCTGTAAATCAAAGCTAATAATGGGTGGTGTATCTTGTAAATATTTTTTTACTTAAAATTATAGTAACAAATTGTAAAATCTATTTACATTATACTTTTTATGTACTGGATATATATCCCATTAGTAAAAATCCTATGGAATCTTTTATCACTTATTCATATTGGGTATATGTTCAGTAAGAGAATAAATATCAAGCAAGTTGCCTCTAAATATTTGAAGTTAAGATAGCATTAATGATTTTTAAGCAATGGAAGGTACAAGAGGATGTATCTTATGAACGTTTGCGACACTTTAATTAACTTACAGAATGATTTTCTGTTAAACCAAATATCAATGAGACAACAACAAAAATTGTATGTGGCAGTTACATGTGTGCGAATGTGTATATACAATTAAATATATACATATACTATAAATTTTATTATGTAAGATGTAGCTATTATGTAAAATGTTTGGGGATAAAATACAGTGACATATTTTGGCAAATGTTTTGTTCATTGTTGTTTAAAATCTAATAAAACGTATAACCGTTTTATTAATTCACGTATAGTACAACGTTCTTTATATGTATATACAAAAAAATGTAATAAAATAATTTATTTTAAGGATTGTACCAATCAAGAAACAACAGAGAAAACGACATAACTAAAAGGAAAAAAAGAATCCATACTCGAAGTCCTGCATTTCTTTGAATTGCCTGTCTAATTTGCTCATTAGCTTCTTTCACATTTTCTGTTGATCCAACGACCGTTGTCATTAAGCGATCCAAATCCTTATCTTGATCCAATACTTTTTCTGTAAATATTTCTTGAATTTCAGCTATATGTACAACTTTACTTTCTATTTGTTTCACTTCTTCTGTTAATGTACTAAGTTCATTATATAACTGCTCATTTTCAGCCTCAAATAGCTGTATATCTTCAGGTGATATTTCTTCTTCATATACTAATGTATTTACATCTCCATTTAATTCTTGTATTTTCATAGAGCTAGAATCATTGGAACCACCAATTTTATTTTCTTTATCTTCAGTTTCTTCATTTGTGCTCAAATTGGATTTTTTAATTTCATGTTCTAATTGTCTAATAGGTTTTGTGTCTAATTCTAATTTAGCAATTTTCCTTATCTCCATTGCTCTCTTCACTCGTATTGCTTTTTGTTCTGAGTATATTTTACAAACATTCTTCAAGTAATCTTCAAGCAGTAGCAACATAATTTCTCTATGTTCTAAATTTTGTGGAGAAACTTCAGTACCTGCTATTTCTCTTTTTAATTCTTTGATTAATTGAGAACAGGTACTCATTATTTTTTGTACACCAATATCAATTTTATCACGATCTGCATTTGTCATGCTTGGTACATTTGACAAATAGTTCGAAAAGTTTAAATATGCTTTACGATTCTCCAATAAGAATTCACGTAATCTTGAAATTTGTGCAACAACACTTTGGGTTTTTATAAAAAAGGCACTTTTATTCTTTGCCTTTTTTTGATTTCGTATATTATCATTAATTCCTAAAGCTTTGTTACGGAGACTAATTGTCTTTACACTTGCTTTAAATAGTGTACTGACATCCATTTTTAATTGTCAATAACCTTTTTTATACAATATTTGTATAATATTTAATAAAAGATTTATTTTTATGTTCACTGATAGCTTATTGCATTCAACTGATTGAGAAATCCAAGTTTAAAATAAAACTAATAGTTACCTGTATTATAAAGGAAATGGTATGTATAATGTTTTACAAAGTTTATGTGTAAAAAATGTCGTCCCAATTTAATTGTTTACCTTATTTTATAACGTTCATCATATATTTATCACAATGTTTAACCTAAAAATAAAAAAAGACTTAAAAATATAAGAAATTACATAAGTTTAATAATTGCAAAAATATACCATTAATAAAATAAATAACTCAATGTGCATACATGTATAATACTGCAATAATTTTATCATAATTATCTTATTTCATAACCCAATGGCAAAAAAAATTGTACTGTCACTTTTTGAATAATAATTTGTATTTTATACATAATTACTTTCTATGAGTAATTAATACATATATTTACATATATTTTATTTTACAACTTTTTACGATTCTTAATAACATACATTTGAAAAAATGTATAAAAACATGATAAAAGTAAAATATTAAATATTTTTTTTGCTGCGAAAAATTATATTTAAATTCAGAGAACATGTATTTGAATTAAGTTGGATAGAAATAAAGAACAAAATTAACTCTGTAATTTCAAACTGAAAAGATACGTAAATTGAATTATTCTCATGAAACCAAATAGTCGATATCACAATGCACAAATTTTGAAAACCGGAACACGTATCAGAATGAAACACTACTACCGAAATGACAAGATGGCACGTCAGCAGCAAGCAGACGTCGACGAACTTTTCGACGTGAAAAATCACTTTTATATTGGTAATTATCAGCAATGTATCAACGAAGCACAAAAAATCAAGGTTGGTTTGACAAAATTACATCTTCTTTAAACGTTATTCTTATTTTTTCTTGTATAAAAGATATCCTTGCTACATTATTGAAATTAATTATTTTACTCTTTATTACTATAATATTAATTTAATTTTGATCTATGTATATTAAAAATAATTTTGGTTATTAAAAATCGAGTGTTAATGTTATTTTTTATTTTCATAGTCATCTTCGCCAGAGGTGCTTATGGAACGAGACGTATTTCTCTATCGTGCTTACATAGCACAGGGAAAATTTCGCGTTGTGCTAGATGAGATTAATAATTCTTCTCCTGCTGATTTACAACCATTGAAGATGTTAGCAGACTATTTTGCGAATCCTAGTCGTAGGGAAGCAATTGTCGCCGAATTGCAAGAAACGACCAATCGCGCTAATTACGATAATCACAGTTTCTTGATTGTTGCTGCAACCATTTATTATCACGAAAAAAATTTAGACGCAGCACTTAGGATACTACGTGATGTCGACCATTTAGAATGTTTATCCCTAATTCTGCAGATTTACCTAAAAATGGATCGTTTGGATCTTGCAAAAAAAGAATTAATAACTATGCAGGAAAAAGATGATGATGCCACATTAACCCAGTTAGCACAAGCATGGCTAAACATAAGCAGTGGTGGAGATAAATTGCAAGATGCTTATTATATATTTCAGGTAAAATTATGTTTATATCTTATAAAATTATGGACAGTTTGTCAAAGTATTATAATTTCAGGATATGATAGATAAACATTCCAGTACAAGTATGTTATTAAATGGTCAAGCTACATGCTTCATTGGGCAAGCTAAATATGAACAAGCTGAAACAGCTTTGCAAGAATCTCTGGACAAAGATAGTAATAATCCAGATACCTTGATCAATATGATTGTTCTTTCTCAGCATATGGGAAAGCCACCTGAAGTTGCTAATCGTTATTTAAATCAGTTAAAATATTCACACTTAGAACATCCATTTGTTAAGGAGTATTTACAGAAAGAGATAGAATTCCAAAGACTCAGAAAGCAATATGCTTCATCTACCTGAACTGTAACAGATCATAGCATTTTCTAATTTTAAATTTAAACAAGAATATCGAGAACAATGTAACAATACAAATTCTAGATACAAAGTGCTATGAGATTAGAATGTTACTGCAGGGTATAATGCACTTTTACATGAATTCGAATCCTCATTCTTTATAGAAAAGTATTTATTTCTTTCATATATTTTCTGTTTAATGACTTTATATGACATATTTCACTTTTGCATGAAATTTTTACAATAATTGGCAAATAAAAAGATAGATGAATAAAACTATTTACAATTTTTACATATATAATTAAGAAGTGATATGAAGGTAATTAGATATCTACTTCATTTACTCTCTCAATAAAATATTTACAATAAGAAATAATATGGCTGCCATTTTGTATTACGGTTATTTAAAAAACTATGAAGGGAATACCAGAAAATTCCAATTTGCATGCATTTTAACATACATTAGATGAATGTATGTAGTAGTACTTAATAAAATTTTATCTCGTATACTATTACGGTAAAACAATTTATTCTATATATCAATATACTGATAAAAAAACATGAAATACATAAAATTAAATAAGTTTATTAGTATTTCTCCTTTTATTATAAATAAAATCTAAAGAGTTGGAACGATCGGCAACTTTTCTCATGACTCCTTTGGTAAATTACAACTTCTTCCGTATCTCGCCATCTAACGTCACGTTTCGTAAATATCTAGTGTCAAGCCGAAAACGTTTATTACATAGAAGAATTCGAAAATTTAAACGGACAAGTTTAGTTAGTCGGAATGCGTTAAAAGTGACAAGAGTCTTGTGCAAATCTCAAAGACGTGATTATCGTACAGAATACGTATTTCGTTATTAAAGATCGCGAACCATTCACTGGATTTCGGCGGGAGATACAATCGCATTTTTTGGATATAGTCGTTCTTCGGTAATTGTTTAGAAACGATCAGGAAACATTGCGAATCTTTTCTTTAAGAAACATCGCATTAGATTGAATACGAATCTTTGTAATATGGCGACACGAAATAGGTATACAATTATTTCTGGTTATATGATTAGGACGATGATGAATGCAATGTTAATCCATAATTGTGTTTCGCTTTCTAATATACCATCATTTTTGTCAATTACCCAGTTTTCATAATTTTTGCAATGTTTTCAACTAATTATTTTCGTCGTTATTTATACGACAGGTAGTTTTTTTCTCTATGTGATATATTTTGAATATAACTGATCAATGGTCTTTGCCTATGGCTACAGTCGTATAATCATATTATACCACGTGTGTTGTGTTAGAAATAATGTTTTAATTATATGTAGTGTTACGATATCGATGTTTAACGTAACCTATACGTAGAAAATTTCTACTTTACTATTTGTAACAAAGCTACTATATTCACCTAACTGATGTCGAAAATTTAGATTTTATATGTTTTCAGGAACGCACTTTGCAAATTATAAATCTATACCTTTACTAAAAATTTGAAAAACTGACGTGTTCGATATTTAAACGTCATAACGGCTGAGCAAAAATACTATCTACTATTGAAATTATATGACAATAAACGAAATACAATAAAGAGAAGCAAGTTCATGCACAAATAATTGAAAGGAAATTAGTTTGAAGTTCTAAAGGGATGAGATATATTAAAAAACAAGATACATGGTTCATATTTAGTTTTTCTGAAATTTATATATTTGTTTAGCAATTAGTTAAAATACAATTAATACTTTGTATTAATTTACATTCGACAAATTACATTTTAATCTATTAGTTGCAAATGCTTAAAACTATAGTATATATTAAATGAGAAAATATAACAATAAGGGAAAACATTTAAATACATTTATGATAAATGCATAATTATTTGTTAATAAATTTTATTTTTAAATTTAAATTCACTACAAATTCATATAAATAATACTCACTTTATTTAGTGCATTATATGTTATAATAGTTGTTCTATTAAAGAGTATAAAGTTGTTTCTAAATTTAAGTGTTATCTTTTATAACATCTTATACATTTATTTTGGCTATGTATCATACTATGTATCCACCACAAATAATGGTGCAGATAATGGGTGGCCAACAGGCAAATGGACAGTGTCCACCAGTTCAGTCACATACAATGCACATTCAAGGTGCAAGTGCGTTCCATCAGGCAGAATATGCAAAATATCGTACAGATGCTTGTTCACAGAACAGACATCAAATGATACAGGTATGTTATTACGTTTAAGAAGTTTATAAATATAAGTGCATTTTATTTATTAACAAAATGTTCTTGAGTACAAGCGGTATTCTTGCAGACAGGATCTTATCCGTTGGAGCTATTGCAATTGATGGGGGTTGAGGTACCATCTTTACGACATATAGAGTATATGCAGTCAAATAATGGCACACAACCAGGACATTGGCAAAGACGTGTGAATACATCAAATAATACAGCTATTATAGCTTCTCCACATCTTGTTTTTAGACCAAATAATAATGGCTTGGCAAGTAAAAAATCAAACTGGTATAATAAATTGAGTAAAAAGACTTCTTTTCGAGATTCCTTCATAAATAATGAAAAGTATGGCAGTGATAGTGGCTTTAGTTCACGATCTCCAACACCAAATAAACATCACATTGATAGTAGTCAAACAGAGAGTTCAGATGAACGAGATTCTGTAATTTCTTCAGTGGAACAAAGTATGAAGTGAGTATTATATACTATTTAAATAAACAAAAAATAATCAGATTAGATGTTGATAATATAACTGTCTAATATGTAAAAATTAGGAAATTATTTTGTTCCAGAAAATCGCACAAGATACATCCAAATAATGTTACAAATAACAGAATAATGCAATATGGTATAATTTCAAATAGTTCTATGCATCAATATTTTCAGAATCAAAGATCTATTAATTGTTACCCCACGAACATGTCAACATCTAGGACTCAAGTACAAACTTATCAGAATAAAAGAAGGTATCATTCAGGTATGTTTACATTAATGCATATTAATTTATTTATTCATTTACTTCAGAAAAAAATTATAATTATAGGAAGAAATAGTCCACCTCCTCAAAGATTACCAAGAAATAAAAGATATATGGGATTGCTGTCACCTAATTACCACACATTTCCCAGATATGGTATTGCGCCAGATCGATTCTTAGCTAGATCACATTTAGTTGAAGTAACTCATACACCAGATGATTTATTTAATGGATCGATTTGGGATAGACTTTCAAAAGAAATTTGGTCAAAGTTTATGTTAAATCAGCAGACTGAGACTGTTTATAGAAACAAGATGATGCTGTGGAGATATCTTTATGTTTATATTAAGGTAACATAATTATTTCATTTAAAAGATATTTAGTACATACTATATTTAGTACAACATCTAAGTTTTATTTATTTTCAGACTGCATTTCCAAAATATGGGTTATTTTTGGTAGGCTCTACAATGAATGGTTTTGGATCAGATAATAGTGATGTTGACATGTGTCTTTTAGTGAGGCATACAGAAATGGATCAGAGGAATGAAGCTATTGGACATTTAGAACAAATATTAAAATGCCTTAAAAGATGTGGTATGTCAATTAGCTTTCCAAATAGTTTTCTATAGAATTTATAATTAATAAAATGAGGTTTTTATGCTAACAGATTTTATAGAACAATTAGAACTTATACAAGCGAAAGTACCAATTCTGAAGTTCCATGATTCAATACAAAATTTAGAAGTTGATTTAAATTGTAATAATGCTGTTGGTATTCGGAATACTCATCTTCTTTATTGTTATTCACGAAGTAAGATTATTATAATTAATGAAAAAGGTTATTTGAAGTACAATTCAATTTGTAAAACTATTTCTTTCAATATTTTATAGTTGATTGGAGAGTGAGACCATTGGTACTTGTGGTTAAACTTTGGGCACAATCTCAGGATATTAATGATGCCAAAAACATGACAATATCCAGTTATTCCTTAGTTCTTATGGTCATTCATTTTTTGCAATGTATGTATTCAGTTTGCATTTTATTTCGTTAATTTATATATACATATTCCTTATTTTCTTTAGGTGGTGTTAATCCACCGGTTTTACCTTGTTTACATTCCCTTTACGAGGGTAAATTCACACCACACACAGACATCCATTGCATAGATATTCAAGAAGAATTAGACATTCCAGTTTCCATACTTCGACCTAAGAATCGACAATCGTTAGGGGAATTGTTCATCGAATTTTTTCGATATTATGTCATGTTCGAGTGAGTAACAAAAAAAATATTACAGTATATTTCAATAGATAATATTATACTAAATAAAATTTTTACAGTTTCAATCAATATGCGATATCAATTCGTTTAGCTAACAAAATACCAATAGAAGACTGTCGAAGAGCTCGATCGTATAAAAATGACCCTCATCAATGGAAGTATTTGTGTATTGAAGGTGAGTCTGGTAATTTAAAAATCATTGAAACAGAATTAATGTATACTTATTTATTGGCTATTGTTTGTGTATTTATAGAACCATTCGATCTAACTAACACTGCTAGATCAGTTTACGATCCAGATGTTTTTGCGAGGATCAAACATATATTCGATTGTACATACCAAAACTTAAAGGAACACCATGACCTAGCCAGGATATTCATCAAGGTGGATTCTGTTTCACCGTATATTGTGACATAATCACATTCATGCAGGCTGGTACAGAAATACTCATTATCTAGCATAATTTTATATTCGAGAAATGGTTTATTTTTGCAATTGGCCTCTTCCGACACTTACCTATGAGATAAAAAAGTACAATGAGGTAATTTTCTACGCTTACCTTGAGCTAACATACTCGGATCTTGTGATAATGGCCTGCGCTTTTATGCAACGGCTCATCTGTTGCGTTTAGAAGCTTGAGTTTTTCTCTCGTCTCGTTTTGTTTTTGTTTTATTTCCTTTTTATAAATATATAAAACTATTGGCAGCACAGGTTCATACTTGTAGGATAGAAAAAAAGGGGGGGGGGGGGTTGGGAAAATCAAATCGAACATTCGATAAGTAGCAATTACATATGAATACGACACTTTTTGTACAAAAATATTATTATCATATTAAATATTTTTTTGAAGTTCTTTCGAAGCCTTTTGTAAAGCTTTTTTGAACTTTTCGAATACGAAAATACAGTGCCTTACACTGATCGGCTACTATAATCGATTTAGAAAGCTCTAATGTAATCTACTTATATAGTCCTTCATTGATTTAAAAAATATCATAAGAGGTTTTCAGTTTCTCTTGACAACTACTTATAGAAAAGTCATTGCCTCAATTCAATATAAAAAGAAGAAAAAATACATTAAAAATTAAATGTGTAAAACGTTAATGAATTTTCTTTAGAATTTGAAGTATTCATATACGAGATAAAAAGTACTTATTCTTAATGTGAAAAACGTAGAAAACTTAAATTTATATCTTAAAAAAAATGCATTGAAAAAAGATATCTCGTTGAGATAATGAAAAAAAAATTAAAAAGTAAAAAAACAGATAAAAAATGATTGTTAAGAAAACAGTAAGTAGAAATTAAAAAAGATATTCACTACATTTATATTAATATTATCAACAAGAATAAAAAAAAATGTTTTAAAATCAATTCATTAACTCTATTGAATGCATATTGTGGTGATTAAATTTCAATTATTAATATTGTGTGCCAAACAAAGAAATTATTTTTGTTTTTCACTTTGTTCGGTATATTTTTCAAAGAACAAAAACGCCATATCAGTTATTACATTTTAAAAACTTTTATAAGTAAACTCAACAGTATAATTTGCCACATTATTAAGTTTGCAATAGATTTTGTCTAAGGTGGACGTTGAGTTAACAAAGTTCCTATTTTCAATAAAAGAAATTGAATATCTTTAATTCCAGTTCTAGTCTTATTTCGACTAGTCCCTTATATAAAAAAAGAGCGCAGAATATGATAGATATTTAAAGTATCCTATAGTAAAAACATAAGGCTGTGTTGACAGTATAAAACCTATGAGGTGCTATGTACAATCTTTGGGCCTGTTACAAACAATTAATTCATATTATTTATAAATCAAACGTAGAATTAATAGTTTATTAGAAAGACAGCTATTGTTTTTGTCAAATTTTTTTTGGAATATATGAACAATTCAGAATTCTTCTCGAACAATTCTCTCAAATTTTCAAATTAACAATATTTATGATGTATGTCATATTTTTACAGGCCTAATATATTTTTCTAATTAATTATTTACTTATTTTTATAAACAATATAAAAGAGTTAAATGTTAAGTACCTTCCATCGCTCAAATTGGAAATCTATCTTCCCGTTTTTTGTCAATTCTACGCACATGTTACGCTAAATTTTAAGGTGATAATATCAAACTTTTGTAATTTTGATTTTGTTGTTAAATAAAAAATATTTATATATACAACGTGGTAATATTAACTAATTGTACTGCCATTAAATTGTATTGAAGGACATTAACTGAGAATAAAGTAAAACAGGTTTGACTTTATAGGTTAGAAATGAAAGATATGAAACGAAGTTTTGTTTCTTCAAATTAAATTTATTTGCTTTTTAAGATTTCACAATGAATTTCCATATTACATTCTGCAGTTAGCGGTGCGCTGTTGGTCGGAAAGAAGAAAAGTAAATAATTTTGTATTATATAATGTTTTCTTTTCTTTTCTCATTCTTAATTTGTTTCATGAGTCAATGATCAAATTCATTACCGCCAGAAGCCAGTACAGACAGAAAAAAAGTGGAGAAGGGAATAAATAGCATAGGGTGTGCGAGGATAAAAGAAAGAGCGAATAGAAAAAAAGAAGTATTTAAATCAAAAGAATTAGTAGGTAGAACGATGCTTTGGTCAGTAGATCAGAACGAATAAAATACTTTGAACGCTAAATGAACTACTCACATCGTTACAGATAAGAATATTAAAATTTTAAATAATATTTTGCTTTTCTATTATTTTCTTTTTTAAACTGCGTCTGTCTGGATCAGAAAATTTTGTTAATTTTTGTAATTTTCTATGTTCCCATTCCTATTTCATTTGTTTTTCTTTTTTTTTTCAGCGAAATATTGTCTTAGTTGTTCTACGTATATTTGTGATTTGTTTTTTTTTTGTCATTTATCTGTAAGTTTTATATAAAAAAAAAGAAAAAAAAAACAACACAAATACCGAATAAAATTCGTTTTCCCTTTTTTTTTTTTTTTTTTTTTTTCATTCTGCGCGCTCTGTCGACCCCTGCGGTAAATAAAATATATACAATATATATACCGGTCTAACCAGAAAAGATAGAAACTAATTAACATGATCAAAATTAATAGGATTCCTTATTGATTAACGTAATATCAACATTACGCCAAGCTTATGAGAAAGGATTCCTCCTTCTTGATACTCAAGTGTCGGCCTCATACTGGTTGACGACAATTCGATCGGCAACGTCTGACAGATGATGATATTCTGTCGGTTCAAGAACAAATCGATGACGATGATCGTTGTATTATTATTTTCTTGTTATTGACGTTGTCGTGTGTTCACGCGTTGCAAGAATCGTACTTTTTATTGCAGTTTACTTTCACAATTTACATAATCGAAAGAGATGTGCATGAATCACCAAAAGATATGATCTCCACGATCCCGTTAAATCTCTACAGAGATGTAGTTCGTCTCTTTGTCTTCGTTTTTCTCGGCAGTAATAGTTTATTCCACGCCTTTTAAAAGAAAAGTCGAAAACGACACGTAACGCATTATCAAACCCAATACAATGTTTTTCAATCCCTCTTTTTATCTTTTGTTTACTTTGTTGACAGTGAATTAAATATTCACAATATTGCAATACGTTTCCCCCCGTTTTTTTAGTTTGTCGATCACAGATTCATTCAATAGTTATATATTTTAATTAATACGTTACATTGAATTTGGTCAAGTCATCAAGTGTTACACGTCCCATATCTTCCTTTTTTTTTCTTCTTTATTGTTATTATATTCCTCATTTTTGGTATTTTTATGCATTTTGTTTTGATTTGCTGTGTGTAACTCTAACTTCACTCGGTACGTTCACGGTAAGCGCGTGTCACAGTGACAGATGGTAATTTTTGTGATAATGTCGTCTCCCAGTCTTATTTCCCTTTTTTATTTTTTATTTTTTTTTTTTTTATTTTTTGAAATTTTTTATTGGCTTGTCGCACTTGTTATGCCCGGTGGTTTTACTCTTTAACCATTTCCTTTCCCCGTCTAGAACAGTTTAGCATTTCGACGGTAAATGGCGACGAACTCCCCCGTTTGTAGTATTTTTTTTGTTTGCTTGTTTGTTTTAAAACCCTCTTTTAAAACGCCGACGACTGCGTGTGCATATATCGTACTCGATCGCCGAGCCGTTTTACCGTTTTGCGCAGTTAGTGATTTGTGGTTGTTGGTCGAAGAAGAATTGGTCGAACGAGCCTTCAGTCGCTCCCGCGACGCTGCATAGCAATTGCGTTGCTCAGCCGTACGGTCTCGGCTCAATATGGCTGGGAGAACTGTCCCCCGGCTTGTGACTGTCCGGATTGGTAAAAACCACTTCGATCACCCTGATAAGTTGAATCTTGTGATAATAATCCGTCCATCTGTGACTGAAATTCTCCGACAGCAAACGAATCTTGAGAGAGCTCTGCTTGACTCAGTCCAGGCTGAGAAAGACTAAAACCTGGTTGCGACATTCCCTGCGTCGTGCCTTGAGTTAATGGTAGCCCTGGTTGGCTATATGGCTGGGTATTCTGTTCCGTTTGACTTAGTTTACCCATTCGTGGACCCTGTTTGTTCTTTGATAAAGCCGTTCCTCGGCGATTACGTTGATTTTGTCTGGCCTGTAGCGCCTGTTGGTGCTGATTATAGAATCGTGGTGGTACGTGCGCCATATTCATAAACATTCCTACTGGAACTGGTACATTATTCATTGCTGCTTGAGCTCTTTCTGGACTAATGTAGCTAATGGTATCGTGGGTCCTACTGAAGATATCTAAAGGTACGTTCCTTTGGTAGTAAGGATTATGATTTTGCGTACCATTAACCTGAGTACCTGATCGATCGTAAACTGAACCCGGAATGAGAGCTTCTCTCGCGTCGTACATCGACGTGGACATGAAATGAGAGCCTGGATTCGCAGCATTAACAAGTTTCTTTGGTTTGGCGAATTGAATCATGGATTCTTTTAAATTGTTTAGAGGTCCTTCTACAAGAACTTTCTGTTCTTTATAGAAACTCAATAAATGGTTCCATAATGGTTGCTTTGATAATACCTTCGGATTCCCTACGATTATGATTCCGTACTTTGCGCGAGTTAACGCCACATTCAATCTTCGTGGGTCATTCAGAAATCCAATACCTTGATGTTCGTTTGAACGGACGCAAGACATAATTATTATATCTTTCTCTCTGCCTTGAAATGCATCTACGCTGGCAACCTCAATCTCCTGATAAAGTTTCGAGTGCAGAGACCCCTGATATTGCATGTATTGAACCAAATAGGCTCTTTGTCCTTCATATGGTGTTATTACTCCTATTTGTTCGGGCTTCACTCCACAACGTAAAAATCTTGTCGCTATTTTTTCAACATTTGATGCTTCTGTTCGATTCAAATAGGACGTACCACTTCCAGCAATTTCTTCTTGACCTTGGGTAACATAGAAGAACATAGGTTTATCGGGTGCTGGCCAAGGAAAGTCAATTTTCAATAATTTCCTTTCGTCTGCGCATACACCGTTCTGTAAAGAACCCTCGTAGAAAAAGTTTGATGGAAATCGTGAAAGATCCGGGTGCATACGATATTGAACTTCTAATCTAAAAGGTCTAATTCCAAGTACAACTAATCTTTCAAAAAGGGACTGCGATAAACCTGCTCTGGCAGCCTTTTTGCACATAACTACTGGTCCTAACTGACAGTGATCACCAACAAGGATTAATTGCTTTGCTCCAAGAACAACTGGCACCATGCATTCAGGTTCAGTTGCTTGCATACTCTCATCAATAAGAATCGAATGGAATTTAAGCCTGTGTAGCCTTGGATCACCAGCTCCAACACAGGTACAACAAATCACGTCGGCTGCCTCTAATAATTCTTTTTCTGCTGCTTTTTTTAGTAACCTATAACGTTTTTCATCAACGCTAGACAACTCTCCAGTCTCATCCTTTAGTTGTTGTAATTTTTGTAATTCTGTATTTGTTTCCATGTTTTTGATTTGATTGTGAAGAGCAAGGAAACTCACTGGCGAATCGATTGCTTCTCGTGATTTTGCACAAAGTCGTACAACTTTTAAATTAGATTTATGTATTTTTTCTGTGAGTTGATCTACGGCTGTATTGGAAGGAGCACATACTAATACAGGACCGCCGTTTTGTTTTACCAGTTGGTAAACTATCGTTGCGCTGGTCACGGTTTTCCCTGTACCAGGTGGCCCTTGTATCAAAGACAAGGGTCTCTGTACGGCGTGTTTCACAGCATACACTTGGGAACGATTTAAATCTGGTAAATTTGGGGCACTGAAGTGTTTGGGCAGATGGCAACGAAAAAGAACTTCTTCTACTTCATGTCCTAATAATCTGTGGTATATGTAACCAGATACGGAAGTGTCATCCACAGCAAATTTTCGCAACGCTAATTGCATGCTATTATAAAAAAAAAAAAATGATACATTATAGAATACGTTCCAAAATATTTAAAAATAAAGATTATATATAAATTACTTACCGATCAAAACTTGTACTCTTCCAAATAAAATCGACGACGAAGTTACTAACACATTCCGTCGGAGCACCAGAATTATTTTTTAATTCAATCCCGACTTCTTCTCCATAATTGTCAGGAATTTTAATTACATGTCCAATTCCAGACCAAGGTTTGTGAAGTTCACCTAAATAGCGAAGTCTCAGTTCGTCTCCATGCATTAATTTCATATCACCGTCCGTTTTTGCTAACATAAAATAGGCGATCGTCTTTTTGTTTAATCCAACATCCCAACGAACTTCAATATTCTCTTGCGTTTGAGATTCTTTTAAACGTTTATCATAATCAGCTTCTAATTTTACAAGGGGACCAAATATGTTCTGGTATTGGTATCCATCTTCGTACCGCAAAAGTACTTGTTGCGGTTCTTCGTCTACTCCCGGTTTTTCAAGGTCTTGGAAGGTTGCATCAACATTGTCCCGCCATAATTCTTCCAACTTATTGATTTGTTGGGCAGAGATTTGTCTGGCACGGAGTTGCTCCTGTTCTGATGGGATTTTTACTAACCAAGCTAAAAAGGAGCGGTCTTCAATTAAAGGCTTCCATTGTTCTTGATCCCTACAAAATTTAAATGGTATCAAACATGATAACGACTCATTATATTTGTAATTTCCTTTAAAAATAAGTTTACCAATTCATATCCTTTAAAGAACTTTGAGCAGCACATGGTTGGCGACAGAGTAATACAACAACCGAATCTGCTTTTGCAGGAATGAAACCAAGAACAAAAACATTCCTAACAGCGCATGAATAACATTCCAGAACAGTTTCTCCCAATGGACCATCTCTGTAATATATGTATATATATATATAAATTATGGTACAGAAATAACAAGCTATATATGTAGAAAACTTTAGTTCAATATAATACCTGTGTAAAGTAACTTCCTTATGTTTAGCTCGTACAAGGTGGTTGATAATGTGAGAACCAGATGTATTTCCACGTCCATTACAAAACCACTTACGACAAACATTACACATAACAACACAAGATGCTTCATGAATACCACAATATTTACATGCATGCTCTGGTAAATCACGATTGTAGTATGCTTCCTCTTCTTCTTCTTCAAATTGTAATTCTGCAAGACTTTGTGCTGCTCCAGAAATTTTCAAATCTAAAGATGAACTACCACTTGTTCCATTAACCTAGATAAGATTCATATATATATATATATATATATATATATACACACACACACACACGCGCGCACACACACGCACACACACACACACATATAAGTTATGGATATTTATTATTATGTTTGATTAAATTTTGTATCTTATTTAAGAAATTCAATTTTGTTTATGTATTGTTCAATGCACCTATACTTTTTAAAATATCATTTAAGGTTATTGTTATTTTGATTTATTATATTATTACATTATCATTACTACTTTCATCTTCTTACTTCATTATCATTACTATTTATCTTGCATAATAATGTGAAACTTATCCATGAGAAAAATCACCTAACCTCTAATTATAGAAAAAGCACCGATCATGTTTGAAGTAACTAATTTAAATACGTAGGATTCGTATTTATTATATTTCACACATCGTAAAAGTTGTATTCACAAGGAAATTGTTTTATATGCCCTGTATAAAGATGAAAAGAAAAAAAAGGTAACATCAAAGCTCAAAGTAAGGCGTGGACATAGGTGTAATGTATATTTGGAATTAGTAAAACTATAAATGAGTGAGGTTAGGTGATATTCCCGTGATTGGAAAAAAATTCAGAATAAGATTAAATGAAGAGAAGAAATGAAAATATAGGTTAGAGGTCAGATACGAGGAACATATGATAAGTCAAAAAACCAACCTGTACTGGTTGGCTAGGTTGACTTTGGGCAGCATCGTGTTGCGAAGCCTGAGTTTGACTCGGTGAGGGTAACGTGAAATCGGTGAAATCAAATTCGCTACCCTGTGTATCCGCACCAATTAAATCAGCTTCCTCTGTGTCGAGGAATGTGAGGGTCTGACTGCTAGGTCCGTATGCATCAACGCTCATCCTGTACCGATACTCGATGTCCTTTTCGTACCCTGCAAGAAGATAGATCTGCCTTCGACTTGTACAGCGACGAACACTAGTTGATTGTGATAGAATACCGCAACAAATACACAAAACGCTCATGCAATTACCGTTAGCGAAATGATAGACAAACGAAACTATCAAGTACAGTAAACTCTCAACACGGCTCAACGAAAGAGGCCAAAGAGAATCCTACGCCATACTTCGTCTCGCGCAAGTCTCGCGCCCACCAACACCGACACAAGTAACAACTAACTTTTCTTCTTTCGCTCGTCGTGTGTTACGTCATCAGCTGATTTCCAAGTGTGTCCCGTGAGATTGGGATTGAAGGTTGGGAATTCTAGCGATCTCCTACTCACTAATGACGATTGCCTGTCTCGCGATTCGATTCTCCGTGCCGATTCCTCTCGAAATTTTTATCGGTTAAACGTATGATAAGCGGTAGTTTTCGGTTCATTCCGATAGATGACGACACGATTACACTTCAGCATGTGATCATTGGCGGGAAAAAGTATCTCAAACACAATCAATTATTAAGATTAGTTATTGAGATACTAGTTACTTCGAAAGTTTTTGATTACAGTAATAGATGTTCCTCTAATTTTCATAAATACTTCATGTATCGTTAATTGATTGATAACATTTTGCAATTTTTAATGTACGTATTTCTAACCTTTTTTATGATTACACCTTATTTATTTTTTAATAATTCATCTTGAAATGATAAAAAAAGAAGGAAAATTCGTCCTTTTCAATTGTTTATTGTCGAACTTTTTTTCTATTTACGTACATACATGAACGTAATAATAAATCTACAGTCCTATAGTCTACAGTAAAAATAATAAATACAAAATTTAATATATACATAACACTTGTTGCTTCAAGTTCCGCCGATTTCTATGTTCTTCACCAATTCGTAAATGTCTGTTACTTTCATTCATTACATTAAACTGCTATGTAGTATTTGTATATCGACTTCATAATAGATCTCTTAAAATATAATATCTTGATACATGCATCGAATAATATACACGAACAGATCTAGAGTCGGTTTTGGAAATAGAACAAAACTTTCTCCGTTTTGTTAAATTAGAAATCGATCACAATAAGCTACATAAAATGGTACAGACATACAGCTTCTTAATTGCGATCTTCGATGTATGAAGAGTGGTTTTTTCTTCTTTAATGTTATATGAAAAAAGGTATTCATGAGATCAGTCTTATATGATAGCACACTGATTACAACTTTAATCAGCTTATTTTACCGATCAATTCAAAATGCGTGTGAGAGTTCATTTACTAATTATTAAAAAATTCAAATTTTTTGTTTCAGCGTGTTTATTCCATAGTGTAGCAATAATTGATCGTGACTATTAATTCAAAAATTAATCTATTAATGTCCGACGATAAAGATAAGTGCAAACTTTACACATTTGAAAATGGGAAACAATAAAATATTTTCTTCTTTCGTTCAATTAATCGTGGTAAATTTTAATAGTCTTTATAGTTGGGAACTAATTACAATTGCCACTAACAACTATAAATGCTAATTCTATCTCGAATAGAAAATGATAAAACATCATTATTCCTTCGAAACTTCTGGAATATTATAATTTAGCCACTATAAATAGTCGAGCAATTTTCTCTAATATTCCATTCTTCTACATTCTCTCGTCACACTGTGAAATGGCACTACAATATCTTTCTCTTTCTTTTTTTTTTTTAACAGACTCTGTAATTTTAATTTTCAATCACATTCATTCCTATTTAATGACTACTCCTAGTATCTTACGAAGTTCTCCATTTTTGTAGTTACTAATTATTAATCAGCAACTTTATAGAAACGATCACCGAGTAATATTCATTAAATTTACAGTCAGTATTGAAGATTTGGTGAGTTTCTCTGAAAACTGTTTTGCTGGTTCTGTTGTAATGGTCCGGCTGGACTAGGTCTCCCTTGCTCGCGATACTGTGGTGGGCCAGGTGGTCCATTTGGTGGTCCTGTTGATCCAGGAGGTCCAGGTATTTTACCATAATTTCCTCGTGTTGAACCCTGGTAACTACCATATGCAGAATCGTCACTGCGCCTAGAAATATGTCCGTACATACTCTCTGGTCTTCTAGAATTTGCTGCGTTATCCGAATTTGTAGATATTGCTCCATTCTGATGTTGTTGTTGTTGCTGCTGCTGTGGTGGTGGTGGTTGCTGCTGCTGCTGCTGCTGTTGCTGTTGCTGCTGCTGCTGCTGCTGCTGCTGTTGCTGCTGCTGCTGTTGCTGTTGCTGCTGTTGCTGCTGCTGATGATGAGTTTGAGTAGAAGACTGTATATTTGGAACTGACTGTTGGGAATTTTGGTTACCCGGAGGAGGAGGAACTGGTGCTCGACCATATATACTAGATCCCGTGGACACACCGTAGATACCATTTTCCCTAGTACTAATGCTTGTGGAGATTCCTCTGATACCATAAATGCTCTGTGTGCATTGTTGCAGTTGATTTTGCATGTTCTGATTCGTACTATTATGATTTTGGGAATTTTGATTTTGACCATTCGGTCCATTTTGCTGTTGGCTCTCTCGGCCTGAAGTTGAACCGGTTTGACCAATTCTAATTGGGTATAAACTCTGAGCAGGGACTAGAGGACCTGGTTTAGGGATCATCAGGCCATCTCGAGTTCCGGAAGTCGATTTAGCATATACACTTTGTGAACGATTTAAATTTGCCCTAGTTAAAGGCGGAGATTTACAGTAGAGTGATTTGGTTCCTCCATAAATAGATTCAACGCGTTCTAAGGCAGTCGGAGGGGCACTATAGATCGACGAGGATGCTCCAGCGACTGGACGATAGGTTGCATAGGCGTTAGGAAACTTAGGACCGGATGGTTTATCTAGATCGTCATATGTGTCTTCATCAGACCTCAGTGATGAATTATCTCCATCGTCCATGTCGCGTGGATCTCTAGATCGTTTAGGATTTAGAACATATTCGTGAAGAAGTGCTGCCACTGCACTTCCGGATAATGGGCCCACCCAGTACACCCAATGATTGTCCCAACGATTGCTGACAAATGCTGGTCCAAGTGCCCGAGCAGGATTTAAGAATGGACTCTGAAATATCATTAAGGATATTCATTAATTTATTCAACTATGCAATTACTCTTGTTTATCTGTTATATATATTTTATGTTTTCAGACTATACATGAGGAAGTGGGTGTCAAATATTTGAGTTAATAAATGAGGCTTTTTAAACTTTTATTTGCTTGTACGAGGTACAATATGCTTGAATTTTTCTATTTTTAATGTATTATATGTACGTTTCGGAGCACGTGGAATTGAGGGATCGAACTCTTCTTTTTCCTCTTTTTCCTCTTTTTCCTCTTTTTCCTTTGCTTATTTTATTCTTCCCTACTCGACATTTCTTTTTACGCTAAACTATAGGTGTTGTTTAAAGACGCGGGTCTGGGTTTGATTCGAAAAAAATCGAGGAGCAATTTGGATAGGCCGGTTATAAAAGAGAATGCGCACACTGACGAGGGGGATTAGAAGGAAAGAATTATGTTCTTAGATGTTTTCATACTAACACGATATTTTCGTTCTTTTTTTTATTTTTATAGTAATGAGAAGCGTGTACTTTAATCGAAACTGGTTCTCTTTAATCAAAGAGAATTATATACTCACCGAAACTAAAGTAGCTGCCGTATAAGCTGCGGCTAGCACGCCAGCTGGTTTCGAAGAAATTGACGTTGGTGATGATTTCGAAGATTCTGACGTGAAATGAGCCAGGACTATCAGCACTGAAAGAGCTAGTTCTACTAAAAGCCTTTCAATAGGTCCCCCAAGACGTCCTAGGGAAGTCAAGGTCTGCGTGTTGGAAGGTGTAGTCACCCTTTAACATAAGAATTATTTATTATTTAATTATTGAATAAATCTAAAGCGCGTAAAGCCATCTGTTTCAGACGGGCTTACTTAAGTGGTGACTGTACATATAGGGAAAATTTAATAAAATAGTAGTAAACGTTTTTGCGTATATTTAAGAAACTATAGTATACTTTATCTACATGATTATTCTGATTTCTTTTCAGAACGTGTATCATTCAATTCGAATGAATTGAAAAGATAATTGAGTTCAGACAGGAATCAATAAGATTTCAAATTGTAGTATTTGTCGAAAATAATTTCAGGGGAGAAAAGTTTTAATTTTGTTGCTAAATACTGAAAATCCCTGTACCTTTAAAATTTATCGTTATGTGTACTAATGCAAATGAAAGCTTCCCTTCTTTTTTTCTACTTCCAACACACCTCCTCTCTATTTCGAGAGGCCTTATGATCTCGTCATGAGAGAATGAATTGATGAAATCAGAAATGCAGATTATAATCGCACAATTGGAATTAATGTGTTGTATTGGCGCCTATAGAATGAAAACAAAAATCATTCTTCTTTCAAGATTCAGAATGGTAAACAAATTTTTGCTGACTTTTCCTTTAATGACCAAGAATCATATTCTTTTGTAATATTTTAAATATCATAACTGACTGTAATTGATTTTATTAATATTAAAAAACATTACTTTAATATTATTCCTTTAACATTTATTAATAATTATTTTCAGAAATTGTTTGAAACTTTGAAACGTACCAAAAGAAGTTAACAAATTTTCTTTCGCATCACTACTTTTTAAGAGACCCATTTCATCGCAGATAAAATGGGAACATTCTTTGCACCTACTGTTTGCTACCAAAATGCAGGCCAGCTTCTATTTTATGTACTCTTTACCAACCACAAGCATAGTCTAAAAATGTCAAGCAATTTTACTCGAATCTTCTCTAACTATTACTTACAAAAGTAGAAAATTTTTTATTTTTTATGATAAAATATTTTCTTATAATTATTTTTTAAAACTAATTAAATTTCCTCCTTTACAGACTGAGCTATGCAAAAAAGTGTAAAAACTGATGTTAAAATCTTTTTTTGGTCCAACGTCATTTGCTACCTATTAGAAAAATTTCACAACTTATTTTCCCATGATTGTCAGTTGTTTTCTCATGTTTTCCGTTCGAGAAGTTATGGTTACTCAACCGAGACTCGTTTCGCTGTTTAATCCCGCGTACACTTGACTCGAGAGACCGAATGCAACCTGTGTCTCATATTCGCACGGGGGCAAAAGAACCTTACGAACACTCTCAATGGTCCAAAGATTCACACAACGTTTAAAATAAATTTCAATTCGAGCACAGAGGGGTGCGTATCACTTTCACTAGGCCTTTATCGTGTTTAACGAGCTATTGATATTTTCCACCCACCGGGACTCCCCCCATAAAGTGATTGGGACGTATACATACATAAACTTTATATCCCTATCGTTAGTGGCCCCTTTCCTGGCTCCCTTTTTCAACTAGGAAAAGCGTCACATGTGTATGATATGTGTTACAGGCGAGACGAGATCTCAGTGATCCCATTCTAAAGTCTTGTCCTATGGGAAAGTTCAGATGCTTTGGAGGTTGTGGTTAAACCAGAAAATTAGGTTCATTGCGAGTTACTGATGTAGGACGAGTAGTTGTGGGAAGTTTTACAAGAAGCTTGACCACTCTTCTCTTATGGATTAATTCTATGGAACGCTACACTTTATGGAATTAGAAAGACGTAAGGTAGGCAAAAAAAAAAAAATGTTTGTTGAAAGTAAATATATTTTTTTGATAATTTCTTCAAAAATTCAAATATATATGCCTAAATATAGTAAATCTTTCTTTGCAATATCCGTATAGTTTCCATTTTATTCAAAAATTTTAATGAGGAAGCAAAATGATTAATTTCATGTATTTTTCTTAGAATCAGTGCAGTTTATAGAAATTCAAGATGACAAAGCACAGGATTTCGATGAAAGCTCAAAGCAGGGTCTCAGAATTCAATTCCCTTGGTTATGAATGGGAAACATAAAAAAGGTGCAGGAAGTGTATTTACACACTCATGGGGAACCACGTCTACAAATAAACGAATTCGTCTGATCATTGTTCTTACTTTGGTTCTATGTTTGTCCTCCAAACTTCCATTGTATATTTATAATAACTTTTCCTTTTCAACTCAAAATTTAGATTAATTAATTGGCAAATTTTCATTATTTAACAAACTTTATATCTAAAACTATTCTGTTATAAAATAGCAGAATTTAAAATTTGCAAAGTTGTAGACGTCCTAACACGGATACATCAAGTGAGAAATAAGGATTTGGACTACAAAATTATAAGTATTCTCTAATTATGAGTAAGCGAAATCCTCATCTGTTAAATTAAGTTAATTATTGGTATTAAAATGTTTTATAACTACTTTGGAAAAAATTCTCAAAGTAGTTCTTCCTTTTTAATCGGACTACTAGAAAATTTCTTTCAATGAAGATATGATATTTTTTTAGATACAAATGGAGACATGTCAGAAGTACTTAACAATAGTATTTTTATAATACTGAAAATTGTACGTACAACCAGTTTCACCGTGCCAATTAGTTCATAGATTCGTAGCAGCAATATCGATAACCCTCAAGAACCTTATTGACCTGTTAGGATACGGGAGGAAAAGAAATCTCAGCAGCTGACCTCGAAGATCGTTGCGGATTCTCCTCTATAGAATCCTATTCAAATCGTAGGCCGTGCTTTTCTACGGGGAACACGTGCCAGCCATATGTTGTACGAAAGGAATCTTCAGTGGTTCTTTTCAATATTGGTAGCGTAAAGTCGCAGTCACAAAAGAGCTTTAGGAGCCTATAAATGATTTTCCTTTGACCAAAGGATACGAAATGATGGCAGATGTTTTCTGCCTTTGCTTTTTGAAAGACGTCGAATTTGGTAGGAGCATAGTTTCGAAACAGAGAGTACAGACAACAAGAGTTATTTCCTTTCAAACTTCTGGAACGTTACAAATTTTTCATATTCATGAAATTATTATGAAGATATAAAAAGTATTTTTCTTCTGATAACTCTTATTTTTTTTAACGCTAATTAATTGTTTTAATTTATAATTTGAATTTTATTATATCTGTAATGTGAATAATATTGTAAATTATTACGAAAGGTAGATTTTAAGTAACTTTTTTAAAATACAGGTGAAGAAGTTGCGGTCTATGCCACTGCGTTAAGAATTAGATTTCGTACAGAGTTGACAGGCTGACTACGCATGTATCTAAGCGTACAACCTACAATCAAGGATTGGGATGATTCTTGAGAACGAACACGTGGTTGTGACCATCTGTTACTATTCTGCTTCGTTCATCCCACCCTAAGTTAAAGCATTTTAACCTTGCAAGTTCTTTTCTTCTGCATCCAGAATACTACACACAAATATCTTTGAATTCTATTTTATTTATTAAACACAATTCAAGGTAAATATATCTCTTATACTCTAAAAAAAAAAGGAAAAAGATTTCCCATGAAAGAAGTTTTTATAATTGCAGAAAATTAATAGTTATTAAGCTGAAACTATAGTTATCTGGACTACATGATACATTAATAAAGTAATAAATCATCAATTAGAAATGAGTGAACAACAGAAGCACGAAGAAAGAAGAATAATATAAGAGGAAAATGAAGAACCGAAAACCTATTCCTACGAAATAAGAAAAATAATTAATTTGAATAACAAAAATCATATTGCTCCGTTTACAGAAATCTAAACACCAAGAAATTTGGCTTCTTATCATCTCTAACTCTTCATGGAACCATTACAAAGAAAACGAGGTGTAAACTTTCCCAGCACATAAAACGTTTAAATATTTAGTTTAAGAAGAGACACCGTGTGCTCTAAATAGTGAATCAGGGATTTTAAGAGATGCGTGAAAGATCGCCATATGTTTTCTGCTTTTTTCTTCGTCATCAGTCACACGGAATTTATTTTCACTAACGGAGAGAAGCAACAGAACACCGTTGACGGCTGAAATTTCCAAGGAGAAATAACCGTCGCTTACGATTCAAAGTTGTAAAAGCTGGAATATCGCGAGGATCGTTTAAGCGGGCCGCTTTGTGTCCGCGGTAAAAGGTGTTTCGAGCAGGTAAAACATTCCTACTGAAACGGTTCTACCTGACCCACCTGGCTTTCACGCTATATTTTCAGCTGAACAACAGTTTCTCTCCACCTATATCAACGTTTGAAGGAAACTAGCTACCCAAAATGCAAAATCTTTAGTTAACAATATGTCATAAACAAATTATATACCAATAGCTAAGTTTCTGTGAACTACATTGGTAGAAAAACGTGAAGAAATAGATGAATTTCATTATTTTTAATGGTTAATATTCAAGTCTAGGTTTAAAATTTCTAGAAGAAAATATTTTCGATATCTTTGGAAGGTAAATGCGTACATATTTGATTGGGCGGAAAATTATCGGCAAAGAAAATCCGGAGGAAGGTCTCTAGTTGGCTGACAGTATTGAGGAAGGCCCTCGAAATCACAGCTTAAGAACTCAATATCGAAGGCTTTCGAAGAAACTTGGATATTGCTTGTCAATTGTAAATCTCTACCTTCAAAAGATCGTCTTCTTTCAATGAATGATATTCCTCGGCCATGACGAACTTTCTTCGTGTTCATGTCGATTCTTTAAAAGTATCAGCTCGATGAATCCATTTTTTCTTCGTTTCGTTTTATTGCATCTTCATTAAAATAAATTTCAATCAAATTAATTACACTGCTGTTTGGATGCTGATCATAGAGAGATACAAGTAGAAAAAATTAAATTCAGTTTTCAAGAAAAACATAATCTAGTACCATAAATATTTTTGAAGGATAGGAAACGTGTATCAGGCTGTTTCTTCGCTGGACATCCGGTTCGCCACGCGCATTACATGTGTCTTGCTTGACGTCACAAACACACCTGCTTCCTCACAGCTGTTCCTTAGTCCATGGTGGTGAATTCCCTTGACAAATAGTTTTATACCAATGCGTATATCTTTTCCGGTGTAATAATCTTTCTCCAAGGAATCTTGCTCAATACATTTCGATCATTCCTTCGTTTTGTGAGCAAAAGAAAATCGAACGTGATTTATCGTACAAATTACTCGCTCATCTAAGTTTCACAGTAATTTATACCATCGTGAAAGTTTACCCCTTGAGGTTGAGAAAGTTGTGTCAGCAAAATGAGAAAAATAGTATATTTTAAATTTTCTATAAAGTTTATGAATTTTCATATTTATACTCTTGTACCGTTCAAAAACCACATAAAGTGATAATGGGAAAATCTTGTATAGTGTCAATAAAACGATACTAAATCCTTTCCGGATAGTTAGATTTGCGATTCTCCCATAATCTTTCCACCATGTCAATTCGGTTTACGATTTATCTGCTCGACTGTCTATCCATTTCTTTTTTTATTTATATTCAGGGGAAGTATCGCACTGGGAGCGACCACCCTTCAACAAATGCAAGGATACGTGTTTTACAAACGCCATACACACACCATCCACTGACCCGCTTGTAACAGATGCAAGAATATGTGCTATTTCTTTCTCCATCTCTCCCTCTGGCCCTTCTTTTTTTCACTGGGGTGCATGCATTCCCTAGAGACATTTTTGGAAGGGATGGCGAACCTCGTTGGTTAACTAGAGTATTGTTCGATTATTATTTCGGTACATATCGCGCACTTGTTATCTCTTTGTGGGCTCATATGGTGGTTTAAGAATGATCTCGCCGCGAATGACGAATCTGACGCTGTATTAAACTGTTAGGGATACCATGAACAACTGCAACTCTATATTATACAATACTTTTTTCAATCCACATAAGATCTGATTCAAGAAAAGTGTAATTTATACAGGTCTTCAATTTGTGTTTATCCAGCAAAAGATTATTTAAAAACAAATTTTTATGTTTCATTTCCAACAACCGTGATTATTCCTCGCCTATTGATATGTAGGTTTAAAACCAAGGCAAAATCGTGTCTTATTTAACACGTAGAAAACCTTAATAGACAGATAATAACGCACAGAGTGTATCTGCGGTGAACCATAAGGGGTGTTTCTTCTTTTTACCCCGGATACAGTGTATCGATGAAATTTCACGAGGGGGCTTGATACTTACATAGGGGTGGTGGCTTCTATTCTACGAAACTTATGGAATAAAATCAGGGGTCCACAACTTTCACTCAACCTGTATGAACCTGTGACATCCAGTTACAGGTTGAACTGTTCTCAGGTACATACCTCTTGACGATATCATTACCGATTACTGCATCGTAAACTATCTATATTCATTTTTCTGCTATTCCTTTTTACAATTATTTACAGTTATATCTTTTTAGATATTCGAAACAAAATTCCAAGTAAGCAACGCAAATGACAAAGCGACAGGAACAAGATGAGGAAACAAGAAAGCAAATAAGACGGAGATAGAAGAAGAAAGGAAGGACAATAATCCTCGAAAATGCAGAGAACATCTGCTCTGATCCCGTATCGCAGCGTATCCTCCTTCAATGAGAGACGATCGCGTCGTGAAACTTGTCCCACCTCGGTGCGTATAGGTATTCATTATCCTCGTCTCTGGTGCCTGCTTTTTCCGCGCGATCTTTTTTGGTCCATGGAACATCTGCGGCAGCTGCGAGGCGGTGGCCTGCCGCAGCCTACACGGAACGAGGCAGGTGCTCACCTTCGAAGGAGCTTCTCCCCTTAGCTCTGCCAATTACGCGTGCCTCTTTCTGCCTCTCCTACTCTCCCTTGTGTCACTTCATTCTTTGTTTGCAATTTTTTCATCGATCGTCTAAGCGAATGTAATTAAATTGTTCAATTTATGGTATCCAGACTAGTAACTTTATTGTATAAGTCTATTATAAGTGAAACCTTAATGATTGGATGGTTATCTTGCATGAAATTTGTCTGCTCTTGTAAGGAGATTTACACTGTTACTACACTATATATCATAGCGGTACATAAACATATATGCATCTAACACCTACAACTACATTTTTTCGGAAGAAGCGTATACTTCTATGATTTGGTAGATTTTAATTAATCTTGCGTTCCAATTATTTCCAGATGACGATTTCTAAGAAGAACGGAAGGAAAGATATGATAATTTTAAACAAAGAGAAGAGAGAAGCAATCATTTCTAAGAAACACGGGGAAAAAGCATAATGATTTACGTATGGTCAGATCATTGTCATATTTATTTTCTCCTCTCCTTGGTCGACAATTGAAGAAGCTCTTTGATATAACCGATGGTACCCTGAGAGCCCATCGCTCCTTTTTCATTTTTTCCTCTCCCTCTTTCAGCACGAAATCTTTTAACCATGGGCGAAATCGAGGCACGTGCACCAAGTTGCACGGGCCAGTCTTTCTCCATTCGACTGGAGAGAAAAAGAGATATTACAACAGCGTGCTCGTGCGCTCCTGATCATTGCTTGGTCACGGAAACTCGCTACCCCGTGAATTATAGACTATGCACGGGGGTTTTATGGGTTAATAATAAAGATGCGTATGCAATTTAAAGATATTGACCAGTTCTTCCAATTGTAGCTCGCAGCTATGCAAGATGAGTAAAAGTCTCTGCCATAAAAATAACGCGATCCAAAGTATGAATTGAGGATAAGAAGTAAAGAAATCCTACCATGTATAATGTATAACAAATCTTTTTAATTCTTTGGTTATCATACATTTTATCAGCCTCACATCTGATTCTAATAAAAATAAACAATTTGTCTAAGCAATAATTTCGAATTATTTCAAATTTAGCAAGCAGCTATGCACCCCATTTATGACATACGTATATATTCGTAAAACTAAACATATCTATAATATTTGTTTGTTATTATACGTAAAATTTTATAATTATGCTTCTACTGATTTTAGAAGGCTTCTAAAAGTGGACCAAACATTTTTGCGAAACGAAAAAGTTTCGAAGGCTTGACCATGCAATCTTCTCGGATTCTGTATCTAGCAGCTGCCTTTTTGGGGTTCCGTATCTCACCTTTTCTAATATCGCGTTTCTACCGTATGTATAAATACTTGGAAACATTTTTCAGTTTGAAAATTTATCATAGTCAATTCCTTCTATTCAAAATATCAGGTTGATGAACTTGAACTATATAAAAGTGATAAAATTTACCTACATTTGATTTAATAAAGTATAGTATAAAAACTACCAAGGATTAAAAGCTTCGTATGATTTTAAAAAATAATTGTTATGTAATGTATTCTAAAGTAATCACTCACCCATATAACATTGCAGCGCCGGCTATACCACCTCCACATTGTGCGGCGATGTAGAGAGCAGCACGGAGTAGAGAGATCCGTCGACACAAAGCGAAAGATACTGAGACAGCTGGATTTACGTGTCCACCTGCACGTCAGGCATTTTACCATTTTATTACAAGTTTTTAACCTATATTCTCACATACAAAACTATACAGAGCGCATATCTTATATCCTTTCATGAAAATGACAATTATATATACTATGATTATATCTTGAACAAGTGTAAAATAAGAATCATCGATATTTTCAGGTTATTATCTAGATACGTTGAATTAAATTATATAATTTGTTACAGGTTAGCTAACTACCAATATTATCGTAAATTTTCTTCGTTAAAAGGAAAAATGAACATGTTTTACTTAGCAGTAACAAAAGCTTCGAGTTAATATACAAGGGTTTCAAGGCGTGTGCATAGTATATGTAATATAGAGCGCACTCTCGCATTCGTTCTGCTGCACGCGTAGCGTACTGTTTCTATCGGTCACTATAATCGGTTAATGAGCCAATCGAGAGAGAAACCACGAGGACCGAATACAAACTACGCAAATAAAATATTCTTTCCAAACTTTTTTAAATTGCTAAATAAAATTTCATATATAAAAGAAATACCAAATTGATAAATTATTAAAGAATTTTATCTTGCAAATATAATGATATAAAAATAAACAGTAAAAGTTACTAAAAATACTTAAAATTATAGGAATTATGTTAACAATTGAATAATCTTATCAATCTTAACAATCACGTGATCTAAGGAACTTACCACTAATATGGCCAAAGATGAAAGAAATCGCCGAAATTGCAAAACCGGATGCTACAGCAGTGGCTAAGACGGAAAGTCCGCTTCCGGAAACCGCAGAGGACGCTGCTGCACCGGATACAACGAGACTGAAGAGAAAAGTAGCGAAACACTCTACAGCCACTGCTCTCCAAAGTTCTAAACTACGAGCTTCTATCGACATAGGTGCTTTCTTCTCCGTTAGTTCTGCATTATTTTCTTTTAACGCGGAGATCCTTGTGAGCAAGGTCACTATATGAGCATCTAGTTCCCTTGAAAATGTTTCCGTGGTCATTTTTCTTTTATAGTATATATCAAATTTGATAAAAATATAAAACAATTTATTATAACTTCTGTAATTTTTTAAAGCATTCTTTCTGCAGTATCACTTCTAGAATGCACTCAAGTGCCCAAAATCACTTATTCCACACTTGCACGCGACGTTGAAGGATCAGTAGGATTCGAGTGGTTCGCGGGAAAGTCACAAAGTACCGATACGTTAAAGGAGCACGAGATTAGAGGAAACCCGAACACGTGAAATCGTGCTTCCCGGAATAGCAACGCGCTTTCGAGTGACAAGACGATCGTCGAACAAGTGGGCCCCAGACTGTGAGAGTGCCTCCACCACGCACCACCCCCACCCTTCGACCACCACCGGTGCATCTGTGCCTAAACCCGAAGAACTCGATCGGCTACCACGCGCAGGCTATGTACCCCTGAAAAAGTGCAGCAGAATGATTGAGGGAGGATCTTCAATGAAAAATTGAAGTGTTAAGAGGGGATATAGTCCCAGTAAGATAATATCTGAAGAATAATTTTTGAGTAACCTACGAGAATTGGATTGAGTTATGATTTAATATTTAATATTAAAGCTATGTTACTTGATAAGCTATGAATTATTTTATTTTTTCCTTTTTTAGTAAGGGTAAATTTTTATTTTCTAAGTAAAGTTTGTTATAATATTTGTTAACTTTGCATAGTTTCAGGGACAAAAAATTACGCTAATTGGAACAATATTTAATATTACAAACGTGAGCAGAATATTAATGCGTACGTTAAATGGTAATGGGCATTAAAAAGAATAATTGCATTTATGGAGATTTATCTTATTCCCACGAGTTCAAAGACTGTTTTAATTCCAAAGTTCCCACAAAAAAGAATGTATGCATAATGAGACCCAAACAACGAATATAATAGCATCCATTTAAATCAACTTTATGCGAACACCAGACCAGGATGGACTTGTGTGCAATAAATTTGCATTTGTTACAAACTCTTCAAATTTGAATATATAATAATATATAATAAATTAATTATCTTAAGACATATTTATATCCTCTAACTGAAATCATATTCAAGGTAAGAAATAATTTATAAAATATTAGAACGAAATCAAAATATATTACATTTTTTAAGATTTTTCTTTACAATTCGTGACTGACTTACAGTTCACTTTTGTTCTCAGAAGCCGACCCCGTCGTGTCAAGCGTGACGATCTTACAGGATAATGAAGAACAGACCAACATAATTAAATTCTTTACTGGGACTGTACAAGCATGTAAGTAAAGTCGACTGGGGAATGAGTAATAAATCCAGCAATTGCCGTAAATTGAAGAACTCGTGTGGAGGGAGATGACAAAAGGGGCGACAGATAAAAAAACTTTTACTTTGTCGCGCCTTTAGCCGTGGTTAAAACAATTCTTCCAACAATATATATAATTCTAAATATAAGATAATTTTTGCACTTAATAGTTATTATTATACATATACGCGAGAATTAATATCTTCTATATAGTTTCCAACAAATTACTGACTGTATCATATTCTATATCATATTGTAATTATATATTCAATTAAAAAATCATTTTAACTATATAGAATTTATTCTACTGATCTAGATGATAATTTTATAAATTCTGATCTTTAAATATTTGATCATTCAGGTATTAAAAATTCAATGAAAACAACAAAAAATGAAAACGAAGTGATCATAATCAATAGAGAAATTATTTATCAACGAAAGCAACGGCGGAATCGAGCGGGAAATCGTTGATTATTGTGTTATTCATACCATGGTATGTTATCAATTTGAATGGTATTCAATGATGATCCGGTTTTACTCTACAATCACTTTCAAAAGTAATAATATTTACAACTTATGTCAAAACAAACTGATGATATTAAGAAATTTTTTATTAAGCAATTTAGTAATTAATTATTTTCAAATATTAATAAAGTAACAACAAATTAGCACGAAATAACGTTTAAAATGAGCATCGCTGACATAATCTATTTCAGATAAAATTGCTTGAAGATAAGCATACCTGTTGCATGATTGACTATACCTGAATGTACTTAATGTGAGTACGACTCATGTGTTCATGCAATATCACGCTTAAACGATTATAGATATTCGTAAATCATGCTTTTCGATCGTTTCAGTGACATTATTTATTAGCGCATAGACGGTTGATCACAGCATTTGTACGCGAGAGTGATATTACCGTTCAGTACACTCTAGACATTAGTCCGAGTAACATTTGTATTGCAAACCATTTTTTTGAAACAAATCTGTTTGGTAATACACGCGCGTTTATAATTTTATTTTACAGTACATTCAATTCACTAATTTGGTTAATTTAAAAACATATCATATATTTATGTTTAATAATATTTAAGTATATTCAAGATAGAAATATTTAAAGTTAATATAAATTTATAAAATTAGAATATTTGAAGTGAATAGTGATGTGTCGATATCATTGTTATATCATAAAAAAACCTGATGTCTGATCATTTTAAGGAGGGGGAGAACAATTGTTTTCGAACGTGACAGGTTAAAGGGTGTTGCCCTACGCGTGTGACAATTGTAATCCGTGTCGATTTCATAAATGCACATGTGCAATCATCACAATTTCGATTATTTAACTTCTTCTTTTTATAATAAAAAAAAAATTGTTTCAATTATTTCTAAAGGCGACTTTCCTTGTCTATGCATGTTCTCAATGAGTATATAACCACTGGTAAGATTTTACTTTCGTAGTAGCTTTCGCTTTTCCCCGCTTCATCGAGAGTTTCCTGGAAGACCAAGTTCCTCGTTTTACTACGTGCCTAAAGAAGTGTTACGCTTGTATACACACTCGCAGCCACATCTGTCTGTTTACGGTGAAACACCAATCCGTACGCGGACAAGATGGCCGCGTATACTCTATATTTGTCGATTGGACGCGTCTGTTTTTATCTCTGCTTTCTCGCAATTACGGTGTTGTGTCAGGAACAAATATCCCCGGGTAGTCGGTATTACAGTCGCGATGGAGTATATGTGCCTTCAAATAGGCCGGATTACCAAACCGACACTTATATTTACAAGGATAGGAGGTATGGGTATCATCCCAGTTACCTGGATCCTGTTTACAGAGGACCTAGTAAAGCACCAGAGCATCGGTATCTTTACGAGGTAAGTGGAATAATTAGTCAACTTTTATGCTTATTTTATCAGAGAAATTATATTATATTTCTAAAAGATCAATATATAATATTCGTATTAATTAAAAGAAATAAAATTAATTAAAGATTATAATTACAAAAAGATTATTGTTTTTAAGGACACAACATCGAGACTTCCTCTTCCTGGAGTATTAGGTGGTTGGCGAGAAGATCTTCAAGGAAGAGAAAGACCTGACTCTAAAAATCTAAAGAGAGATGTGACTGTGCTTACAACTTATGGCCAAGTGCAAGGATTTAAAGTTTATTTGTATGATGATCCACAAGCAAGACATAAGCCTTGGAGCTTACCAGTCGAAAGAGTAACAAAGCATGTTAATGTATTCCTTGGTATTCCATATGCTATGCCACCTATAAAAGAAGGACGATTTAAACCACCAAGACCTCATAGAGGTTGGCAGTTGCTACAAGCCGTTGATTGGGGACCAGCCTGTCCTCAACCTAGTGCATATACTGGTGCCACTAAAGGAATTCGTGATGTGGATGAAGACTGCTTATATTTGAATATTTTTACTCCATGTATTGACTCTGGTTTAGCTCAATTATACCCAGTAATGTTCTATATTCATGGTGGAGAATTTACTCATGGAGCCAGCAATTTATTCCCAGCTCACATGTTAGCTGCATTTTATAATGTGGTAGTTGTTTCTATTAATTATCGACTAGGTGCTCTAGGATTTCTGAGTACAGGAGATGAGAATAGTCCTGGAAATTATGGGATTCTGGATCAAGCTATGGCATTGAGATGGGTTTATGATAATATCAAAGCTTTTAATGGTAACCCTAATGCAATAACACTTTTTGGACCTGGTGCAGGAGCAGCAAGTGCAGGATTATTAATGGTTGCACCTAAAACCAGAGAAATGGTATCAAAAGTAATAGCTCAATCAGGTTCTGCATTGGCTGACTGGGCAATTATAATAGACAAGTATAGAGCACAGAATACATCTAGGGTGTATGCAGAAATGTTAGGCTGTAGCATAGATGGTAGCTGGAAATTGGTGCAATGCTTGAAAAATGGTAGATCCTTTTTTGAACTGGGTAATTCTGAATTAAAGCCACATATAGGAACGTTTCCATGGGCTCCTGTTTTGGATATCAATTTTACAGTACCTAGTGACAATTGGTATGAAGATTGGAGAGCATCAGATTGGCGTTTTTTTATAGAAATGCCTGAAGAAAGCATAAAACATCATAAGTTTAAACATGACTTAGCATATATGGCTGGTGTGACTACTCAGGAAGCAGCATATCTTATATGTATGTATTGTGAAATAGCTACAATTTTATAAATTTTTACAATTTAATAAATATTTAATTTATTCTAGATAACAATGCCACATTAGCCAGAAATCAATATATTATAGATTCAGAATTGTTTGAACAAAATATTTGGGAACTTGTTCTTCAATATAACTATACTCTAAATTCTCAAGGAGTTTATGAAGCTATAAAATATATGTACACATATTGGCCAGACCCAAAAAATATTACCAATATTCGCGATCAATATATTAATGTAAGTTGTATATAGTGTAATGTTATTTGCATATTTACAACAAAGTATATTTTTAGCTCTTGTCGGATTTTCATTATGTTGCGCCTTTCGATAAAATGGCGAAATTGTTGGTAGAAAAACATGTGCCTACATATTTGTATGTACTAAATACAACTGTTGAAGCATTCAGACTACCACAGTGGCGAAGAGTTTCTCATAACACCGAACTTCTTTGGCTAACAGGTGCTCCATTTATGGATGTTGGTAAGTTTGTTCATACAAACTTTTCTTTAAGTAACATAATTAACGAGCTATTATTTCTTCAGAATTTTTCCCCCAGAAATGGAATTTGAAACGAGATATGTGGACGGATAATGATCGCAATATGAGTCATTTCTTTATGAAAGCGTACGCAAATTTCGCAACGTATGGGTAAGTTTATAGTTATGTTATTTTTAATTTTTGTTTGTGCATAAATATGTATTTTTCCTTTCTTTTATATATATATCTATATATAGAAATCCCACACCATCACAAATCTTGGGACTACACTTTAATGTTGCAAAACCTGGACAATTACAATATTTGAACATTAATACTACATTCAACAGTTCAATAAAATTGAACTATCGACAAACAGAAAGTGCTTTTTGGTCTGTTTATTTACCAACTGTTATTGGACGTTTAGTACCCACATATCCACCAGTAACTGAGGTAAAGATATTATATATATTTTTTCTTGCTACATATAAATTTAGAATTTCTTTTTTTTTATTTATATAGTATTGGTGGGAGCCGAAACAACCACTACAAATTGCCTTTTGGTCAGTTTCCACTGCCTGTTTGTTGTTAATCGTACTTTCTGTAGTGTGCTGTATGCTTTGGCGTAATGCCAAAAGGTAAGAAAAGGTAAACAGAACCAAACCCATATGACTACATCGTTCCACTTCGTAGCGCATGAGGGTGATGGTTCTGGCTTTATGAACACAATAAAAAATAACATTCAGTATTAAGTACAATTAACAAAACATTTAAAATTCTTTTCATTAATTCTATATTTGCTTGTAATTCATAAAGCAAAACAAAGGCTGCCAGATTACATGCAGGTATTTCAAACATACTTTACATGCAACAATCTATATATCATATTGCACAGCTTTAAGTATTAACAAGAAATTTCTTCTTTAGTTTATTGACTAAAAACAATTTAATTATCTAATATATTAAAGTTCACTCATTTTTGGTAATGTTATGAAAAAATTAATTTGCTTTTGGTAGTGGTGTATGTTTTTATCATTTCGTTTGTTCTTACGAATAGACAATCTGACCACTACTATAGCGGAGATATCCTGATGGTACGAGACGATGAACTCTCGGAGGGAATCGAGAATATGACTCGCACTTCAAAGGAAAATATCCACGAATATCGAGACACGCCACCAGTTCGATCTAGAATACCACGACAAAATGAGGCAAAGCTTCAAGAACGACTAGCACATAATCGAAAATTCAGCTCAACTCCATCGTTAAGGAGTAATTCTAATATCTCATTGAAAGATATGCATTCAGAAGGATTTGTTACCAGTTCACCAAATGGAAAACCTAGATTAAGTAAAGCCATGAGCCAGTCTGCATTACCGAAAAGTAAAAGCAAGACGCATATAGTTCAAGGTGTTCCGCAAACAGCTGTATAATATCTATTTTTACTAAGTATTTCTCATTCTATGACTGCCTTATTTATTTTTCTGACCAGAGCAGTCGCATGTCTAAAATCAAAAACATAGCATTTTAAAGAGTATGTGTTCATATATGTGTGTGTATATATATACATATATATATATATATATACACACACAAAATGTTTTTTAGTATGATTATTTCCAAATACTAAAAGATGCTTGATAGATAGTAAACTGAAAAGATATAAATGACTGAAGTTAATGTTTTAAGATTTGGCTAAACATTTCATCCGTCCATAATAATATTGTTGTTGTATTACTATAGTACTGTAAATATTGATATATAATTATTTTGTACTTTTTTATGTTAATTTTTATCGTTATAAAGATCGATGTTACGCCGTACAGGGTATATGAAATTTATTTTTTACAGATGATTATGCACTCTACAATAGTAATATATATCATCTAATAATATTACATAATATAACTTCAAGAACAAATTTAATAGTCATACATTTTTAGACAAAGTACAGTGTTTTTATACAATTTTTTTATTACAAAAATAATACGTATAATATATGTTAATAATATATTTATATATTCCTACATTCTTATAGTATTACTAGAAAACATATGTAGTCGCTGTTGAATCGATCTCATTCTGATGTTACGATTTCAATACTATAAGTCTTTTAATATATTTTACAGTACCTAATTACAGAAATACGTATTATATAGTCCGTAAAAGTTTTGCGTATTTTTTTTAATATATAAGATTTTTATTCTGTACTAAAAAGATGTTACTAGTAAGTTTTATAAGTATTAGAATATCAAAGAATACCATTAGGTTAAGACATTTTAATTAAAATATATTGTTCAAACAATATCTAAGTATTTAAAGATTCTAAAAAATTAATTTATAGCAATATTCGCGTCATACATTTTATTCATATGCTGTCACAGATATTAATTGTAAAACTCTATAAATCATAATAAGTATAAGTAATTTTTAAATTTTTAACAAAAGATAAAGGAACATGGGACCAAAACATGTAAAAGTAAGATTTAAAAAATTATAATTATTTGTGTTTTATATTTTTTCTTTTGTAAATTATTGTATATTGTAAATTGTATATAGAAGTGTGCATCTAAGGGCAATGACCGTGTGGATCGTGAACAACAAACGAAAAACCAGTTCGATTCCCTTCATTTAGAGGTTAAACATCCTGGAACAACAATATTATTGTTACAATGTCCAGAAAAACCGATACTTTTAGCCGCAGCAGCCGCTCTGGCAAAGTTTGGTAGCAAATGCCAGGAAAACTTGGAAGTCTTATTTGATCTGGAGATCGTGGATAGCATAATTTCATTAATCACACACGAAGATTTATTTACTCGAAGGTTTGTTTTAAATTCGTTATTCTTTTTCCTGATTGAAAATTTTTTATTTTTTTTTTTTTTTTTTTTCAATGCATAAAAAATATCAGAATAAAAAAGTTATTAATTTTTGTGCATGTAATAACAACATAAAATTTAGATTTGCTGCAAAACTGTTAGCCGAAATGGTAGCCATTCCCAACGTTCGAAATTTTTTATTGGACTCCAACACCTATATTCCATATTTTACTAAGGTTCTTATTAATGAAAAGGACATCTTCATGCATGAATTTTCGTCCTTAATCCTAGCAGAAATATCTAAGGACTTGCTTGGAACAGCACAATTATTAACACAGTGTCCGGATATGAACTTGTTTGAAAGACTTCAGTCAGTAGATCCTGATGTGAAAAGAAATATCATACAAATTATATACAATTTATTGCAAGATCCTTTAGGCGCGAAGATGATCATTGAAACTAAGGTTCATTAGGATGAAAAGTTAAATAATCCATTTTATTCAATTTCTTGAGCATTCGTGACTACATTTTGAAACAATTTGAAATTTTCAGAATTTTAATTTAGAACACGTCTACGAGCTTTTTAATTCGCCTTATCCTGAAATCCAACAATTTGCACTCGATGTGGTAACCGATTTAGTACGAAGAAATCAAGATAACCATTTGCAAAATCATTTCCGGCACACGAATGGTCTTGAAGCGTTGTTAAAAATTTTAAATGTAAAATATTCTTACAAGAGGAGGAAAAATTGTTGTCTATTTTAAGTTTCATAAAAATACATCTCTGCACTAACTTAGAACATCGAGTTGGAAGATCTTCATGCGGATGTACTCAAGATCCTCTGCTACGCTTGTGACAATCCTATTACTGTTGAATTGTTCGATGATATCGGCGGTATTAAACAAATATTAAAATATATAGAAGATACATCAAGTTCAAAGCTTTTTATGGAAGCTCTGGATGTAGCTATCCGTTTGTCGTACACGCCTAGGGGTAGAAAAGTAATGTATACAATTTATTGAACCTAATTTAAAACAGACTAATTAGTTAATGAGATAGCCAGGGTCATTTATATGCCAACGAAAGTTTACGAACAGTGCACAAATAATTAATTATCATAGAATATCATAAATGATTTTGAGGGCTTATTTAGTTTGCTACAGACCATAGTTTTTGAAACGCAAATCTAATATCATTTGATTTATTGCTAATATATTTACTGGGAAGGCACTTTACACGTACGGCATTATCAATTATTTGTTGCATACATTAATGGGCAATGTGCAAACTGATATGTATGAAATAAGTTGTTACGGGATTGGTATGATGACTCTGTATAGTCAAGCAGCCGAGGATCTAACTACCAGTGATTGCATAAAAAATGTTTTAGGTTAGTTTAAATAATCAGCATCTTTTTCAAACAACGTAAACATTTATTGTACCGTTTCAGATGTACTCAAAAACGAGAATCTGAAATGGTCTGCCAGACAGGCAGCTTTGTTCGCCTTGAGTCAGTTGTTAAAATGTGATATAAAGAATTGTCAAGAGTTTTTGAACATTCAGGGACAGGTAATTATTTGTTCAAATAATTGCACTATTTGTTTTAACAAAAAATATTTTAAGAATGTTATTCACAGAATTATTTATTGTGGCTAATGAACCAAACCATGGGAAAAGTTCCTGTTGAAATTCTCGTTGAAGGGATAAAATGTTTCATCACAATTGCAAGAAAGCTGAATTTGAGACGTAATATAATTACTACGGATATAATCGAGGCTATGTGTGCATCCTTCGAAGTATATTTTCTCTTTAATTTTAAAAAGTCCACAATGTACAATTCTATAACTGAATTAATTATCGCGCAATTCATTATCAGTTAAATTGCATATCAATGAATGATTTCAAAATTACTTGCTGCAAAGCTTTGTCCATTATGTGCGTGGAGAAGATCGGGAGGCAGGAATTCCTGAATGTTAAAGGTCCTCAGAGATTATATAATTTATTATGCAATGTCAAGGTGATTCCAATAAGAAATGCAGCCGTCCAATTAATTCAAGTATTATGCGCTGATCCGATATTGGCGGATGCTTTTGTATCGGCTAGATATCTAAATTAGTAAGGGTTGAACTATTCCATAAATGTTGTATAATACGATTTATGAAAATGATAATTATAGCATGCTGAACAATCGATCGACCGCGCAAATCATTCCTTCATGGGACATGTGTATAGAAGCCTTGTTTAACTCACACTTATCAATCAAGTTTGCTTTCACTGGACGACTTTCTTTACACGATGTTACACGGGATGGATTTTACGTGCTTCGAAGAAACGTTTGTGCGTACGTATTGTATTTGTAGAATTTTTATATTCTATTTTATATCTGATTTTTTATATAGTATCGATTTCATCTAGGTTTCCTATACTGGATGATATTTTGCGATTCAAGTTCTGCCCTCTGGAACCCATTTACGTAGTTAATTGTATTCGCGAGGAAACTTTTTATCAATTGAATACGGAAGGTGACCAGCACTACTTATCTCCCTCATTGTTAATTTTTGTGAGATTAATTTTTTATTTTTTTTTTTTTTAAGATTCTAAACACATGAATGTAAATACTATCGAATCTAAAAAGGTTTTTTTATCTACTGAAATAATGAATTTAACGATGGATTCCAAGTTTGGTCGTCTTCAATGCGATACTTGTCTCTATGATTATATAAAATTATTTAAATGTAAATTAATCGCCGTAGAGTCAAAAAACGTGTAAGAGGATTATTATACTTTTTTCATTATAGAGACTTTATAGTTAGAATACACTTCTCAATACAGAGTATCAAAGACAACACAAGGATTCGTAAATGTCAATTATGTAGTTTCACGTGCTAAAATGTTGGCTAAGTTCGTGGTACAACAAATGTCAGGTCCGGATCCCCTTATTAGATGCATAGATCATCAGCTAGAAATTCATTTGAAAGAAATTAAGAAGAGCATAGAGACTAGTGTAATACCACTAGGAATGTTACGAGTTGGTTCTTATTTTGAAAGAGCCTTACTCTTCAAAGTGATCGCCGATAGGGTACATCTGCCTGCTGCTTTGGTGCGAGCAGAATACGGAAAAGCTTGGATCGAGATCGCGGTACCAGAAGTAAAGGATTTTGAATTTCTATTTTTCTTTTTCTCAGAATCAAAATGGTAGATGTTGGATACTTAGGGATACTTTAATTCTTATAATTAATTTCTTAATTTAAGATATTTTTATTAGGTAAAAGCCTCAACGGAAGAAGATACCTTTGATTCGTATTTGCACAAAGATATCTCCTGTCCAGAAATTATCACAGTCTATGAATCTGTACAGCAAAATACCGATGAAAATGAAAATTTAAATGTAACTCCAGAAGATCATTATTCATCAATTTTTCCAACAAAATTGCTAAAACCGAATTTCATTGTTGATCTAATGGAATCTCCGGGAGACTTGATTCCAATCGACAGTCACCGAGCCAGATTATACTGTGAAAAGAGACTAGTCTGTGATATTGTGTGTTAGAATTGATGAATCACAAAATCTATTTCTTTCGAATACATAAATTATAAAATCATAGTCTAATTTTACTCTCACTCACACTCTCATTTTCTTTGGACTTTATAAAAAATTGATGGCTTAAAAAACTTAATAATAAAATGCAAAAATCTTATTTACAACTGTAGTATGCATTCACCGATGGAAATAGATCTATTAGTTTTTAATTAACGAAGCTTTTCACGTTTATCACTACTAGATATCAAAAACAGTTGCAGTAAACGCGATAGAGTATCGTTATCACGTTGAATGCATAATAAATTATTTTTTATTAGAACATGGTAAGCGCTTCATTTGTTACAAGATTCAATCGTGATAAGTATGTATTAAATTTGATTAAACTCAATACTTATTGTTACTATATATAAACATCTGTTTAATGCGACGATCTTGCCAGTTCTCCGAGTTTCACTAGCCCGAAAAAGCTGTTTTCCTTGTCGAAAATGGCATATCTCGGCGAGCTTGCTTCTTTAAAAATTAAAACGTCTTTACGTTCTAAATAGGTAAGCTGAGCCGAGAAACAGGTCTGACTAATGTTGCGTGAATGACCTGAATTATCAATCTAAAAATAATTAATTATAATCGCTTCCTTTTCTTATTAAGATAGAAGTTCGTATTTTATATTATATTAATTGCATTTATCGCCCAGAATGAAGGATATAAAGCTAACTTAAAACATGCAAATCGTTTTATATCGTTTCATATGGTCTATAGAAAATTGCAAACTCCAGGCATATCTTTTCTTTTATATTTTTAGTTTTAATATTAAACGATTCTTTTTCAGACATGATATTCCACTTACCATACACTGAAGAATAGGTTGATTGTTAACCTGCAGATGAAACCCAATCTCATCATGATCATCATTATAATGAATTTGCGCGTAAACCAAATATAATCCTCCTTCATGAACGGTGACACTTCCATCATTAGACATATTGAAGTAGTGGTTCATACCATAATTATCTACCCAATCACTTGGTTTCCAAGCCTTAAACATGCTATTCCCATGACGAATTCTCCCGTTCCCAGTGTAATCATCCTTCTCTGAGTACTTATGCTTGTCCCCATTATAATGAACAGCGACTATTTTTCGGGGGTGGTTTGCGTTTCCGGACCTTCGAAGTTTTTGAGGAACTTTCCTAAGCCGATTTGTGAGACTTTGTTTCCTCGGTTCGTCATTGTGTCTTGAAGGAAACGCCTCAGTAGTATTTAGAGATGAGGAGGTATAATATTTTTTGGGGGGATATCTAGTAGAGCCTACATCGGAGCTGTGGAAAGCAAAGGAACGAAAATACTTAAGTCACAGTTTCTTCTTATGTTTTACGAACATAATTAGATTTGATCGATATATCAATATATAAGATTTAATTGACATATTAACATAACTATATTTAATTAATATATCAATCAGTATCAATTATAATTAGTGTCGTAGTTGAATTGTTACTCGTTTTTAATTCAATCTTTCCTTAATGAACTAAAATATTACAACTAACGTGTTTTGTTCCTTCTCAGTACTTTTGTCCTGCATATTTTCCGACGTTAATCGAGAACTGGAATCAGGAACAAGGGTTTTCCTTGTATAATTTTTCGGGAAATGTCCATTAATTAATAATCTTTTAGAATTATGATTCTCCTCATCAATCGATCGTGTACGCTTCAAAGTCATCTTCCAGTCTAACAAAAGATCCTTCATATTATCTGTATCTAATACATCTCGTTTTTGTTTAGTATTATTCTTATGATTTTCCAATTTGCCAACTAGAACCTTCTTCTCCTGATTTCGGTCTTGATCTGTGTTCTTATGATTCTTTTTTAATTCTTGACTATGTTTGGCTTCAACTTTACGAATCGCGGGTATTAATTCCATTATTGTTTTATCTGAATTAATGTCTGATGTAGAGGGCACAGGGGCAATCGTCGATGAAGAATCAGGAAAATCGGAAGGTCTGGCGCCGAATATTGGGGGTGAATGATAATCCGTTGAATAATCATGTGAAGAAAAAGTATCATCCTCGTAATTGGAGTCGTAATCTGCATTATTAATATCCGCTTCCTCTGGATTATCATCATCGTTCGATTCTTCGGCATACAACTGTAAACACACACACACACACACACACACTATATATATATATATCGTTAATTTGAATTGCTAATATTAGTTTTCATTCTTTAAAATAAGTTTAAACGGTATGTAATAAGAAGGAGATACATGTAAAAGATATATACATATGTATATTATCAGTGACTGGAGAATCTTAAAAGCTGCACTGTTAAAATGTCATCATATCGCAATATACACAATGAATTTGTATGCGTCGAGTATTCGTTTCTATACACAACATGTTATGTAACGTAGTGATGGCCTTATGTAAGCATTAAACTCCATGTAAACTTATTTTCGCAAAAATCGTTTAATTGAATATCTCTTTAACTGCAGTTCGGGTTATCGAACCGTTTTGTGCCGTGCATGTGTGAGCTTGTGGCTGTTGATTTATGTCAGTCAACACCAATAACCAGATATATTTTTTCTATTTTCTTCACGTAAACAGGAAGGACATCGCATAATTGATATTAACATGGAGAACTTCAACTTTCAGTTGTTCCGAATAAATCGAATAAATTTTCTATCAATTTTTTCTTACAAAGAAAAAATAGTTCCATCAAAATTAAATCAGTTAAAATGAATATTAATTTACCATTATATATTGATATGTAAAAAATAATTTAAAAGGCTAAAATTTAATTTAACTTTTAATCCGTTTATCTCGTAAGTTAAATAGATAAAAGTAAACTTTTTTCTTCTTACAAGATAGTTTTTTATGCCAATAAGCTTCTTTATCTTCACAGAAATATCTTATATCGTTATCTGACCTTTTATTTCATAAATGATTCTCGTCGTCTGTTTTGAAACAAGATAAAGATGATCGAATTATGCAAGAAAGGAACATTCTGGGAATAAGAAATTATGTGAAATGAAAAAATAATTTGACAGTTGAATATTATAGAATATGCAAAATGTCATAAATAACTGTAAAAGGGACTTCCCTGAAGTGGATAAATAAGTTTAATGCGTTTGTTCTTTTAAAAAAGATTTCAAATTGATAAACTTCTAAATAAAAAAGAAACATAATGCAAACTTTGAGTTGAGATTATCCTTTGAAAATATCTTACAATTTTTCAAAATATTAATTTCCAATTTAAAAGTAATCTAAAGAATAAAAAACCGTGGTACAATGATTGAATTACACGCGGTACTTGTGTAACTCTAGCATCACGTGACACTTAAGACGTTTCCTTCTTGATCATTTACTCATAAAAAACCATTACCTGTTCTTCAAAGGCTTTCAGTTCATCCAGTAAATCTTCCTCTAAGAAACGATACTTCAAGCTCTCCACGCTTCGTTTTAACTCTTTAATCTCCCGGGAATTAATCAAAGAACAGTGAAACTTCCAACTTTCAAGACCCAAGCATAGAAGAGCGATTAACAAAGCGGTTACACTCAGAATTGTATGTCTATTCGGTCGAAATCGATGTTTATTGAAACCTTGTTCAAGGTCAGATTGAGAGATACTTAGGTTCTCTCTGGAGAAGCTAAGAAACGACCGTGTTTCTTCTTTCATGTGGACGTCGTTCATCAACTTTTGTTTCATCTTTGGAACTTTCGTTTCTTCTTCAGGTAACACAGAAGTCATTATAGCCAATAAGTGAGCACAATGGCAATGAAATAAATTAATTGATAAAAATCTAAGTTACACTGCACGTCGTACAAAAAAATTACGAACACTGTATTTTACCACTTATTTCTTTACATTTACCTTTTTCAGTCTAAAGGACAGTAAAAAAAATCATAAATAGTGTCCATGATTCTTCGATATGCACAATTCTTTTGTCAATTCACATTGAACATGGATCTTCAAGATTAAACTTCATTCCGCACTGTCGTCGCATTATTTTATTATAGCCGTGATATAATCGTTTTAAATTTTTAACAGGGTGTTGAAAATAACACTTTGGTTTCTTTCTTCCACCTGTAACTCGCTGTAAGTGCAACAAACACCACAAAAATTATCAGTTAATTAAATGAAAAATTTCAATAGTCTTATTAAGTCCATCAAGATAATAATTTCAATACTCTTCTCCCTTGTACTTCCGTTGCTTAAATTGGGCAATGGGCAGACCACCTGATTCCACAATTTCAGAAATTTACAATGATCTACGACGATAGATGGCCTGTATATCCCGGTCCTGGCCCTCTTTAAAACCTGTCCAGCGGGTTTTTTCCCCTCCAGAAGAGAACCGTGAGCAGGATCACAGGCAGAAATAGTCAAGATTCGAGTCTTTAGTCCGCACCTCCGCCTTCTGGCCTATTCTTCCTTCCTTTTATCCTTTGATTTTTTTCCTTTTCTTCTGCTTTATATACTGTGATCTTTCGACAGCTTATATCCTTCTACCTATTGGTCTTCTTAATTCCGTTGTCCCATTAATTTTTTATTTTTCGATTTTGTGCTTCTTAAGTTGACGAGTAATGACAAGTAACAAAATGTAAGTCAAGAAACAGTACTGAATAATATTTAAATAATATTGATTTTTGTAATAATAATGCTGAATTACCAATAGAACTAACCATTACTGGAGTAAAAGAAGTTTAGAATTCGTTTGATGCTCGTGGAGAATAACGATAGACAAAGAAGAAACGACCTGCGGATCTGGCAGATCCAACTGTACTGGCTAGAAGGGGCGGAAAGCGTTCGAGTTTATTGCGATAGCACCTCTGGATCTCAATGGCGTAGATCAGTATTTCAGAGACGCAGCTTCCATTTTCAATACTCTCATCAATCAATATTGTTTCTTTTATTTATAACGATTAATTACAAATTGATTATTGTATAACAATTATATTTAATTGTATGTAATTTGAATGACAATTAAATTTTCTGCGATATTATTACGTATAAATTATTATACTTTCGAAAGTATGTTCCGTATTATAAAACGAAATGTTGAAAAACACTGTCATATAGAATTTAGAATAAAATGAGAATAAATTCCATAAATATTATTCGTTATTACATTTTAATTATTAATTATTATTTATTTTGTCTGGAAGTCTATTAAATTCTTAATAAGATCTTACTCGCAGAACCCGCAATCAAACTACAAACAATCGGTCAAACTGAAAACGTATATTCAACAACCTCTTATACTCCGTAATTCGATTATGCATGTTATAATACACCGTCAACACTTTCTGCAATACCGTGCCACTCGAACACACGTTTGAATATGGACAGCAACGATTTCTCATACAACGTACATGTTCCACGAAAAGATCTTTCGGCATGGAATTTTATCGTGAATGATGTCAACGGATTCCATGTTAATATTCCAACGAGATATCTCAGATTCGGACCTCTTCCAACTACCAGAGAACGTCGAATTTGATACTCGATAACTTCAGAAATCGCATCCTCCTGTAAAGCAGCATCGTGAGAATATCTCAATGAAATTTCTTAGGGAAACATAACTCTCATTTCGATAAAAATTATCACACACAGATTACATTTATTGAATAGTGTATTAACTTTACAATATAAGAAATAAATTGATATAACAAGTACTGTAAATTCTAAGCAAATTTGGAAAACATATTATTTCTAATACTTACAGAATGCGTAAATTTGTAATAATAGCAATAACGATGAGAACTTTGGGACATTCGTGGTTATGAATATGCAAATTGATATCAACAACCGGAATTCTTAGAGCATGAATTGCTTGTCGAAACGTAAACTGCTCTCAATGCTCTGATGTTTCGATGTAATTTGACACGCTTTGAAAATCCGTTGACGTTAAGGTACATCAAAAAAAAAGCTAACGCACGCGTTATTCACTCTTCAGATATGAGACTTTCTTAAAAATCTCTTGAATATACTCGCAACACTTGTGTATGCTTGTTACTCATCTCATAAATGACATCACTTGTGCACGCATTTTCTTACACTATCATTATTTAAATTCCAGACCCAGTAATCGATACCTTATTGATAATTTTATGTTTATAAATTAAGTTTTGCAAGTATATCAAACATTTGCAAAGAAATTAATTTTCGCGGCAGAATTATCTTGCTATTCTTTATGCTCATTTAAGGAGATAAAAATTAGAACATCTTCATGTTGCGTTCTTAATAATAATATTATTAGAAATTTCTCCAGTTGCAGTCCTAATTAATCGTCGCAGAGTGCACGCGCGTAATCGAGTGAGTTTGTGTAGGAAGATGACAAAATTCGAGGTATCTGGATCAATTTATGACTGATGAGTCGAAGCGTGCTGTTCGTGGCCTGTCAATTATTTAATTCATCCTTTCTCCTCGTTTAGTAACTACCTACTCACTGTTTCCACGACTTTCTTACACTGCAGTCACGAGATCTGAATTACCAGAAAAAAATTCAATTATTAAGTAATTTAAAACATAACGAGAAGAAAAAAAAGAATTACCCGATGCAGTTGGATTTTATTTTGTATGTAAATAATTTTTCTAAGATTCACCAGAGAAACCAACATGTAACCAATATTGCACCAACATTTGCGATACAAAATTATTTTTTACTAGTAGACTTGTTAACTACTTAACTTTGAACCAATAAAAATAACGGACAATCAGATGTAGTCGATATAATATGCAACTCAAATTGTGATTTCGTTGATCGACGCCACTGCATCAATCCAGAGTCACGGAACTTCTTGCTAAATATAGCAACGAAATGCAATGCAAAGAAGAAAGAAATTTTGGACTACGTTAAAACTCTCACAATTTTGGGAAATGCTCTATCTACTTTTTTTACATTCATATTTTCCTTATTTATCCTTTTTCGTCTTAATACTGTAATATCATTTTTAATTACCAAAACTAGATTTATTAACATTTGTTTTTATTGTAACTACATATGCCTTTTTTCCATACCTTACAATTATTCGCAATTTCGTTTTAAAATGTACACTTAAACATTTGCATCTTATTCATCTATTTAATCTGTCGGTAACTGTTATATTTCTGATTTTAATGACTTAGCACAAAGCTTTTGTTTATACTAATAATTTTCTGGCTGATTACAAAGTCCTAATTAAAAAAAATTTCCTATTTAACCATTAACCTTCTTCCTATAAAACTTGTGAACATTTAAAAAATATATATAAAAAAATGTATATAAATATTTTACAAAAAAATCAAATACCATATCCTTGGAGATGCCATAGAATTGAAAAAAAGTCAAAAGATGTAATAAATAAGAAACCGCTTATGCGTATTACATTATAACTTTTGTTTCTGAAACATATAGAAAATTAGAATCTAAACAAAATAATATTGTATCGATATTTTTGTTGAAATTTATAATGGTTATTTTTCACCAAGTTTATCGCTATTTTAATCAAACTGAAACAAAAGAAGTAACAAATTCTAAATCATAAAAAAGAAAAAATTGTTATTGATGACAAGGATTCAAACAAAGATGAAATTAATACTTAAAAGAACGATTGAGAATCTCTTTTCGAGTCAAGAATTCAGGTTGCTTTTATGCGAAAGTAAGATATGTATATCGTCCTTGAAAACGAGTTCCGGCATCGAGTCAGAATTTAATAGAACGTATTCTATACTTCGGAATTTTCTAAATCCTTCGTATAATCTCTTATTAAACTATCTTTACCTGAATATTGCAACGTGATAATAACGTGCTAACGTACAAAGATAAGGAGCGATAAAAATTCTAATAAAAAATTGTGATGTCTTATCGTTGGTATAAATATAGAGTTATCCGAGTGCAGCTGCAACATATCTAAATGTTGTAATCTAAATACATTTAAAACATCACAAACAGTTTGTGTTCATAGATGTCCTCAAAAGTTAAATGAAATTACCATACTAATTCGCTCTTCATTTTTCTTCATTCGTTCTTACCAAGTAATACCAAGAGAACGTAATAAAAGCAAAAAAAGAAGTAACTATAGTGTCTTGCCAAGCGAATGTTGGCAACACTCAAGCGAACAGCCGCCAAACCGGTCGAGTGGAGTCGTCGTAACGCTCAGAGACGCTTTCGGTTACGAGCTGAGTAGGTAAACAAAAGATGCCACGGAATAGCGTCGTGCACAACCAGGTTTGCGAAGGGTAAGTCTCTAACAACGACGCTACGCGAGTGAATCGATCCGAGGATTGATTGATCTTGTAACTCTTGCAACTGCTGAAGAGTTGAAAAAAAAATGTCACTCAGGTAAATCAAAGTTTTTTCTTTCTATTCTTCTATTTTGTATGCGTATGTGTAATTTGACATTAAAATATTAATAATGATTCTTTGAGGAGTTATTTTTATTCGTTTTTGAGATAAAAATTACCTTGTTCAAATTATAATAAAAGATCAGTGTATCAAGTTTAAATAAAAAAAATCGCTAATATACAAAAAGGATGCGAAGAAACAATATTTTTTTTTTTCACTTCCATCGCTGATACATTTACGTACATATGACAAATACAAGCGTGTGAAGTAAAATAGTATAACAAATTAAATACTGTATGTATACTTCACCGTTTCTGAAATTTTTAAGTACTGTTAAATCTCTCAATAAATATATTCGTGCAAATAAATCATTTTAACAAACCACGTGGTGTTACTTTTTTTTATATTATCTTCTAATTTCTTATTTTTTATCAAATAAAAAATAAAGTTATAAATTGACACCGAATAATTTTTAAATAAAGTATTGAAATTAAACGATGCTTGTTCTAGGATATTTGTGATGTAATATATAATATTCAAACTAGTCGATAACGCGTTTTTCTGCGATTGCTCGATATATGTAGTCAGAAGGATCGATGGCAACGAAAATTAGAATGGATCACGTTCAAAGTGACATCGAACTGCAAGTCGACAATCCATTGAAAAACGCGGCAAACTTAATTGAATGGAACGTTGACATGAAAGTAACCGTGTCCAACGTAAAAAAGTCAAAGATGTTCCAAAGATTCCATACGATCATTCTTTTCCTTTTAGCGATTATCTTCGCTGTTATGCTATCTCATTTAAGAAAAGAAGTGCGTGCCCTACAAACTCAAGTAAATTAACAAAAACAATTTTTATTCTTCCGTTTTTGGTAATCAATTATATTCAAATTGAAAAAATTTTCTACCATTTTTAGGTGCAATCTTTAAACATAAATTTGTTGTTATTGACATCCAAGTATGATAAACTAAATCGAAGTTTAAATCGAGCTTGGATCCAAAGGTCTGAACGGTTTCTTGAAAATAGAAGTCTGCATGATGTAAAAAAATTATTAAAAGGGGCATCGTCAATATATAAAACTATTGAAATATTTGATGGAATTCGGAATGTGACTAACGAAAATTCATATATCTACAATAACATAATTCCGTATTTAAATTCAGTAAAAAATTTAAAGGGTAAATACATGTTGCGTGACAACGCATATGGTACAAATAATGGAAATAATATCGCAATTCCCAAATCATTTACAAAATTAGAAAATAATGAAGACAACATAAATGATACTAATTTACGTATCGAAAGAGCAATATTAACATTGAAAAAACAAAATTTGACAGAAGAAGAAATACGATCGAATCGTGGGAAAATTAATGATGATAATATAAATGACGATTACTATAGTGACGTCAACTTAAATATGTGGAGAGAACCCCGTTCCAGAAGATCGCGGAGGGAGGAGGGAAGAAGTAAAAAACGGGGAAAGAACAAAAGGCGGCCCAAACGCAGTCACAGGCGATTGGGTATTTAGTATTATTTAGTTAGCATGCATATTTCTAATCGAAGGAAAGCTACTATATTCAAAACATTTCATACAATTATTTTGTTTTTTCTATTTTTTAATAAAATACTACTGATATATTGATATTAGTTCTATTTTTTTTTTTAATACGATGCTACAATAAAATATAATTAATAATAAAAAGAACTAATAATAAAGATCAAGTTAAATATAAATCAAATGCATAATGTGATTGCAAATTTCTGTATTGACTGTTAATTTTGCTCATTTAACATTATTTTTATTAAATATAAAAATAAAGAAAAAAGGACTTTCAATGTTATTTAGGACCCTTAGTAGCAACATTTGTTGGAGCAATTCCTGAGCAACATATTACAGATACAGGTACGTACAATTATTTATAGTTATATAATATTTTCAATAAATTAGTAAGATTAACAGCAATATAATATTTAACCAAATTATTATATAATGTAATATGCTTAAATTAGTTTACATTGGACCATGGGTTAAAAGTTCTAAAAACAACACACAATATAATTTAAATAAATTCCATCTAGTAGAAGATAAAAAATCTATTGAAGTTACAGCACCTGGTTTATACATGATTTCTGCACAGGTAAAAAAACATGTATATTATTATTTAATGTTCGAAATTGATTCAATAACATTAATTGCTATATTTTTTCCATCTTTAGATTTTTTATTTTGGTGAACCAACAAATTATTCATATTGGATACTTTTAAGTTCAGAGGGTAAATCCACTACACAAAAGCTTGTAAAATGTTCTACAGCCTCTTCCACATCAGCCACAGAAGTGTCTTGTTACACAAGTGTAATAACTCCATTACAAAGGGGTGATAGGGTTCATATTCAACAACAAGAAAGAGATAGGTAAGTTATAAATTTAAAAGATTGACTTTCTTAGAGATTTACTTTTTTTATAAAATATCTCAACATTTTTTAGATTAATAAATATGCGTGAAGGACATAGTTATATACAGTTGGTGCTTCTCTCTAATACTATTTGTAAAAGACATTTACGATAAATATACACATCAAATTTGAAACTTGTGCCATTCAAAATGAAAAAGGAAATTTATTCCTTTAAATGTGATCTTGCACTACAATCATACTGTTAAGTAAATCAAATAATGAATCAAGATTTTAAGAGTTGCAATGCCTTTTGTGCAACTATTACTTTTATTTTAGGAATACATAAAAAAAATTTATTTTATATAAAATATAAATATTTTTTGTTACTTCTTTTTACATAACGTAAGTTTAAATTTTATATACAGTTGAATTTAAGAAATGCATAATGAATAATGACAGAAAATGTTACAATTTATTTTTTATAATAGTAGTATATGTCTTAAAAGAAGTTATTTAAATATGTGCTGACATATTTTTGTACACTTGATTTTTAAAAGACAAAAGAAATTAAAGATGTGATGCTATGTTTTAAGACTCTCACTGTTTATTTTATACCGAAAAATTTTCTTATTGTTAAAAAACATCGTTGACATATACCATATTGTTAAATAATCATTTTGACAGATTTTATAAATAAAGATTCCAGTTGTAATTTCTGTCTTTTTACACTTTTTTATTCTTTGTTACAAATAAAATATAAATAAATAATGTATTAAAATATATTATAAATATTTAAAATCTCAAGAATTACTTGTACCATTTGTATAAATTATAAATTTTTATTCGTATTTTTTTACCATAATTATATTACAAGTATAGGTGTGGAACTTACATATCTAAAAAATTTAGTCTTTAATAACGTACGTGAAAAGTACGATATTTTTTTCGTACCTTTTTACAATGCTCGCCATTAATAAAAAAGCACTTGAATCTTCTTGAAGAACAACGTCGATGCCAGTCATGTGGCAGATGTTGCTCAGCTCATTGAATTGGTAGTACGACCATTTGAGACAGCATAGTCGTTATCAACCTAGAGAAATTAATAATAAAAAATTAAAAATTGGTAAATTATACAGAAATAATGAAATCTTATAGATACCTATCATTGACCCATTTACATTTAGTATTTTAATTCTTTTATTGTACTTTCATCAATTAAATTATGAAAACATATGCTCTTAGATTTCTTTTTCGTAAATATTTGGTATATCGTCCCTGCTTTTTCGTTTTGTCTTTTGTTAATATCATAATGAATTATATTTGGTTTTTATTAAATAACGTGCTCTTTAGAAGAATTTTCTTTCGTATCTTTCAATTAATACCTTATCATCATATTTGTAAATTAAAAGTATACTGCAAATATCGCATATATAAAGCGGTTAAAACGGTTCAGGGCTTAAAATAAAAAATTTTTATGTCATATTTTATACCCATGATATACTTCTTATCTTTGTAATATCGATAAAAATAGAAGAACCTAACATATTTTTTAAAGTTTTCCACTTTACACTCGATAGATGCAGAGTTAGGTACTATTATCCTTGTTGACATTTGTTTTGTAACAAATTTGTGGAGTGGTTTTTTTCTTATAAAAAACGGATAGATTTATTTTACTCACCTGAATTTGGGTTGAGGTTTACTCGAGCATTTGTCTTTTAATATATACGAACGTAATACATGTTAGCATAAATTTAATTCGATACTCTTGTTGCTTGCATTCCCATTGATTTTTTTTCTATGTACTGTTTGTATTTTTCATTTTCGTTTTAAACATGTTTCGTTCTCTTTCTCTATATATGTATGTATATGTACAAAATGCAACTAAGTTTTTGCGAGTAGTAAGACTTGGAAAACAATATATTGATTGATGCTGACTATTTACATTGAAAAATAATTGCAACATTTTGAATGAAAAAAATTAGGTGCACCACAAAAAAGATCAAACGCTATTTAGTATAGGTCAATTGTTTAGAAAAATCAAACAAAGACATACTAATTAATGAAAGACACTATAATATATTCTAACAGAAAAAACAATACTTTCTAAGTTTCATTTACATTATACCTGATGCCATTGGACATTAATAACATTTATTATACAGTCGTCATTTATTCATATAATATCGTATTGTTATCAGAATTGGTATTCTCCTTGCTGGTAACAGAGGGAAGGTATTCTCTCTTTCTTTCATTCTGTTCCCTACGTATCTCAGGTTGTTGTTACGCCTGTGAAATAAACTTAGTTTTTGTCAATTTTTTTTATATACATCTACAATTGTCCATTAATGCTGTTACTATATATATATATATATATATACATATATATGTATTGATATCATATTTCATTTTGGACACAAAATATTCTTTAACTGAATTATATACAATTAAATAAAAGAAGAATAATTTTTCTATTTTGTTTTTTTCATATACAAATTTGTCTTCCAAAAAATTATTGTTTTTAACAAAAGTTTCATACCTACGTTAGTGATACAAATACACTGTATTCATTTCAGTTGTATCATTTTTAATGTACATGTGGTTTTCTAAGGCAGTTGCTGGTTTTCCTTGCAATGTTTTTCATTGCTATATGTTCTTTGCAATTTAATCCACATAGTCTCTCATGTTAAAGGTGAGGAAATAATAAACGTGGAAGATATTACTGTTTTTTCCATGGTTCTTTTTTTGAAAGTTTCTTTTCATTTCGCTTGTTATTACTCTAGTACTTACAATACTAACTTGTTTCACTATTACTATACCAATGACATGCGACGATGACTTTTAATACAGTTTTAGACAATTTCATAGTAATTTATAATAATAAACAGAATATAAGACCACATCACTTGTCCTATATAATCATTCTGTACTTCAATGCACAAAATTGGCTGGGACAAATATTTTGTACCTACTCATGCACAGTGAGCCTTGAATAGTTACAGTGTTCCTCAATTTCATATATATATCTATTTTTTCCTTTTAATCGCTAGTTTTTCATTTTGATTGTCTCTGCCAGTGTGACATTTCAATATGTGATTACTACTTAAGAAACCGTTAAAATAAGTTTCTAAAATCATTGTTAAATTTTTTAACACATTTTGTATTATACCTCAAAAACAGTCTTTTGTCACCTCTAAGCAGAGTTTTATACACATAGTTCACGCAAACATTGAATTCTATATGTTAAAAATATATATATATATGTATATATGAAATGAAATGTCGCAACAGTAAGACTGATCTAATATAACATTGTTGCCTGTTAAAATATTGTCAAAATCAAAATATCGCACTATTAAACGCATAATAAGGGGGCAGTATATTCTGGTACAAGGTTCTTTTTCTTCAATTCATGGTTAAACGTAAAATAAAATACACCACAAAATACAATTACTTTTTGTTTTTTCTTTTTCACGCAGAATGCAAAATATTCACTTCTCTACACCTAAAATCTTTTAGCATTATTGAGCTGTGAATGTGTGTATATATATATCTATGTGTTCACAATGATCAACCAAATAATGACTTTACAAATAGTGTAAATATCTTTGCCCTTAATAATTACAATGAAGACAATTATGATTTAATAGTATTTCACAATCGCAGATTAACTTTCAAGATAAAGAAAACGAGAAATAAACTGTACATCAACTAAACTTAATCCTAAAGCAACATTGTTAGCCAAACATGACAAAAGTAGAATGCTATATTGCTAAGTCAAGTATAAAACGCTCATGTCATTTATACTTCTTTATCGTAATTAAACAATTATTTGCGCTTATCGCGCAATTCAACGAGTCTTCCATGCGCGCGACAAAGATAGAAAATTATACAAATTTCATTACAATTCGTTAGTTTACTTTTTTTCTCTCGGTTTACTTTCTTCATTTGAATGTAAAAGTCTCTCGTCGATGAATCAATTATTAAATATAGAACACTTAGTGTTCACGACAAATGATATTTGTCCAACTTTTTCACGCGCTAGGAACAATTTTCTTTTCATTTTAAATTTGGAAAAACATGTTATCTAAATATGTAAAATTAAATAGTTGCATGAGTAATTTAATAACGTCGCTGAGACTGGGCGTTTTGGTAACCAGCACTGCCACCTGTAAACAACCATAGCTCCTCCGTTCAATCATCTTTTTAAGCAAGTAGTTTCATTTAATTTTTTTTTTTTTTCTTTTTTTTGTGATTCTGCATTTAACTTAACATTATATAGAATATTAATAGTCACATAACATTATGATATATATAAATATATGTATATACACACAAACACACACACACGCACACACACACATATATATATATATATTTGCTGATAGTGGCAATTAATATTATTCATACACATACACATGTGTATAATTTGCCTACTTTTTTTTTTGGGTGCATCTTTCTTATTCAATTTTATTATTGATATTACTTGTTATATTAAATTTGCTTTAATATTATAAGAACAAATCTTACAATGCTTTGCACTTGTTATTTCGTTTAATAATTTTAACTTATTATCAAAACTATAATTTTTTCATTGTTTGTTTTTGTTTCTAAAAATGTAGTGAAAACAAACCTATACTAAAATTTTTTACTTTATGCAATTGACGTTAAACGTTTTTGTTTGTGCCCATCATAAATTTATTTATATGAATTGAAAATTTCACAATGGGACTTTTGGTTTTTTGTTTCTTTCAAGTATTCTCGTTTCGTTAAATTAACAATTATAGCAATTTCTTTTTGCAGTATATTTAAACCTGTCCTAAGCATTTTATTTTGTTCATGATAATATACTGTCTCACAGATGTTAGAAAACTCGTTTGGATTGAAAATTGTACTTACCATAATCTTGTTTTCCGTATACACCATCTTGACTCGAGTAATCTGCAAATATAATAAATGAGAATTACAAATTGCAGTTTAACAGTACTTTGAATAATATAGATGTGACTCAGACGAGAAAAATATGTAACTCACTAGATTAAAAATTTTAGTTGTATTTGATTCACCTACATAAAAATGAATTTCATAAAAAATTAATATCTTTTTGTTTGAGTATAAAAATACTGATGATACATCAATCTGGAATGAAGAATGGCAGGAGGCAGTGCTGCAGTGTTGGTACTCGGACGAAAATAGTCGTAATGTTCACATTTTTCTTCACCTTACCAATTTATATTTTCGTTTCTTCTTCTTTTTTTTCTTTTTTTTAATAGGAGTAGTTATAAAACGCAACTCTTGATTTTAATGAGCTCAAGGAAAAAAATGAAATAGAATCCATTTTTATTTATAATGTGATTTTTTAAACGTAAAATTTCAATTTTTTTTTATAATTATAGCGTTTCTCGTCTGAATCGATTCACATTTGAGCATAACAGGTACTAATAATTAAAAGGTATAGAGACAAAGTGTTGTTAATTACTTATTTCCTTCATTTTCTCTCTTCATTTTTTTTTTTTTTCTCAAATGAAACCGAAAAAATAAATATGTGATGTAAAATGTGTTGTCGAACGGAAAAAACTAACCATAAAGTTGCGTCGAGTAACCACCCCTGTTGCTCATAGAAGTGGTATTAGAAGATCGGTCATCGTAAGGATTAACAGGGGCATAACCTGCACCCCCATCCCCTGCCACTGCTGCCACTGCCTCCTGCTGGTAATTGGCTGTACACGCAGTACATTACATTAATTACATCATAGTGTTCACAATAATATTGCCCTTTATTTGATTTGCGAAATGTAATGAATTTTTTAGTTGCTCAGTTTCTTATCTTAGTTTATAAAATTTTAATCATAAAATAGTTTTACGAGTGCAAGCTATTATATAAACTAACCTGATGGTGGTGCTTTGCCATAACTATAAGGATCACCAGCACTGAAAGCCCCTGCAGCTGGCACAGTAGGTGCTCCTCCATACCTATTATCTGTGGTCGCTGATGGCGGATATCCCTGAACAAAATCATGTAATTGTTTTAGACATTCTATTTGTTTTAACTTCAAATTAATAACACAAGCGAGCTTACAGCTGTTTGCCCATAATCTGGAGGTTGTTGATAACTTTCATAACCTTGATATGACGATTGTGTATAATTTTGCGATCCGTAACCACCACCATATCCCACTGATTGTTGCTGCTGTGGTTGCTGTTGGCCTCCACCATAGGCACTACTAGTACCTCCGCCATAGCCACCTTGACTGTATCACAATTTTTTAAATAATATAAACATAAAATTTATATTTATACTAGATTATTTTTCCTAAACTAAGTAACTACCTAGGTGGCTGGGTCGCATAACCGTTTGCGGGTTGTGACGATGGCTGATCAAATCTTGCCCTTTTTGAAGGACCACTTGAACCTGGTGGTCCACCTCCTCTTTTTGATGGACCACCACCACGTCCACTACCTCCTCTACTTCCACGATCTCCAAAACCTCCTCTGCCACCTGGACCACCTCTACCAGATCCTCCCCTAAACATAAATAAAAACTTAATTACTTCTTATTTTGTATAATTTTAAATTGATTAAAAATTAAATAAGGACTTTTACCTAGATCCTCCTCTGCTACCCCTGTCCATACCCCCTCGTCCACGAAAATTGCTACTACCTCCACGAGTGTCTCCTCTACCAAAATCACCTCTTCCTCTACCTCGAAAACCACTGCTTCCACCTCCCCTGCTACCACCACGTGGTGGACCCCCCATTCCTGGTGGTGGTGGTCCACCACCTCCTGGACCACTAGACATTCCTGGTTCTGGTGGACCCCTGATATAGAATATTATATAATAAAAAAATAAAATAAAGCAATTATGTTAAAGAAAAATTATTATACACATACCCTGGAGGAAAATGTCCACCACGACCACCTCTACCAGGAGGACCACCTCTGCCTCTCATTCCTGGTGGTCCACCTCTCATACCTCCTCCAGGTCCACTACCTCGGCCACCTCTCATCATACCTCCTCCTCTTGGAGGTCCACCCCTATTAAAACACAATGAAATTTTACACACTGCACCAATATTCATATAAACAAGTAATAAACAAATTTATATCGCATGCAAATATCACATTTTGCATTATTAAATACATCTATATTTACAATTCACCAATATTACATATAGGCTTGATAACAAATATATACATATATACCTTCCTCTGTCCCCGAAGCCGCCACGTCCTCTCATAGGACCGCCTGGACCACCACGACCACCACGGAATCCACCTCTACTGGCTGGAGCGCCTTCCATTTATCCGTATATCTAATATTTAAAATAACATTTGTTAGTAAGCAACAAATTCTCCATTGATTACACACAGACGCTATGCAAGACTTTTGGGTAAGTCTAAGAAGTTTTCCTCAATCAAAGTCATTTCTCCAATACACTGAGAACACTAAACAAATTATAAAAAATATTTCGATAAAATACACATTATATCTCTATCAAAAAGTACTTACATTTCACTTATTGCTAAATATCTCGTTCATAAATTCGAAACGCGCCAACTTTAGGCAAGCTAACAACGAAAATGGACGCCGGTTGCCGGAAAAAGAAGCATCGACCACACCACTCAAATTACTACACTGGCATTACCGGATATCCTTTTTATTATGAAATGTTCTCATGTAATATCCTAAGATTTCAAACTTTATACTATTCATAAAAAAAAAATTCAATCAAAATCCAATAAATGCATAAATATTAACTTTTTAAATGTATACAGAAAATTAATTTCATTAATGGTTTGAATTCTTACATTAGTGAACATACAATTCTAAGCTTACAATATGGAACACGTATAACAATACGTATTAATACATGTATAACGATATGGAACAAATGTATGGTCAAATAAACATAGATGAGAAAACATAGATGTGAGTTTTACATTGCGATGGTAAGATACTATATTAACATTTACTGTCACAAAGTACGTTTATATTACAACTGCATCTGTGAAATGATCTTTTATCGATGTGTATAGTAGTTTTGTATTAACAACCTTAAAGTAATATACTTCTGAATCAATTCCTCTGCTTACATTCAGTGTATTGTGAAAAAAAACTCACGATATTGAATATTCGTAAATAATAAAAGTCCATTTTATGTTGAAAGTACTGATTTTAGAACTTATGTTGATTAAACATGTTTACTCTTTTCAATGAATACTATTTTTTTTTTTTAAATACCCTATATAACAGAATGAATCTTGAGAATATGTCTTTATGTTACTATAGATATAGTGAATAAGTACATACAGTTGGTCATGCACGCGGGAAAGCGCGGGATTGGTTAAGAAATTTTTATTTAACTATTGAAATCCGTTGCTTGTCTTCCACATGACAAAAACAGTAAAATTTATATTTGAAACGAAAGTTAGCATTGAATATATTTCTTTTTGTGGAACTTATAAGAAGTAACTGAACGACATTATTCAAAACGTTAAGTTTTATATTATATACTGTAAGATTTTGCAGAAAAAATAATATAAAATGTCAAAAGACGAGAAAGAATGCGTTATTCCTGATGTGATATATGATGCAAACTTGGCGAAAAGTTATATCAAAGGACGATTTTTTGGGAAGGTAAGTGCAATTTTTTCTTATTTTATACTTTTTCATTTAAAAAATTTGATAATAACTAATCATTTTTGTTATTTTGAATTTATCTGGTTTAATAATTTCTCGTGAAAGATATAGCAACTTTTAGCACTTGTTGCTTTCTTTCATAAATATTAAACAATTTTTGATAAAAAATGCAATACAAACAATAATTTTTTTTATATAATAGAATATAAATTTTTGGAAATTATAGTTAAAATTTATTACATTATATAACTCAATATTTAAAATTATAAACTATAGAAAATTATGTTCATTACATTTTCCTAAATCAAATTTTAAAATTTAAATTCATTGTCTTTATATTTTGTGTATACTTTATTATAGGGTGGTTTTGCAAAATGTTATGAGATTAGAGATTCAAAAACACAACGCGTATATGCTGGGAAAATTGTGCCAAAGTCACAAATTACAAAAAGCAATCATAGGGAAAAAATGACACAAGAAATTTCTATTCATCAAACTTTGAAGCACAAAAATATTGTGGACTTTTATGGCTTCTTTGACGATCCACAAAATGTATATATAATTTTGGAACTATGTAGAAAAAGGGTAAATAGTCTTCAATAATCTTATAATTAGTATTCTTTTCAAACTATATATATTATTTAAAATAACAATTATACTTTTTAGTCAATGATGGAATTACATAAACGTAGAAAAGCATTAACAGAATGTGAAACCAGATATTATATGAAACAGATTTTAGAGGGTGTGAATTACTTACACCAAAATAAAATAATTCACAGAGATCTAAAATTAGGTAACTTATTTTTAAGCGATGATCTGCAAGTTAAGATTGGTGATTTTGGTTTGGCTACAAGACTAGAGCATGATGGGGAACGTAAAAAGTAATTGCTCTGTTCATTCATATTTATTTTTAATATTTGCAATATAAAGTAAATTATATATTAATTCCATGAATAGAACACTATGTGGGACACCTAACTATATAGCACCAGAAATTTTAACTAAAGCTGGACATTCTTATGAAGTTGATATATGGAGCATTGGGTGCATTATGTACACTCTGCTTGTGGGTAAACCTCCATTTGAAACATCAAGTTTACAGGAAACCTATTCTAGAATAAAACAAGTCCAATATAAAATTCCGACACATATCAATACAATTGCAATGAACATGATATCTAATATGTTACAAGGAAATCCATCCAAACGTCCTTCCATATCAAAACTAATGAAGGATCCATTTTTTACTTGTGGTAAATGCTGTCAAATTTTGTTTAAACATTAAATCATTATCACTGTCATTATGAAATAATATCTACTGATAGTCTTTGCAATTTTCTTTATAGGTTTTATGCCAGTTAGTTTACCATTATCATGTTTAACAATGGCACCTCGCTTAGACATGCTGGAAATGCATAATCAACGCAAACCACTATCTGAAATGAATACTAATGTTGGAGGAGAGGGGCAAAACTTCGTATTTCGTGTACCCAATAGTCCAGCGCATAAAACAAAGCTTGCAGATACGATAAGCGAAGTTCAGAAAATGAATCTTGACATTAGAAACATGCTTCAGTCATTGAGAGAACAGGTGGCTGCTGTATTAAAGGCTAAACCAAGTAGAGAGACAACTTCGTCAGCAGGTACAATTATCTAGAGATTAAATATTATTATCGCGTTTTGCATGGAAGTTATTGTTTATACTGGTGGAAATTATTTACAGAATATTCAAGATCCTAAGAGATTTTTACGGAAATCTAAGGCATGAATTTCACCTTCCTACCACTTTCCTACATATTAAAATTAACGTTTATTTAAATAGTGATAAAATTATATAAAATTCAATTTTGATGAAATTGATTAAAAATCTTTTATTTCATATTTTATATAATTTATTCTGTATAAATATATGTTATTTTAACTGTACAGATGAAATGACTGATCCAGCTGCACAACCTGTTGTATGGATAAGTAAATGGGTTGACTATTCAGATAAATATGGGTTTGGATACCAACTTTCTAATGATGGCGTAGGTGTAATGTTCAACGATGGTACCCGTTTAATAATGCTAGCTAATTGTTTCAACATTCACTACATAAATCGTGAAGGAAACGAATTGTATTATACAGTCAGAGAATACCCAACTGAGTTAGACAAGAAAATGAAGCTAATGAACTTTTTTCTAAAGTACATGAAAGAGCATTTAATGAAAGCTGGAAGTTCTGTTTCTGTGAAACCATGCGATGCCATGTCTAGGATACCATACATGCATCAGTGGTTTAGAACACAAAGTGCTGTAGTAATGCAATTGACTAATGGAACAGTCCAAGTGAGTGATTAAATATTTTAAAAGATTTTCGTTTAAGTTTAAAATTTTGTAATGTAGTAGTTTTAATTTATAACATTTTCTTTTTAGATAAATTTCCTAGATCATACCAAAATTATTATGTGTCCACTAATGGCAGCTGTTACATATATAGATGTAGAAAAAAATTTTAGAACTTACAGATTTCAAACTATACAAGAAAACGGATGTTGTAAAGGTTTGGCTAAAAATTTGGCATATGCTTACGAAAAACTTGTATTAATGTTATCGAATCCTCAAACTCGATAATTATTGTTTGAAACCAATTGGTTTAGGAAGAGAACAAATCTGATACACAGTATATTTTAGTTTTTTTTTTTTTTTTTTTTTTTTTTTATATATAAAAAAAAAAA